GTCAGACCAATTATTAAGGAAGCTTTAGGCTATAAAACACCATCCTGCGACCAATAGGAGCAAGGAAATAGAGGGAAAAGTAGAAGGAGCTGGGGAAATTAGTTCTCTAAGAGCATCTGTTGCGTGTGCTGCGAAGCGATTAAAAATACCCAAAAAATATGCATGAAAGAATTATTCTTCTATAAATAATCTATAATAATATTTTCAACTCTATATCTCTGTTTTAAGATTAACTTGTTACCCCTAAAATGGTTCTTGTCTTTTTTTGGGGGGATCAAACTTCGTCGAAATATTTCAGTACGTATGTATCATAGCGTAAAACCAGCGATTGGCAGCGAGATATTATTTTAATTAACAAAACAAGATATGTTTTAAAGATTTCATAAATAATATGTGCGATCGTCTAAAACAAAATTCGTGACGTAATAAAATGTAATCTCGCCCAAGATCACGAGAAAGTACACACGCGCCTAATACGTCCAAATAAATATTTACACAACAAACGTTTTAAGGGCTTTTCAAGTCTTAATAAAAGTCTTCGAACGACGTTTCAAGTGAGGAGGTGAGAGGCACTCCGCACAAAAATAGTTCACCATAAACAGATATAAAACGCTTGTCGCTTTACATAAATAACTCTGTCCCATGTTTCCTCAAGGGTAGGTACTGGAGATATTTTATTGCATATGTATGCTATATAAGTACGTAAATGTCTAAAACATCTAATGAACTGGACCTCCTTATCTGGAGCGGTCTAGATCAGGAGCTCCAGAAATTTGGTACTTTAGGGAAATGTCACTTCCATATTTTGATTAATTCTTAACAATTTCCATTAACTTTAGAAGATCTGGAGGTTGTAAGTACCCTCGGGCCTCAAAATGCATGTTAAGCCCTATCGATCCGTAAGAGCGCCTAAACCCGCACTGGGACTGCGTGGTGGGTCCTTTATCTGTAACCTGCAGTAGGGCAATATTGTAGGGCAATGGTATGTACGAGTATTTGCATAAGATAAGACAAAAGTACTGACTGTAGCTTAAGCGTACACATTTAATTAAAATCTTTAAACGGTTTAAAACGCAAAATGTTATAATTAAACTTATGTAACATTTATTTTAAGACCGGTTCGACGTTTTGGATATTTTGCAACAGTGGTCACGGTGGTTGAGTGTTTTATTTTAAAATCTTTTTAATTTTGTCTATCCCGGAACAAAGATAAGTGATGAGTAAACATAAAGGATTGTTCTATGAGAAACGATGGGTTATATAAAGGAGTATGAAATGAGAACATTAATCTTTTGTTCCAACACGCAGATGGAGAGAGTTGGGTACCTACCAATTCCGGATGCCCACTCCTAAAGAATTTGTAATTTGTATAACAAAAGGTCGAGGTCTGACTCAACATGCTATTAAAATATATGCGAAATCGACTTTGCCATATCTACAAAAAGGTTTCATTTCCAAAGTTATAATTTTTTAATATCTAATAAATTTAAGAAATAATAATAATGTAAGAGTCTTTATGACACATAAAAAAGTCTAAGTAAAGGGCTCCATTTCTTCAAAGAATTTAATCAAAGCCAGTTCTTTCTAATTCAATTTGCAGTCTTATCTTGATACTATTCAATGAGGAAGCGATGTCTGTAGCTAATAAGAAGCTCAAAGTCTAGCAAAGAATATCTATATAAATAGGGGTTTGTATGCTATCAAAGAGGAGGGCAAACAAACGTGGAGTTCACTTTATAGTAGGTGAAACACTCCAGCCATATTACAACAATCAAAATGGGCTGTCAACCTATTTTGGTTTTAAATATTCGAAAGGCTAAAACCGAAACGCGATTAAACTTGACATTTTTTTTGAACGGTGGTTGACAATCGTATTGATCTTCAATTGTTGTAATATTTTAAGTACAACTTTTAGAACACTAGCCTTCTTAAGAAACTAAGCGTAAGAATTAGCATAGGGAGTGTTTACAATTTAATATGTTTGTATAAAAAAAGTAGGGGACGTTATAAGTTTACTATTTTTATTATATTATAAGACTATTATTATGGTTTGAACCAAACAAAGCCACTTGAACTGTATTGATACAAATCCGTGCTCATAATTCGTAGAATCTAGGCGAAACGGTTACATAGTTGTATATTAATGTTTACATTTATGAAGATGGAGAGGGCGTAGGCGGCGACGCTTAATGGTACGTTTCCTTAAATCTCTCGTAACATGGGTTTGCATCGCATGCATTCAGCTCAAAAATAACTCACTAATTTTATCTCGGTACAGTCGCGACGTTCGTGCGACACGATTGGCTACGGGCAGAATTTTGATCAGTACTTTTCAATGTATTTGCGACAATGTTTTAAGATGCAAATAAATAAAGAAATAGGCATTTTGGAGTTGTATAAGAGGTATAACAAAATAAGCTTAAAATTGATATTATTAAAAACAATGATATAAAGAATTATGATATAATTCTTCGAGCAATCGAGGAGCTAACATCTACGATGATGCCGCCCTCTCATAATGGCGAAACATCGAGAATCTCTTCGCGCTCTCGTCGGCCAAACAGCCAGAAAAGCAATGAAATGTGCTGAAAGATGACCCTGAAAGCCTTACATAATTTATTAAGCTTAATAAATACTCAATTTTTGCCTATGTTCCAAAGATAGGCAAATCCAGGATTTATCTTGCTTTACGTAATGCGTAGCCACGAAGACTGGCAAAATTTATTGAATGACAAACTAAAATATAATAGTGACTAGCCATTAAGTAGGTAATTTGCTGATAAACAGGTGACATAAGGCCTGATATGATAGAATTTGTCTACAGCCTGTACCTTACGCGAGTAGTCCACATTAAATAAAAAACTGTAACGGTTTAAAATGCGAAATATATTAGGTAAACGTCTTTCAAATTATTTTGTCTACGGTACGACGTTTTGGATGCTTTGCAGCAGCCGTGGGAAGAAAGATGGAGGGTGTCTCTAATGTCAAAGTAAAAAAATTTGTAAACAAGTTTAACTAATATATTTCGCGCTTTAAACCGTTATTGTGTTTTATTTGAAGAAATATCTGTCTATTTAGATTATTATGTTTTAACGACTAAATAAAAAATCTGTCCTAATTTTTAGTTGTTTTTTATAAAATTACTATTATTATAACAATATCATAATCGTCTGCCCGATTTTATACGGTTTACAAAAAAAGATGGGAACATTCGCCTCTGAACCAGACAGACGGGTGGTCTGCGTAATAAATTCCTTGTTTTGGTTATGTTTATCTTTTTACTATTACGACGTGGTCGAAATAACAAACACGGGAATCGAAAACAACTTTAATGATTTTCTAATTTCTAATGAAATATTTAGATACTTTGTATGTTGTGTTGGTCGAAAAAGTAACTTAGTGTAATATTTTTATCTTAAAAAATGCATATAGATCTATTAATGTATTATTTTACTTAACACTTAATTGCACATAACATACCTAGGTAAATAGATATAGTAAGAAATAATCTGAAGACACATATTAGAATGGAATGCAGGGAATGCCATTTTTTTTCTTTTAGCCATTTCTTACAATATTGAAATGCCGTTACCTCTCATGGGGCGTACACATTTCTATGTCCGTTTTACTGATCGGTTCAGATACAGGAAATTAGTTAATCAGACTTCTGTGTCCTGTGCGAAACAATCGATTGTTTACGCAAGATTTTTATTTAGGACCTCTCAAACTTAACGCAATGGTAGCCAACACTTTTAACCGTTTTGTTTTAGAGCCGGCATTTCTTACAGACAAACCAAAAAAACAAAATAAGATTTGCGAACTGCAAAAGGAAAATAAAACAACTAATACCTTAAATCGCAACTAATAATTTACACACAGTTTAGTGATTTCTACTTAATATTTTTTATTAATCTAATTATATTAAGCTACGTAGTTCTTAGATATCTGTATAATTACTTAATTTTATATGTATATAAGTATATATATATATATATATATATATATATATATATATATATATAATTGCGAGATGGAGTGTTGATATTAGGTACATAGAAATCACAAAATGATAAATCCGAGTCCTCGACAATCATTGGCAAAACTAACAAAGCCGGTATTTAATTGGTTTCTGAGCCGACAATTCAATTGTTCGATGCGTTAGCCGTTAATAAATTAGCTTTAGATATTGTACGCGTATTGACACTGACCTGCATTTAAGTTTGCAAAAATGGATTCCGGTGGGGAAACCTAAATAATATACTTTTACTTCAAACGAGAACCATTAAATTAATTATTTCTACCCGCAACAGCCACGTTTCGGCTTTTTACAACAACTGTGACTCCCAACCCCAGCCGAAATACTGCGTCTTTTAAACTGTCAAAAATATTTTATGCCTATAACTTTATTTGCCTATAACTCGCATACACTATACAGACAACACTTATAATTAAAACTGCTCGAGTGTTGCAATTGCAAATAAATAGGTACATGAGAAAGCAATCTCAATCTGGTTTCGGGGATTCGAGTCCCGCTAGTGTATGGTCCGCCAGCTATATGGGTTGAAATTTTATTTAACACAAGAGCGATATAATATGAATATTATGTGTGTATTTTGTGTCAAAAAAAAAGAGTTATTTTTTGTAAAGAAGAAATTTTGGGTGTGTTAGTCAATATTTAGTAAAGTACGAATAAGGGTTCAATCATACACATCTTTATCATTTGCTTACATTTGTAACTTCGTAGAAATGTGTATTTGGTAGGTACCATAATTTTTTAATTCATTTTACTTTTACATTAAAGTTAACTTCAGTAAATTTTCTTTATAGAAAATCGTAAATAACCAAAAGACGACGCGAGATAAAAGGCAGCTTTGGAAACTCCGCCTTTGGCATCCCTATTTCTAGACAAGTTTTGTACCAAGTATTTGACAAATATATTTCCTGCTCTCGTTAAGCGAGGTTGAGAATCAAGATTCCGACTACGTAAATTTCAGTAGAACTTACAAGAAACTCTTCTTTCTTTTTAAGATCGCCTTTCCAACTTTATGCTGAAAATGACATGAACAGAGTATCTCAAAGATTACATACAATTTCGAATTACTCTCATACACAAGACAGGCCGAGTCATTAGTCAACTACCCTAGTGTATAGGGACATCAATTGTAACTAGTAAAAATCACGTCTTTTCATAAGATACAAATGATGACTGTAGTTTACGCGAGTAGTACTCATTTTGACAAAAACACAATAATTTTAACAGTTTAAAACCGATCAGTTTATTTTATTGTAAGTTAAACTGATTAAAATCATTTTTAAATAGGCAGAGTTTTTTATTTGCAGCAGCCATTTATTTATTATTTTTTAATTATTTAATATATTAAATATGTAAAATACAAATGTTGAAAAAAAATTGAGACGTTGCTAAATAAATAACAATTACATTATATAATTTAATAGACGACCGAAATCTTACCTGTCCAAGATTGACGAAGCCGTGGTCCGCAGCGACGGCATCCGCAGCATCCTTCCCCCCGGGGATGTGAACAGCCCACGTCGAAGTATAATGGGCCCATGCCGCTTGCAGCAAAACCAGCAATATAGCCGCAGACACGAACACGCCCCGCGCCATCGCACAATAGGACACTCAACAGCTAGTACTTGTTAGCATTGCACAATAACATTAACACCGATCTAAATCTGGATGTGCAACTGCCTTCTAGTGTCAATTTTCAAGTCCTTAAAGTATTAGAGACAATTAGTAAGTGAAACGCCGATTGAGTTTACGATACATTGGCCGAAACGTTACTAAAATATATTTGTTTATCGCTGAATGCTATCTGATATTATTATACGGAATACTTTTTAAAGATTAAATCAAAATAATTACTTTAATCAAATCTATATTCTTATCTTATCAAAATTAAAATGGCAGGCGTACATTGATGGAAAGGATAAATGCAATGTAGGTAAATGATAGAAATAAGGTAGGTATTATGTATACTGTCTATAGTTTACGCGAGTAGTACACATTTAAATAAAACACTTGAACGGTTTAAAACGCGATATATTAGTTAAACTTATTTGACAATGACTTTTATTTTTGGCCCCGGCTTTGCGTTTGCCAAGTTTTGCAGCAGCCGTGTCACGGGGAGACTCCCAGTTAACCGTGACCACGGCTGCTGCAAAGCATGCGAAACGTCAACGTCGGGCAGAAGTTAAAAATCATTTTCAAATAAGTTTAACTAATATATCGCGTTTTAAACCGTTAAAGTGTTTTATTTAAATAATAGTCTATACTAAATTTAAGGGTAAACGTATACATAACGTATTTATGCGACATTCTAATGCTATGAACTATAAGCTATATTAAGCTATTATATGCTATATTATAGCAAAGTTTATAAAAGCTCTAAGTGTACAAAATATTATTTAACGAATACTTCATACGTGAATCGGAAGTAACTGCTCGTTATATCAGTTTGACTTTGAAGTCCCAATAAATGGGTCAAGTATAGACGAAGGATATACAATAGGTACCGTACATAAGGGTCTAGAGTTTCCATGTGTGTTTATTGCAAATCTAGTCATTTTTGAGGCCAAATTTACTTAATAAAGAATTACGTTTTTATTTGATTTGAACTAAAACAATAAATGAATTAGGTGAATGAACGCTTAGGCAAAAATTTATTGAAATATGCCTTGTAATTTTGCGTGCGTGACATAATAATAACGAAAAACAAAATAATTATTAGTACTTTATCGTTAATAGTTGCGTCGAAAATATTGATTTTATTCACTTATCATTTACAGTAATATTACCAAATTCTGTTTGCTAAAATAAAAATTCGGTACATTTGTACCTTCCTTGTTTGTTTACCCGCTGAATTAAATTAAATTCTGGCATACTATACTAGTACCTAATATTTTAAATATTGTTTTTTTGTAGGTTATTACTGCAGAACGTTTATAAATAAAAACTTCTCATGGAAAAGTATAATAATTTTAAATACATGTATTACGATATTTGCATAGCCTCAATACGCGTGCCAAGCGGACACCAACAAAAAACAGTTTATTTATTGATAGAGACAGAAGACAGTTGTATCTTATCAGTACCTCGGTTGACTATGTAAACAATGCGTTTTTGTGACTGATCGACGACTAGATAATTTCGTCGCTTTGAGAAGTTGTTCTACTTATGGAATTCGATGGGAAGAACCGTGAATCCATGGCTTAAGACAATAGTAGACGGTGTGAGACGGCGCCGCAACGACGAGCATTCACCTCTCGCATCCCGTCGGATTTGTATCTTTTTGGCCAATGTATCGAGCGATAACGTTTCGTATTTTCACTTACAGATTATGTGCAACATCCACTAGGTAAAACACTGGTACACTACTGTCATTATTAGAACACAATACGAATGTCAAGTGACGCGTGAATATCGTTACTGAACAACGCTGAGTACACCCTACCCGCACGCCCGCGAGATGCTGACTGGTTCGTTTTCATATCGTTTCTCTTTGCCGAGAGCAAGCTAGCGGGCAGCGGCTAGCGATTGGCGCGACTGGAAGGCCGTAACGAGACGAAATTGCCAGATTTAAAAAATCTCCTTGCAATCCGGCAAATTGAATATCGAATTTTTTAAGATAATATTAAGGTAAATACTGCCTGTAAATTATGCGAGTCGTACACATTTAATATTAAAACATTTTAACGGTTTAAAACGCGATATATATTCCTTAAACTTAGTTGAAAATTATTTGAACTACGGCCCGACGTTTCGGATGCTTTGCACCAGTTATACTCACGAGATCCGTGTTTTATTTAAATATGAAGGTATTTTTTGTCTTCATTACTTACATAATCATTACTAATGTATTTACTGAATGTACTGAAATAATATTGGATCCAACTGTGTACAGTATATTATAACGAATTCTTAAACTGTCTTTAAAATAAAATTAAAGCTGATTGAAAATATGGTAAAATAATGTGTAAACTTACGAAGAGATTATCTGGATATTATAATGTTTAAATTATATAAGTATTAAGTCAGCTGGTAAATCTTCAGGGTTATGTGATAATATCATCGTTTTGTATTCGAGTCGCACAGTAACCTTTGGTAAGAAAACCCAATCTGGCTTTTTATTTTGTAGCTAAAGGGTTAACCGTAAAATCTTACCAAAACACGGATAGCATTACACTAAGAATTGTTTCGTTTTATGAAAAAAGTTGGAAATACGTGATTGGATTTGTAACAATGTTTCGTCTGATTATCAATAACAAAACTATAGAAGTCAATTGTTCTCACTGTCAAATTAATAATACATATATTTTTATTTTATTACAGCAAATAACAATATTTTCTTACCATGTCAAAAAATTAGTTTACAACAGAAGACAGACAAACAGTTTTCACTTGATGAAAAGTAAAATATATCATCCTTCTAACATGTGATTATGATTGCGCGGTCGTCTTGAGACAGCCATCGGTTGTGACATTCGGACTATATGAATGTTAGTTCACCTATAGCCCATAATAAATGTGCGACACCAACATTTATTTATTTATGTACAAGTTTAAAAATAATAAGTTAAAAACTCAAAATTCGTTTGTAGTTGAATTTCGAAATTATGGAATATTTACCAGATTTAAGAATACACAAATTATTACGAGCACGGAACATGTATAAATAAAGCTACAATCTCAAATTTAAACCAAAGTTTCCCGGTTGGAAAGTAATGAATCTCTATTATTAATCATTGTAATGCTAGATGGCGCTAAAGTAAACAAGTCAAAAAAGTTTACAACATATTGTCTTGTTATTTTATATTTAATAATTTTATTAACTTCAAGTTTTAAGTATAATTATTTCGCATTTTTGCAGTATATATTTATTTTAAATACTATAAAATAATGACAGCTATTTAGAAAACTGAAAATATAAAGCACGAGATGGCGCTGTTTAAAATTATATCGGTGCTATACTTAACCAATTGCATGCCTTCAAGCATTAATTCGACCAATCATATTGCGAAATGTGTTTAACTTTGACTGTCTCTGACGTCATTAATTCCACGTTGGAGCTGTCAAAGACTGTCATGTTTTTCTACTATTTTATTTACTAAATCAGCATGTTTTTATAAAATAATAATACATTGTATATAATTGTGAAGTGATTGTGTAAATCTGTATATTATTTACCATCAACTATGTATTGAGTATCAAAAATGTTATTTTTAACGATGGGTGATAATATGGAAAAATATCATCATGACTCTTGCTAATGAAGATATGAGCAATATTTGGGAATACCTCACGAGAAATGATCAAGACGTGATTCCTGGAGTCTGTAACAAAATGGATAACTTTCAAAACTTGGTAAGTAGAGCATATAGCGTCGCGATGCCGCACTCCGCAGTCTAGATACAGCGATGTCGTAATGATTGAGATAAGGATTGTCCCGCGAGGTTTTCGTGATCATTGGCCGTCTTACAGAGAAATGTAATGGTGAAAGGAATCGAGCGAATTATTAGACGCGCGCTGAAGCAATGTATTGTTGACTGGCGCAAGTCGTAGAACAGCTTTCGTGGGACTATGCCCCTTCTTTTACCGTTATCCGTTCATTTTGTTATTGGATAGGACGTGGCTCGCGCGCCGGTGCATTTTATTGATAGCTTCACGGGTTTCCTTATCTAATTAGTGTTAAGCTCCACTACGGATTTTCCCCGACATTCTGTGGTTTGTGTTTGTGTGCGAATGTTGTGTACGTGTGTGAAACCGGCGTAACGAAACTCGTAAACAAGTTAAAGTCGAGCCGTAGTTTGCCAGCAAGGCACCATGCGGTCAGTGCTTATCCATATGTGCATTAATATTTAGTAGTGTTTGTGTGAAATATAACTGAAAAAGTGATTTTTGTGACTCTTTAGTGACTTGTGTGAACTCTCCTATAAGACTTATATAGTGGTATTTATTTAAAAAATTGTATCGATGAATTGATGTAACATTAATGCAATTGCATCCTACAAAATGGATAAGAAACTAGACCTTTTATCTTTGTTTGAGGTTTGTTTTTTTTATATAATAGAATTAAGATGATGCAAGTAGTGAAATTAGTTTTGAAATTCACATCTCTTTGATTTTTTTTTATTAAAATGTATTATAAGGTAATTCATGTAATTATAAGATCAAATACCTATATAGTTTGTATAACTTTTATTTATTTAAAAGTTTTCAGTTAGAGTTTTTTATACATCTTTTCATTTGTGACCTCAATAAATAAATAAAAAGTACAATTTAGATTGTATAATGAAGTCAATATTAAATGCATTTGCAAACCTTTCACTTTATTATAAAGTAAAAGTTTTAAATGAAAGTAAACTATATATCTTAAAGTAAAAGGCACTCTAAACATTCAGTTGAATGCATCATAAATTTCTTATATAAAACAATTTTATTTGAAATAGTAATGCAAACATAGATCCAAAAATATGGTAATTAGCTTTAATGAGAAACATTATGATCATTAGTTAATATTTTTACAAAATTAATTACATTTTATAATATAAACCAATCATTAACTGATCATAAGTCAAATTATTTAATTATTATATATGTAGCTCTTTTAATTTTGTGCCTTGCAAATCTACATAATTGACGATTTCTATCAGAGTATTGTTTGATGCAAAAATATATAGAAAGGATTTGTTACAGTCTGACTCATGGCAGGCATCTACGGATGACCTCCTGGAGAATATTTTCTCCCTGGAACAAGGGTCATTGGACTTTCTGGAGGAATCTATGCCAGATTTCAACTTATGTCCCAATGTACCGCAGCCAGGAGGCCTAAGCAGTTCTAGCTCAGATAGTGGTGTGTCCACTGACCAAACAGAATTGTAAGTAAATAATTTAATGTGTTATTTATTCTATAAATGATTTGATCATATTTCAAGACGTAATGGGGCATCCCCTTTCTTTACTTATTTAATATAAACCCATATTTTTATCTACAATTTATTTTTAATAGTATTACAATTAGTAATCAAGTTTTTTAAATTTTTACAATAGTTTATATTACATAGCAATTTTATATTGCTTAGATTTCAAACAACTGGTTAGCACTTTCAACTTGTCCTCATAATCTAAAAAGTTTGAGTTTGCTCCTTATAAAAATACACAGCAAGCAATTACATTGTGCTTATTGATATCTGTTACAATACATGTAAGCATTTTGTTATTATTGGGTCGAGTCTTAATTTTACACTATCAGCATAACTCTACTACGATTAAAATAAAAATATGTAGTATTTTATAATTTGAAAGTGAAATCATTATTTTACTATTGCGACATGACACATTTAATGCACTGATAAGAATTATAGCCTCGGTAATGGTTTAACATCAATATTTTCTTTAGCCTAGCAACATGTACTGGTACTTAATTGATCTTCAAGGTTTTTGAAGCTTAGGTACTAGGTGGCACTAAATTTAGCTTTACTTGACTACAGCCTAGGCTATTGTTGAATTGGGTTGGATGCACTAAGTACGCACACATAAAATACTTTGCTTATAAATTGGAAATGATGAAGTACCATTTTCTCTCATATGGGTTTGGATCATACCTCATCAATGGGGTAGTTTGTGCTGCACTAGTTAGTAAAAAGTACAAATCAACTTTAATTATGGCGCTTATCGATCGCATACAGTCTATAATTAATTTTATTTCTATAGCAACAAAATGCTAATGGTTTTATAAAGTCTGTGATATAACTTGTCATCACATTCAACCTCAACCTTAGATTATGTCTATGGCCTCTGGCTTTCCGTTATATTATTTACATTGTTGTTACTTTATGAGAACGTTAAAGTATGGTAAATGTGTTTTTCTATTAGTACTTTTTTAAACAACCGTATATACGTATATCGTTAGTTAAGTGATGTTATTGTTATTGAGACTTCTAAACATGGATGTTGCCGCTTCCGCTTAAACAGGTGGACAGGCACACTTCTGTGTCCACTTCACTGATAGGTTTTACCTACAGTACTATATTCGGTGCTATTTGCCGTACTCGGGTGAAACACTCTTATGCTCTTCAAAGATATAATTTTAAAATTCGCTTAACGAAATGATTCACAGAGCGCATTATATTATGTTTGTAAGCCATGTGTCTAACAAAGCTTTACAAAATATTACAATACTTCAAAACCGAATCTCATTAATATTTTTAGCGTTGAACTTTTTCTACGCAGTTTCTTGCTTTGAAAGGCGAATTTGCTTTGGTAGTTATTGGAATTCCAGGCACATATTGTCACACTCCATGTATATGTATATCGATGAATCATTTGAATTTTTAACGTAGGCTAACGGTTTTCGAATAACTACTGACCAATGCACCCAGCTAATCAGGCAGTAGGCCTACAACAGAAAAACACAATGCGCTAACGACCTCTTTTGGGTTCAGACATTCGAAAATCAACAGACTCAAACCGAAACGCAATAAGTAAAGTATCACAGCTTTTTTATTGGTTCCTTACCCGGACTTTCAATTTATAACATGTATCAGATAATTGTAAGTTGATCAGAAAAATGGTAGACCCACGTAACCATGGCGTAAAAATCTGGGTTCATATAGGTGTTTATGCGTTAGATACTCATAATAAAAGTTTCATGAATTATCTACTGAAAATTAACATAAAAAACAATTTAATCAAAAACACTTTAACGGTTTAAAACGCGATATATTAGTTAAACTTATTCGAAAATGATTTTTAACTTCGGCCCGACGTTTCGGATGCTTTGCAGCAGCCGTGGTCACGGAGAGACATGGTCCCGTTAACTAATATATTGCGTTTTAAACAGTTAAAGTGTTTTTTAAATGTGTACTACTCGCGTAAACTATAGACAGTATTTAAATGTTTAATTAGTAAAATCTATATGGCTCTGATAGAGTGGACCTTGGTTTGAATCAGAAGACTATATATACCCCAGACTCCAAATAGTACTAACGGTACTTCACCAAAAAAGTAACGTACCGGATAAGATAGGTTTATATTATTCTTTAGTGCTCTTGTTATATGTATATAGATTTGGATTAGATTGTTATTTTTAAACCCTGTTTACACATGGGACATTGGGGCGTACACATGTCTGTCCTTTTCACTGATCGGATGATATCCATAGCGCCACAGATAGTCTAGTTACGATTGTCATTTTTAAATAATAGATAGAGTGGACATGCTGTGTAAAATAGTAGGAGCATGCACGTACCTGAATTTATCGCATTAAATTGTTATAAGAATCGATATGACACCGAGGTCAGGCGTAATCTTGCGATACATGTTCTATATCAAGTTGTTACGAATTGCGCGGTACTGGAACCATTTCTTCACCTTGCTTTTTTGCATGAGTTATAATCGTATGTATCATTTGTAAAATACGCTGCTCTCAAGCCAGTGAAAGGTTAGCATAAAGTGTAAGCAAACAGTTTTTAATGTCCCATTTCGGTGCTATAAGACGTTTTTAAAGTATCACAATTTGTTACTTTGTACCGCGTAAAGCGAAATGCGTTTTTTACGTGCGACACACAAAAAAATTAACCCCTTAATAATCAAAAAGACATTTTAAAATCTACTATCCGACGTTTCGGATGCTTCGCAGCAGATGTGATTACGGGTGACGTTCCATATTGAATAAATATTTCGTGTTTAAACCCGTCAATGGGGTTTTAATTAAGATTAAGTTAGTTTTATTTGAATCACCATTGCAACGTGTTTAAACAAGAAAGTCAAGTTCATTCACTTTCTAAGATACTCGCGGCAAAATCTAACAGGTTTTTGACCAGTTATTTCGGGTATTATGTGATAAGTGCTAATGTCGTATAACCTAATAGTTTTATGGTAATTCTGGAATTGAAATAACTTGTTTCTCTTTATAGTAAAATGATTTTATGTTGTTCGAAACTGCTTTGATATTTTCAACGTTTGCTTTCGACGTTCGCCTTCCTCTACTCTTATAAGGAAAAGATATGGCAACGTAGTTTTTATGGCGTTCGTTCATGTCTCACTTGCCTTGGTGAAATATCAGGGTGAAGTGTAATATTGAACTGCCTCTATATGTCTTCCTTGAGAAATATTCTTCCTGAACCATTCTTCGTTCTGTTATAGTAGTAATTTAACTGATTTAAAATATTAAAATTAAATTTCCACTAAATCTACAGGAAGATGCGCTCTATTTTTATTAAAAAAATGGCCGTATTTTAGAAACACTAACGGTTGAAAACGCGAAATATATAAGTTGAAGTTGTCTACAAATCCTTTTTTAGTACGCCCCGGCGCTTCGGATGCGTTACCATAGCCGTGGTCACGGGGAGACTTATTTTATAACGTTCCAATTGAAGTATTTGATAATTTTTTTGTCACTATGGTAATAAAAAAAATTGTTTCAGTGACTTTGAACAGCAGCTATCGCCGTTCCTCATACAGAACTCATGCGACGAAGAGGTCAATGCCCCTTCCCTGGAGCCGATGAGCCCACGGAGCCAAGATGTGGTCATCAACAGCAACGACGCATCCAACAGCTCTACGGAATCAGATACCTTTGATATGCTGGATTTTGAACAGAATGTTGTACCCGGATTCATAAACGACAATACATTCCATAGCCAAGGTAAGTTTAAACAGCCGGTAATTTAAAAGCGTTATTTTTTAAATTTTCGTCTTTAAACTTAATATGTTGAATCTACTTTGAATTGATACTCAAATGCGCATTGGCAAATTTAGTTTTAAATCATGCCGCATGTACATAAACTACACGACAGACTAGTGTAGAATTTGACGGGCCCGTTTCTGTAATGGTAGCAACGTGCGGCTAATAATCAACGGGTCGTGGGTCCGATCCCCACCGGGTCCAACATTTTTCTAATCTGGATATTAAATAGGTGGTAGAAACATCATAACTCATTCCAGGTCACAAACCACCGTTCACAGTAAAGGTGTGTAGTTTAATCACGCTTCTTCGTCTGTGGATTTCTGAATATCCAAAGCCAAAATAGGTCACCGCGTATCTTGTTTAGACACTATAGGGGTATTTTACCTACCATAGTGGCCCATACTTGTCTGTACTACCTCCTACTAAATACTAAAAAAAAATAGAATACGACAGAATTTTGAACCTTCGAAACTACGTCCTTTCGAAACCTATCTACTTGTTTTATATTTTACCACATTTTTATTACAATGACAATACGTAATTGTTTTCTAAAATATTAAAAATGTCTCTTGTCGAACTTGTGTCACTTGATTCTGTGTTACGAAATTCAATATGAATAGTTTTAATTAAAATGGTGTCAGCACTTGCATGTGTTTAATACGGCCTGTTTCGTGTTTAAATATTTGTTTTATGGTTTAATTTAAATATTCGAAGGTTGTATTCTAGCACATGAGTCATATTATATTGTTTTATAGAAAATAAATACGTAACGTATGTCGGCAACTACATTTTTTTTAAATATTCTTATCCTTAAAAACATAATATGTAAATGAAGGAAAATAAATACAATTATATATAGAAAAAATCATTATATTATTAAAACGAAATCATCCAGCCACGCCATGTTGGGACCTAGGTCCCAACATTGAGTGACGGACCTGTCATACGTTTCGCATAGTTCAAAGAACGCCAAATCCTACATGTAGGATATAGATTTTATGCTCGCTATTAGATGCCCAAGCAAAACGTAAGTCTGGTCTGATGCAACAATTACTGACTCACGCATATGTTAATAGTTGAACGAATGTAGAAAAATCTAAATGAAGACGCATTGTTTTCGTCTATGTAATATAAATTTGTTTGTTGACGAATCGTAAAACGAAATGGTTTTTACCATATTACTAGATCTCTGTGAATAAACATGTTGACAACTAGATAACGTTTTTATCTAATTGAAAGCTCAAATATTGAGGACGGAAATACAATGGTGGTATATGTTTGTAATGATAACATTTGTGTTTTTAATCATTATTATCAAAGCGCTCTTCGGCTTCTGGAGATAAAGTTAATCTATCGCGATAAATTTTGGAAGGACTAATATCCTCTTACATTTTTAAGTATCCATAATCAAATTTTGTTTTTATTGTATGAGGGTAGATAGATTTTTTTGCCGTCATTGTTTATAGTTACCTACTTAACACTGATTATTCTAATCTAAACTGTGTTTATAGGCAAGTTAGAACGAAAACGTCGCCTCTCAAGTACGAGCCAGACTTCAGTGCAACCAAAAGTTCAGAAACCTACCATAAAAATTCCGGCCACATCGGTGCAGAAGCCGCAGCTAGTTGTAAAAGCTCAACCACAGAAGCCCGTGAAGGTGGCCAATATTCAGGTCATCAGTCCGCAGACTAAAGTGTATTCCAAACCTGTCGAATCCGTCGCTCCACAGAGACGAGTGATCCGAGTGGCGCCTATGGCCGGTGGCAACCCCAGATCCATTCTGTTGCCAGTGACAATAAAGGATATGAAGGATTTGAAGTCGATAAAGATAATAAATGCGGCCGATTTGAAGAACGCTTCGAATATTAAAATAGCTGCTGCAAACTTCCTATCTCAAAGCAAGCTGCACGATATTAAGGAATCTAGGAGTGATTGCGAATACGACAATCTCAATGGCGGTGAGTGGAAGTTTTGCTTGACTTATCAAAACCCGGACTTAGACTCAATTTCAATTCCGTTGTATGAATCATTTTATACTGCGTAACTTCTTGTGTAGGTCGTTGGTGTCCGAATATCTAAAGCCAAAATAAGTCGACAACACATCTAGTGTAGATGTTATAGGGCTGGGGTTCACCTACCATAAATTCATTCAGTAAAGATCTGGCTACAATATGGCTGCAATACAAAATTTTACGTCTATTTTACCTTAAAATGTGATATTAACTTGAATATGTTAAAGTACGTTTTTCGCCTATGTACAAGTGGTTTTTACCGATACACGGTAAGAAAATAATTTTACTGCAAGTAGGATGATTTACAACAAATTAACTGCCATGTGTTAGTTGTAGCCAAGATAAATCAATAAAAAGATTTTTCGCATTTAAAACCGTTGAAAGCGTTTATCACGAGAGCGGACTGGTGATCCTTTAAAACATGGAGTCGTTTCTTGAAATTCCATTCATTAATATGCATATTAGGGGGCACCGATGCAAACATATAAGAGGGAATAGTTTTGCCGAGACATTCGTGAAGCATCGTAATTGATGTCAATTGTTTTATTTGAACGTGTTACCTACTTGGTTACGCTATACCGTTACGCTGTGATTCGGTCATTGGTCTCGGCCACGCAGAACACGTACAGACCTCTTCAATATCTTCATACAACTTTCAAGGCCAAAATTCCGCGCCATTTCTTTAAGAATAGTTCGCGTACTCGCTCTTAAAAAAATATCCTTCAATGTGTGTTGTGTAACGCTTCAGTTTAAAAGACGAATAATTAACTACCCAATCAATACTCTAATCATACTGAATTTTAATTTAAAACCGATTTTTAATTTACATAATGCCATCATATGCAATAACATGTGAAAAATATTAAAGTTTTCAAACGATAAACGCTGTAATTTCCTTTTTAATAATTTTCTTAAGCTGCAGACACATTACGGGAGAGGTGCAAGTAACTAGGTTGAAAAAAATGGATGATGACGTAGGATTAGGGTACGGTAGCTTAATTGGTTAGAGCCACAGCACGGAAAGCTGTGGCTACCGGTTCAAATCCTGTCCGTATCGTAAAACTTTCTCAATTTAAAATCGTTTTTTAATCTACCCCATAGCCATACTCCATAATAGCCTCCTGTTTTGAATAGCATCTGCGTACAGCGAGATTATTTTTCTATATTCCTTATTAGACTATTTTTTAACATTATAAAGCTATTATTTCGTCTTGTAATCAATAGAATTGGAGTTTTACATTTTTATTTAGATAACAGTAACACGTTTTACCAAGGCTATAAAAAAGATAATTAATATCTCATGTTAAGAAAGCGTTTAATTTCCTTGCGATAATTGTTTTTAGTTTCCAAAGAATTTAGGTTACTAAGAAATTATATTTGCACACAAGCGAATGTTAGTAATCCACTAAAATGGAAAAATTAAAATTCTCTCAAACGTTCTCAGTAACATATAAATGTGACGAAGATATTAAAAATTAATGTACTGTTACTGATTTCTTGTTTGCCTTATAGCCGCCATATTTGTTGTAAATATTTGAAGCCTTACGTCTTTTGTCATATGGAAAGATATTCTTGGAATAACCTTTGTCTGTCTGAATATAAATACGCTATAGTACATATCTATACCTACTCTAGACCGCCTTTGTAGCTAAATGGTTAAACGAGTTGCTTAGCATCGCGTTAAGCTCGAAAGGTACAGAGTTCGAATCCCGGGGCAATAATAGGTAGTTTCGGTCAGACAGGGCAGAGTGAAACGGACACAGAATGTCTCCCCAATCCAACTGTATCACAAGTCCCCATTTTTTCGATACTATGTTATCAATAACATTTTTATTGTATTTTTTATTAATCTTGTAGAGTTTCCTTGAATAGTTTATCAACTTCGGATACGTACATATCCTAATTCCTGATATAATACTTATATTGTTTATTTAGTGACACAACAGAATTTAGTTTTTCTTTGGGACGACATTAAATCAATCCAAATCAGATTATGTAAAATTTCCTATATTTGTTTTTAAGACAACACCAAAAATAACCATTTTATTGTTCATATTAATGCTAACCTATATTTCGTTTCGCATTTGAAAACTTTTTATTTTATTTTATACATATTATGATGGCATTATATAATATTGCGCGAGAGGTGCATATATTAACAATAGTTTTTAAATTCACTATGACGTGTAGGACGGTTGCTCAAATGGTAAGCAACATTACGGAGCGCTTTAGATGCAGGTTCAAGTCCCGTCCGTATCGTTATTATTTTTTTTATCTAAAATCGTATACATTAAAAATCAAATGAAACTTAAGGGGACTCGTCAGGCCCATACATTGCCTGCTGCTTGAGCAATTTAGCTGCCGTATCAATTTGTATTTATTTATTTAATAACTAGCTGTCTGTTATGATAAGTAAAACTAATATAAGGGATTTAGACGTTTGGATTTATAAATACCGTTATTTGCAATAGTTCCAACGTGTAGGATGACTAAGCCTTATCTGTCGTAAATATTGCATCATAACAGACAACGATAAAACCTCCAACGCGGAGCCCCCTTCGTGGCGTTACGAGAGGGACAGTTGAATTCTCATGCGTTTCCTTAGATGACTCAGGCAGCGAGCGAAGCGACGATGACTCTGATCAAAGGGACGCGCACGTTATCGACGGCAGAAACGGATATCCCCGTCTCGTTCTTACATCCGAGGAGAGACGTCTGCTTGCAAAGGAGGGCATCAGTCTGCCGACCAGCTATCCTCTCACCAAGCACGAGGAGAGGGAACTAAAGCGAATCAGGCGCAAGATTAGGAATAAGATTTCGGCGCAGGATTCTAGGAAACGCAAGAAGGAATACGTGGACGGGCTCGAAGACAGGTAGACCTTTGTTAGATGTAGATAGCAGGTAGATTCTTATCACATTCGACAACTTGTTTTGTACTTAAACAAAACTCTTTAACGGTTTAAAAAGAGATATGTATTAGTTAAAGTTTTTTTGGAAATCATTTTAACTATGGCCCGACGTTATCCCCAAGGCGTCCGAAACATCCGAATAATTTCCAAATAAGTTAAACGAATATATATCGCGATTCTGTAGATCTGTCAAAATATTTGTATCTCGGAATACTTAAAAGCTTCGCTATTTGATACTTTGTAATTCGTTTTATCTAAGTCACTATTGCCCGGAGAAGGTGTTCTTAAATTTCTTTATTAAAACCATTAAAGTGTCCTGATTGATATATTCTTAAAAGGGATTGCATCACACAACACTGAACAAAATGTTACTCATCTTAAAAATACAAATTGGAAAGTCTGCTTTTCTATTGTTAGTTCGTTACACTTTGTAACGGATCTATACAATATCGACTTTTGCGGAAAGTTAGGCAATTTTTTATTCTTTGGCGAAAAACACTAAGCAGGGTTACATTATTAAAATTTACGTTTTTCCGTTCATTTGTTCGTTTGGTATATAAGACGGCAATTCAATTTAGGATGTGGTAGTAAAAAATACTTCTTTCTTTCTAGGGTCAAACAATGCACAGCTGAAAACCAGACTCTGATGAAGAGGATAAAACTATTGCAGACTCAGAACCAGACCCTTACACAACAGCTGAAGCGGCTACAGGTTAGAAAGAAACCTTTGAGTTGCATCAGAAAAATAATTTGACTATTTTTAAAACATTTTAATAAGTTAGTCTCGAACTTTACCTATAGAAAACTTCGATGTGCATATCTTTGTTAGTTGTTTTAAGACAATAACGAAATTCATATATACGGGAGATATGTTTGTGGATTTTCGAATGTCCGAACCCAAAATAAATCGACAGCACATCTTGTTTCCAGGTCGTGTCCATGTCATGCAACTATATAATACATTTTTATTTTGCAGAATGTCCTAACCGGAGTAACGCCCTCTAGTGGTAAGGCACAGCCGGCGACCTGCTTGCTGGTGCTGCTGCTGTCTGTCGCCCTAGTAGCGTTACCCTCAATGCGAGAGGAACCAGTAAGACGCACAGATCGCGCGGCAGCGTCTCCGCCCATTACCAGAGCGCTGTTATCCGCTACTAATAGTGAGTAACTAAAATATTTTTTTCTTGGAAATTTGAGCATTATTTTGACAACCTTCACCAGGTAAATCAACGTACTGGTCGAGCTGCGGCCGGCAATAGTTGTGAAAATCCCAATAATAACAAACAAAAAACATCCCTCTTGTGTTTAGCGGCAAATTTCTATGTAATATTATTATAATTTGTCGTGTAATTTAAAAATGGAACCATCTTCTACTCTGCACCAAAATATTGTGACTGTTTTAAAATATTACGACTACGCTATCTATAGAAATTGCTGGTTAATCTTACAAGTGCCTGAAGTTCTGATCTCGACACATACCCCAAATGCAACTTTCATAAGCGTAAAAAACTTTGTGAATGTCACAAGTCTAGATTGAGGTGTAATCTTTCAACTGTAAAGTGAAAGTAGAGTTACACTGTAACTGTACCCTGAATGCAACTATTCATTGTCGCTTGTGCAAAACCGCTCGAATTTTTAAATACCGCTATTTTGTTTCAACGTTATAACAAAACTACTGTAACATTGATAGTAAATAAGGTTAATGGCAAGAAAGACAAATGAAACACACAATTTTGATATTAAACGACAACAAAAGTGAGAATGTCAAAATCTTTTCGTCCTATTATTAGGTACGAATTCTACGCAATTGTTATTTCAACATTTTCTTTTTATTTATATTACTTAAAGATCCTCAAAGATATAAAAATGTGCCATGTAATATATTTACAGTTACAAATGACTAATAGATAAAGACAGTATGCCTTAAGGAACTGAAGTATTAGGTTTTATTATGGCTATTCCCACATTTATCTCTAGCTTAATTTGATTCTAAGAAATTGACATCAATGAATGGTGGTTATTAGTTACTAGCATACCGAATGAGCTGATTATATAAGCATTCTGATAACAAGGCGGCTGCAAGCGTTACGCAAACGACACTTGAAATACCGCTTATCTAACTGCTCGATTTAATCGTACTTTTATATATGGGATATAATTTCGTCTGGTTTTTTATTACAAATGAATTACATTGATAAGAGTATAGATATTGAATTAAACGCATTCAAAGAAAAAAATACTGCCTTTGGTAACATATGATCAAGAAATAATATTATTGTCAAAGTAAGATCTTCTAAGAATCTTAAGACACTTGTTAATGAAAAATACAGTAATAAAATCTATTTTCTTTCTTTCTTGCCAGAAATGGTTCTCGACGAGACGGTAATAGACGATGGCGAATTCAACATGGACGAGCTGATCACCTTCAACCGAGCCCACTCCGACCACGACTACCAAGTAGTGAAGCACGCAGAACCAAAAGTACTCTCCGGGGGATACATGGATCTACCGATTGACGAGGACTGGCCGCCCAACAAGAAGCGCATGAAAACCCACTTCGACTTCGAAGGCGGGAAGGACTATCTCGCGCCCATCGTCAAACACGAGAACTACGAAGTGCCTAAAGCCAACCCCAAAATTGAAAACGACTTCGATGCTAACTTTTTGACCAATTCCATACTGTCTACTGGCCGCAAAATCGGAGAACTGTTAAATTCCTTTCCGCTCATCCCGGTCAATAATGAGGACATTTTAGTTGAGGAGGTGGACTTCGATTCTCGAAACAACACCGAGATCAACAGCTTTGTCGTCAACGGGACCCTGAATGAAATATAATTTTCTACCAATTAAATGTTTATTTTATCCATTTTTTAAACGCCTCATTCGTCCTGCTTTTTTATATTTTTACGTTGTTATAAAATAAACTATAGTAAATGCTATGACTTATTTAGACGATAGACTTAGTTAATCTTGTCCATTTCTTTAAAGATTTGAATATTTATTTACAGAGCAAAATTAATATATCTTTGCAAATTAAATATATTTTATTTTATCCATTATTTTAAGCTCTATTTTAAAAACGTATTGTTAAGCATTTTCTTGTTATGATTCGGTGCAATTACATATAAGTTCTGATCTTCAGTGTTAGATACATAATAATGTTTAATCTTAAGATGTTAATGGTAAGTTTGATTTTTTTACACAATTACAATTGTAATGTGTTGATGAAGTCGTTGTAATTGAAATAAATATTGAGAATGGAATTGGCAATCTTTTATTATAGATTTAGCTAAAACGATGTCCTTTCCTCGATAACATTAACAAAAATATGGATTTAATTAAAGGTAGTTTTGTATTTGTTTGTACTACTTATAACACAAAAACTTAGCTGGTTTACTAGTAGCTGTTGTGATCGAATTGCCCGCTGTTATTTTGGCTACGCTTTATGTTATACTTTTTTTAATTAATTTGAGCAACGGAAACAGTAGTCAGTAAAGCTACTTTTAAAGTCGTTAAGAAAACATTTAATATTTCAGTCCTATCGTGGGCCATTGACAATGGGCGACACAATTTCCGCCACACAGACAGACATTTAATACACTTCGCAACATAATATTTGAAAGTTTAAATAAAGCTAACACTCGGTATACTCGTTATATTAAAAATGCGGATCGGCCTTTTTTAGTAAAATTAATGCTTATGTAGAGAACTCAAACACGACGATTTTTGAGTGAACGTGTTCCCTACGGTGGAACGTCGTAAACACTTAAATAAAAAAAATAAAACAAGCTTCTTATAATAAGCTTTATTTAATTATTATGAGTTAACAAATATTTTCGTATTTTGAAAACAGGTTGTGACCTTAACTGAATATAAGTCGAATTGCATATGCAAACTTTACACGTTATGAAAAAAAAAATATAAACACTGAGAATTGTTTCTATAATAATGAATATTTATTTTATACTTAACAATAAGAATTCAATTCAGTTTCAAAAGCATCATGTATTATTACATAAAGTTAATAACTAGCTCAAAAATCCATTTCGTGCGTCCTCAAGCCGATGACTTACTTAGTAAGCGATTTTTAAATTATAACTCCACCAACGCCCGGGACGCGGCCCTACACCGATCGGTGCCTTCTCAAAACGGGGACTTCCCCGTTTACGGTTTATGAAAAATAAACATTGTTTAAGTCGGCGATACTAGTTTCAATCACAATGTCGGTCAGTCGATTTTAACATTATCTTACCCATCCATTGGTCTACGCCTCGACCGGAATATGTACAAGTATTAGAGAATACTGTAATTGAAACTAGAAAATACCTCGGACAAAGTCACAATCGATTTACGTATATTGCTGCTCTTATAAATATTATTTCTAACATGGGACACAAACCTTACTTGGGTCATGAAGAAAGACAAGGCGTTAAATGATTACTCAATAACTTCTTGATGACGTCATTTTGAACTTTGTGACTTTGTCCAAACAGTTATGTCGATTTGTCGGTTCGTATCACTAGAACCACAATCAGATCACAAGAACACTGCGATTCAACAATATACTTTAAAATATTAACACACGCTGAATTTAAACTTTTATTAAAGAGATCACACATTATACTCTCTAATTTGATTATTCTATCTAGCAATAGAAAGTAACAATTAGGTACGACTATGGTATTCTGTATTAATAAGATGTTTCATATGCCTTTAATCAGCTTAATGATTGTACAATGAATATTTTTGATCTATCAACGAGGATTTACAAAGAACTCATGCGCACGATTTGCATTATCTATTCTTCTAATGACATAACAGGATTACATTTCAACGTCTAGCCGAAATGGAGTAGTGGGGTTAGGATTTGTGATGATGATATACAAAAGTTTTATAACGCCAATGGATGATCGCAAATTTCGACCGATGGCAGTTGCAAGCGACTTATTATCTTAGATAATCATTTCCAGTCAATTGTTAATAGGAGAAACAGAAATAAAACAAGATCGAACGGTTACGCAAAGGCTACGGAATCGCCTGTGTTTTCATAAGCCACGCCCCCAAAATGTCATTAGAATCAAATTATTGTTCATTGTCTGTCTAACGTCGATCCACGCGTACAAAGCCCGTTCAGCCATTCAATCTTGATTTCTCTGCTTACAATTTTTTGTTGACTTCGCTCACAAATACCTCGGTACTAGACTAGCAAAGGTCCGTGAGACGATTAACCTTACTCGGGTCGATTCGTTGCCATTTCTGTCCAAAGCAAAAATATACAAACGTTTCCTAAGCTGTACAATTTATACACAACGACAGCCGTGGATGCAACGCCACGAACGCTCCTTCGTTACCACGGCAACGCGAAGCGGCGTCGTTCAGTCTATCAATGATCCATAAGTCTTACTCTAACTGAATTGATGTAGTCCACCCACCCTGAGATTGCAACAACGGCCAACTCTTAACGATATAAAACATTTACTATATAATTTTTGGAACTTTAGACTGGCCGAAGTTGCAACCGAATCGACGGCGAATTTAAATCTACGTTGTAAATGATATTTATTTAAGGCCTAAAACTGAATTACGTTAAAAATTGACACGAACCGCGCATTTCAATGAGACATGTTTCAACCAGTCTTATAGGAGTCGAATTCGGGGTTCACCGATTGAAACAAATGTAATATTTGAAACTATTGTAATGAATTTATACATAAATTATTGCACGCTATATAATATGAACATTCACCTTTGAGTAATGACCGACGAATTCGCATACTCGGGTCGAATTAGTCGTACACATTCATACTCGAATACAATCGATAATTATTATTGCAAGAAATTGCCTGTTTAGATTCACTAAAACTAATTTGATAGGCATAAATAAAGACAGGAAAGTGGCAGCGCTAGGAACGGAGCCGATACGGTTATATTGTATTCCCCACAAATCGAACTTATATAGACAATGACTAAATAAAATTACATCTACAATATGCATATCGCGGCGCCCACGTTAAACATATATCTTTCCGGCCGGGCTAGCATGCGCGCTTCGACATATCTCTCGCCAGTAGACAAATTGTAGCGCGTGTCGCGTCAAAATGTTAAAATCGTCCCACGTGGGAGTCTAATCTTCACTTGCGAACTTCCATCAATTCTGCGTATACAAGAGTATGTAAGAGTAATAGTATGTATGATTACTTCTTCAGTTTCATTTTATGACAATTAGATTATTTTTTCTATAGCCATGTTAGCGACGATAACGATAGATGAAATATCGAGGCGCGCATACTAGGTCGGCCGATTCTCTTCGTGAACAAGTCGTCAAATGGGCAATGATTACCTACAGCTATGAACACTTGGAATAAATGAAGAATAAATAAAAATATACATTAAGTAATGATTCTGAAGTATTCTGGAGAGTAGTATTCGTTTAACTCTGACGCCGCTAGAATAGACACGAGTTCACACAAACTTATCATAGTCTCGATATCATCTATGTTATGGTAATTCATTACTTACGTAATAAAATAATATAAACATTGCATTCACATGGTTTTCACAAGGGCATCTGCGGAGAAGCGACTATCCGGTTCTATACGCGTATTTGTTCGAAAGTTGGAATGGCTCGATAGCTTAGTTCGTGGGATAGTTCTCGTGTCCCTAATGGAATCGAAATAAATAGGTCGTAAGATTTCAGTGAAATGAAAATAACTCGCTACGGACGGGAACACAAACGTTTAAACTGCCCACCGCACCGGTACATACATTATGGCGAAACGACTTGCTTCTTACTAAACTTTTTACTGATACTGAATACTGATTTAACCGTTCGTTGACGCGATGATTCACGCGTTCAAGTCGTTCTTCGTTCAGTACGATGAGAATTTGTGATAAAAGGTAGAAATGGCCACGTACATAGGAAATTGACCGAACGGACCGCCAATACCAATTTCAAATATTGCTTATCGAAATTTAACAGCAATATTAAATGCAAGCAGATTAAAAATTAGCTGCCTTCAAAAATTCCGCGACACGAAAGTAACATTGAACTAATTTATTTACTTACAATTTAGAAACATCAGAAGTGTTACAAATGTAGTGATATCCTTTCGGATAATTTATTTAATTATGAATATTTTTGGGGTCGTTGTTAACAATAATTTTGCACAATTTCAATACTCGATGTCAGATAAATCAAAGTAAATGGTGATATTATCAAAATATTCAATTACTATTGCTTTTTATATTGTCTATGTACATTGAAGATGCATAGATCGATAATACAAATATATTTGATTCTATTTAAATAATAAAATCTATATTATATAGTACAACTTGAGAGTTACGTACAGTGTAGGTTCGTTGAAAATTGTATGAAAAAAAAGTAAAATCTTATAGCGTCTAGCGAAGCTTTAAAAACGGGTAAACGATACCGATGTGAGGTCCAAAAATAATTGATTAATGTTAGTTAGATATTTTCAACGAACACATTGAATATTCAAGGTATCACTTGTTGAGGAATACCTTGGCAATACGTTGTTGTCTGTTTGAGTACGAGTCTGTAAATTAACGTGTCTGTAAATTGATGTACGTGCAGTAATGCGTATGTATGCGGTGCGGTCATGTTGGGCACACGCGTCACTTGTACGTGCGCGTCGCACACTTCTTCTTTTTGCGCTTGAAGAAACAACAGCATCTGGAATACACGGATTGTCTGTATGAAGATTTTAAAAGTCTGCCTTGGGTACATGCATCTTACATTATAGACGGGTATTGAATTCATATGAAATACTTAACTAACACATTTGATTGCCAATTAAAGGTAATATCACAATTACAAAAAGGAAAATTATAGCCAATCTAAAACATCTAGCGTACAAGGTTTGAAATGAAGTGTAAAAGGGTGAAATTAAAAAAGGAATAGAAATACCCAACGACGAGTGTTCACCGCCGGTCAAGCGCAAACTCCAGTCCATAGACAACATAAAACTTAAAAAAAGAGGGATTAAAATAAAAGGAAAACAAAAGCAATGCATACAGTTGCAACACTGACTTGGTGTCATCCACTACGTCAACCTCGTGGTGTGGTTGAGTGATTGGGGTGTTGCTGTGGCCCGCTGTCGGGTCGTCGGCGCCCAATTCGCCGTTCGTTGAACTCACCACCTGGAAAATTAATGAATATTACTTAAAACTAAGTCAAAGGATTCAATCGAATCAAACTATTCTTGAATATAATATTGTGACTTCAAATGCTAAGTTTCAGAAATCCAAATTCAGACAAACTTAATTTTTGGAGATAACAAAAATAGGAATCGAAGTGAAAGAGATTATATAACATTTCCTTTAAATATATAAACGTATTACTTGTTACGCTGAGAGGAAGTAACGTAATTTTATGCCGCATTATTTAAGACAAAAGACGGAAGCAGAAAAATCGAGGTACTTTTTACAACAGCCTTCAGCCAGTATTAGTATATTAGGCGTAAATGGAAAACGTTAATTAATCTGATTACTAGTTATGGTATTTACTGTTTTAAATTTTTAACTAAATTGCCGTGTACGCCAAGATACGACAGTTCCTCTAAAACCTCTAAAACAATTAAGTAAGGTATGAAACCAACTTTCGTCACTACGTTTACAGTATTTTAAGCGACATGCGGACAAACACATAAAATTTGCTGCAAACAACTGACCGTGGACACCGACCCAGGAAATTTCACATACCGAAAATGTTTATTCTTCAAAAGCTAAAAATGAAAAATAATAAAAATTTTGAATTTTCATAATAATAACAGATGTACCTTCTCTAAAACAAATAGGATAACATAAAACACAAACAAATGTTGAAGAGGGTAGTTACATTTTTGTGTTACTAAGGTATAATGGGACTTTGTGGGAATCATCTGACAAAACCTCTAAGGCATTTTAAATAAAACCACTTTAACTGTTTAAAACGCGAAATATTTTAGTTAAACTTGTTTTGCTGTGGTCTCCTCGTGACCACGACTGCTGCAAATCATCCGAAACGTCGGGCTCTAGTTAAAAATAAATTTCAAACAAGTTTAACTAATATATATCGCGTTTCAAATCGTTAAACTGTTTTATTTAAATGTGTACTCGCGTAAACTACAGACCGTATTCTCTAAGGCTTTTGTCTATAAAGAGTAGACTCCAAGCGTTACGATGTAGGTTATGTTATAAAATGTACTATTATGGTCGTTTCCTTTGCGCACCGACCTTGGCGATCAAAGTTTTTCTTGTTCAATATTGACAGTAAATCTAACCTGGACCGATCCGTGTCTGTCAGCGGGCGTCAAGTGGCCAGCAGTGAGCGGCGTTGCTTTGCCGCTGTGGGGCCAATTGCCACCAGTGTTTGCGGTACCACCAGTACCCGAGTCCTTTACAGCCCCCTGAAATGGAACGCAATTAGCCCATAAGAATTCAACATGGTTTAATGAAATTAGTCATGATAGAGAACGTTTGGTGGGCTTAGTATTTAAAGGAGACTATATTTAATTTAATTTATTTTATTTTCTATTAATCCAATTTCATATGAATCGTTACAGCTCTATAAGGGGTGAAATATATTGTATCTCAGTTTTTAAACCTAAAGCTTCAAAATGAATGTAAAAAACTCGATACAAGCAGTCTGTTTGTAAGGAGGCACTGATATCTGAAGTATTGGAAATCCACACAAGTTGGTTAGGTACTAGCTGACATTTAAAAAATCTAGAAGCGTCGGATATTAAAACAAAAGTTATAGACCATTATAACTTTGAAGTTACAATACTATACGCATTCAGGAAGAATGTATGATCAAATATTAGATTACCATGAATATTATTTCTTGTTCGTATCTGGCCCCTGTAATCCAAATTCAATATTGCAAAATCTTGTTTTGCTTTATACCTTGGCTTGTAAAGTTTAAGGCTAACCAGAAAAACACATAAGTATTTACACTTTTGTAAACGACACAATTCTGTTAGGTCTTTCTATTTCCTCTTCTGAGCCGAACAAGAATTACATATAACAACAGGGTAACCGAAATGTCTATTTCAAGGGGATACGATTTCTACGATATTTTAAAATTTAAATCATGAATGTCTACTTGGGCAGAGATGTATGAAACAAGAGTTGTAATGGTCTCAAATGGTCAAACAGTTCGGATGGGGTGACTCGTATGAGGGTAGCTCTAGCGATAACAAACTGTTTCGTTTCAAACCTCTCCGGATATGAGCGCCGCCTCATCGTCCTCAAGCATACCAATCATATAATCACACAAATCATCCTGTGCCGACAAAAAATTACTGTAAGTATGCCTACGCGTTGAACATTTGACAGGTGATGAAGGTAGCTCAATTTTTCATAATAGAGGGGGACTTTGGAATCGGACAAGCAATCTTAAATTGCTCTATTGTTACAGCAGTTAACACGACTGCCGTTCATAAGAGTTCGAATCCTGGTTCCGAAATATTTAGAATTTGGAACTTTTGTGAGAAAGTGATTATACCAGCCCGGATACAAGAAGTAGGTATCCCCGGGTCGGAAAACGTTATTGTTGGTCCCGGTTATTAAAATTAAGCCAATATGCCTTAAGCGAAAGTGGTGGATAGACTCTTAAAACCACCTATGCTATGAGTGACCTGTAGTGACTTGCATGATTTTACTAAAACGAAACATTTACAAACTTCTTACATAAATAACAAAACAAGTACACTAATGTCATTGTCCCAATACACGGAACATCTAATACATATATCGCTACAAAGATGCTATGCAGCTTTATAAGAACCAAAATGGTTTAGAATTTTGGCGTTAATTTTATTTTATATTTGTTTACGGATGATACGAGGTGCAGACTCAATTTCCTTAGTAAGAGGTCTAGGTGGTTTAACACATATGTGTGTCCAAATATAGATGAAAACAAAATCTCCTATTAACCCAGATTACAATTGAGCGCTTGATAATATTGGTTATCTTAAAATACATAGAGATTATTATGTTCTTGTCAGAAAAAAAAATATTATACATGAAAAATGTATTGTTAAATTTTATATCTCACCTTATGGAAGGTCTGGTGTCCACGGTTGGGTGAAACAACAATCTCGTGTCCTGTTTGAATCGAACCGACTGGCGTCGACTGAAATATAGTTAATTTTTGTTATATACATAGAAATGTGGAAAAACCTTGAGAATAGTACTTCTTATTATAGCATCTGATAATTCTTGTAATGAAGAACAACGAAACGATGAAATTGACATACAGGTGGTATACTAGCATTAGTTTTAAAAGAATAGTTTTAAGAAGTCATTTAAATAAAACACTGACGGTTTAAAATGGGATATATATTAGTTAAACTTATTTGGAGATTGTTTTAAATAAGTTTAACCAATATATATCGCGTTTTAAACCGTTTAACTGTTATTTAAATGTATATTACTCGCGAAAACTACAGACAGTATTTTATTACCTTCATTTAATGTAGTTGACACTTATATAGAATGATTTATAGAATTCTTAGTAAATTATCTAGTATAATGTATATCCCAATTGTATTAATAATCCCAGATGAACTACTAATATAGGAATGTAAGTGTTCGATGAAATTCAAATATAACTAATGAGAATGATATGACCGTCAAAGCAAAGCTATAAAAAGTTTACTGACCTTATCAGATTTATTTCTTACGATATTAGAGGGCGGGGCGTTGCGCAGGATTCGCATGACGTGCATATTCGATGGCTGCGTAAGCGGTTACGAAACGCATGCAAACATTCACATGCCATGCGTAAGCGTTACAGACAAACCAAACCACTTTTATATATTACATATTAGTTATTTATTGTTAATATGTTAAATGAAGCTTTATTCTGAAATTGATTTTAACATAAAAAATAAAGATTTAAAGGAGACTAATGCGATCAGAGAACTAAGTTGTTTTTAATTATTGAACATATTATAAGGTATGTCTTATAAAAGCTGTGGTCGTGGGTTCTGGTCCTACCCGCGACATATTATTTAAATCATAAATATATGTAAAATGGTCCATTAACATTAGAAAGTATTTCGACTTTGAGAAACTCAAGCATCACATCTATCTACAAAAAAACACAGCAAGTAAAAATTAAATTTATTAATAATTGTATCGCAATAAATACATTAGTTAAATAAGCTAGGGAGGTTGAGTAGCGATTTAAAAATAAAAAAAATTAAGCTTCCACACCAACTAGCTAGCTTTATAAAATTAGAAAATGATACCAAAGTCTCATCACAGTGCATAAACAAGTAGGATAGCAGAATCAACGAAAGTGTTTATAAATGCAAAACCCGAGATGAAAGCGCAAAATTAAGTTAGTCGCCATAGTTGTAAGACAATTAATTAACGGTTTGAAACCCGAAATGTATTTATTAAACTTATTTATTTTGACTATGGTTACACGTTTCCGATGCTTAGCAGCAGCAAGTAGTTGAAATAAATTGTAAATAAGTTTAACAAATATATTTCTCGCTTTCAGTGTATTATTTAAACAATAATTCGTATTAAAAAAAAGCAATAACGGAAAAGAAAAGACTCCAATAAAAAATCGTATCCATTTTCGTAGTATTTATATAACATTACAAAAGAGTTCATGTTCAAGCAACAAGCCGGGCGAGGTTGTGCAATGTTGCCGTACATGTTGTGCGTCTCGTGTCGCGCGACAAATGTTGCCTAGTGGAAACCCGGCTTTAGCATTAAGTTTATTATTGATTTCAGCTAACTGATTAGAGCTATTTTTTCAATTTGAGGTAGCAAAAATCAACCCACATCTAGGACGACAAACTTGTACGCGAAATTTAGTTTTTAAATTTGACATAAAAGATGGCTACTAAAGGAAAGATTCACATATTTACAGGTTCTATGGCTATTATATATTTCACAAGTATCACCAATAGTTGAGGTATTAGCAGATGGGCAACCGACTTATCTATATGAAAATGAATGGATTTATAACGATTATTTAAATGAGAATAAAGTTAATGCACACTTCATAGAGTTAATTTGTGTATTTGGAACGTATAAGAGTGACAACATTTCTCCCGATTGGTTTAGCTGGCATTAAATTGAAGCTAACTTGCACTTCTTTATTTTTCTATGACTCTTGCATCTAGAATAGTAATATTATATAACTGAATGTAAATTAACTAAATCAATTTAATTAAAAAAAACATTGTGACGTATATTCATACTAACTACTGAATTGGTTAAACTACATTCGTTAATAAAGTTTGAATTGTGACCTAGAGTTTTGTGTTCTTATGTGGTTTATCGATTATTGTGATAAGTGTAAATTTTTTTGAACATATAATAGGTACGCTGTAACATGGTGTGAATGACAGTTGTATTACGTTGACACCTGTCAGTACATTACTAGGGTTGGGACGTTTAGAAATTATTTTTATCGCTGGCTATATTAGCGGCATAAATCTTGTTCTCTTGAATGTTGTTATGTTTTAATTGTTTAATAATAATAAATGTTTATAAAAATATTATTTAACTGGCAATGAATATTAATTTTATTTTATAGGTATAATGTTTTATTTATTTTTTTGTTGTACTGTATGTATCCTTATCAGCTTCATTATTTCTGGCTGTTACTCTAAGTGACCATGGGAAGCCACTGAAAATCGGCGCTGGAACAAATCTGTTATTGTCGCAACAGCTAATTGATGTCCTTTCACAACAAAGTTAATGTATATGATAATTGTAAACCATTCAAGTATTTTCTATATCATTGTATAAAATCTGTACGTATAATCTTCGGTGTGGATTAAATTGAATTGATGAGGAAACTCTGTTATAGCTGATTATAAATAATATTGTTTACTCTTGTTATACGATTTCATTATAAAAACATCGACGAGCAAGGACTAGCGCCTTGACGCAACGCAAGACCTCTTGCACACTATACTGTCACCAGAACCATGCTACAGCGCACATACTATAAATACGGAAGATTTGAATGGATAATTTATAACACAGAGATGGAATTTATGAAACAGCCAACAGTGAAGTAGAAATGGTACCTTGAGGGAAAGCAGCCTTAATATACAAGAGATCCAAATGTCCGTGGCCCAAACCAATGAGGTACCGCGCTACGGGGTGTGCAACGAGCGTTTGTTTACCATTGTCTTGCCGGTCCAGTCGAACTCCCCGTCGTCGACGTACCCGCGCCGCTCGAACAGCTCGCGGAACATCCGACGCAGCTGGTCGTAGTCGGGCGTCTCGAAGAAGTCCAACCGCCGAACGTAGCGCAGGTATGTCGCCATCTCCTCCGGGTGACCTTCGCATAGCACCTACGTGTTCGCAGAATAAAGGAACAATGTGAAAACTAGTAGTTACACGAAAGAAATGTTTAGGGGTTAACTAATGAAGTTTTACTGTACCCATCAATATGTAAAAAGCAAAACATCTTGTATTAGATGATTTCTTATAATAATTAGATATCTATTTAGTTTGAAAATAATTTAAGACACGGGCGGGCCATGAACCGGCACCTTACCGTGTCTTTCACGTTATCGTCGAATTTTTTCAACTTATGATGGATACATGCACCATTTGAAAATAAATTATTAATTTCTTATATTTTACGAAGTTTGACGGATGAGTAGTAGTTTTTAATTAAAAGACAGAAACACGAGAGGGCATTTGGGAAAGTGTGTGACAGTGAAACAGAATAACGAACCTCAATGGGAGTTGCCCGTTTCGTATCGCCGATTTTTTGGTATCTTTCTTTGAGTGTATCAGCTTTTAAACCCTGCCAGGGTAAGGAACCACGTAAAAAGTACATAAACATGTGCCCGAGGGCCTCTAGGTCGTCGCGTCTTGATTGTTCTGAAACACATTTGGAAATAGGGATTATTATTTGCACCTTTTTAATGATAACAAACGATCATCATAGTTTTTTGTTGCAAACAAATATAATAATACCTTTTTTCTACCCCATAAGTACTAAAAATTAATTATACTTGTTTTATGTCAGTGGGGAGAAAATGGAGTGGGTTGATTCCACAGAAGGTTAAATGTAACATGTTAACACGATGGGTTGTCAACCTACTACGGCTTGGAATGTTCAGAAAACCACAGATTAAAAAACCAATAAACATTTCACAGCTTTACAAACAGTTGGTGACTTCTGACCACTACAGATTATCGTTATTCCTACCACCGATTTAATGTAATAATATATACAGTCTCACCTTTTCCTAAATGTGTATTTATCGACATGTATCTGGCTGTGCCGGTGAGCGACTTGTGTTCCCGGTACGGAATATGTTTGTTTGTCTCTAAGTCTATATATTCTTTGGCCAAACCGAAATCTGGAATGAGAGATATATAAGATTATAGACTATAAAGTTGACTATTATGTAGACTTAAAAATTTTAGCATTTGTTGTCTTCCTGGTTGTTGGATTCCTCAATGTGTATGAGTTTTAGAAACAGTACCCTTAAATAGATAATAACTTGGGTACTATTCCATATTTACTTACGTCCATGTAATATGACCTAACATAGTACTTTTACTTATGCCAGCAGCGGCCGTATCACTTGGTTTCCTAGCGTATGTTACGTATTATAAAATACCTCTGTTACGCACAATTTTCAGTGGTTATATTCTGACCACAGAACCCAGTGTTGTTTAGAAAGAGTTACGGTACTGGATTTCATACAATACCCTAATAACTAGCACTGCCTTTCGTGGACTGTGCGCTTTGAGGAGTTGTTTAGAAAATCCCATGATTAAATAAACACTTTTAACGGTTTAAAACGGGGAAAATATTAGTTAACTCATAAAATATCAACTAGGACGAAACAGATGGCGCTAGAATAGCAGATTCGTCTTTGATATTAGGGCCATCCCCATCTTGCCCACGACTGCTGCAAAGCATCCGAAACGTCGGGACGTAGTTAAAATAAATTGTTTTATTTAAAAGTGAACTCTCGTTAAATAGGCAATAATTAATAATAAATCCAATCCCACGATTAAAACGCTAAGGAAAAAATGACTTTTTAGGATTTGACGCAGTTTCGGGTGTTTGTCGTTGAATCAATAAATGGTAACATATTACGAGCGTGTTTGTTACATGCCCTATAAATTCCGTCTCGATACGTCTATAAGAACATCGACAATCTCTATCTAATCATTGAAACCATATACAGTTACAAATCCTTATACATTTAATTACGTAAGAGGCATACGTTTTCAATCTAAAGTTAGACACTAACTACTGCAAAGCCCATAACGAGATTACGAAGGTCAGTTGCAATCGATATGCGAAAACTGTTATGTAAAATCAAGGTGGCGAGGAGCGTGTTACCGAACTTTTATCGCATAATTTGTGCCAGCCATTTCGCGAAATACCTGTGCACTGACAAATACCTTAATGCCTAAATAATTTGGATAGATTATTCAAGCTTTTAGATTTTTTTGCATTAAGCGCGAAAAGTCCTGGATTCGAATGTGTCGTGAACGTGTCTGCCCCATACTCACATAAATCTGGATTTCACTGTTATGTATGCATCATAGGTTTATTTTTATCTAACGATTTTTTTCACAAAGCATATGTTTTATTTAGTTATCGTCAACGATACTTTGCGACATACGGTTTATTAGCTTCCCTATTTTAATCTATGTATTGTAAGTAATATTCATACATAGGAATTTTACTAAACGGTTTTTTTTAATCATAGAGGTGGACAGACAAGCATGTGGGCCACCTAATGGGAGGTGAGCCGACTATATAACACCTATACAAGATGTGCTATCGACTTATGTTAGCTTTGGATTTTCAGAACTCCACAGACTGAAACTGAAACGCGATTAAACTTCACGCCTTTTTCATTTGTGGACGGAATTTCGATATTTCTACTACCACATACTACATTTAATACCCAGATATCCAAACGAAGTCCAAGATGTGTCAGGCAAATTAGAAACATGACCCGACGAATGAACAGATGAATTGGACCCGACGGGAATCGAACCCACGACCCGTTGATTATTATCCATACAGCTATCATTAAACCAACAAGCCCGCCAATTAAATCGATTAAGAAATAGAAATATCAAGGTTTTAATATCTAAAAACTTGATGCATTCATATTTATTTCCTAATGAATACCTACCGAAGTATAGGTAGCCATGACGCATCGTTACTTCCAGTAAGAGCCGCGAAGATTTCGTCGTAGCGCAACGATGAATAATATATTTTTGTACAGAGCCCTCTCGGACTGAGATCAAAGATTCACAGTGTGTACTGTATATGTAACATTATATATGAAGATATTACATATTTAAGGTAAGAATAAAATGCATAGAAATAAATGTGGAAATATTGTGGAATTTACTGTAAATTCACGCCTTAGATTACTAAGCAATCTTTATGACTCCTTACGAACAGAATGGATAGTAAATTGGATTTTAAACGCGTATTGAATCTACTAATACTATTATGGCAGAGGTGGATGGTCTAACATGAGGTTTGATGTCGACCTTTGGAAAGATACTAAAACGAAAATTTTCACCTGCGGTTGTTAGTGTCTCGGACGATAATGAAAGATTGGTTGCCTGGAAGAGATCGCTCGTTAGCGATAAGGCCGCCCATTGCACTCCAAATGTTTAGTATATAACTTTATATTTCTGATCATTTTTTGTGTGCAATAAAGTGTAAATAAAATTAAAGTAAAAAACTTACCGATGATGTGAATGATTTTTTCCCTTTTAGTTGCAGTTCTACCTATTAAAAAATTTTCCGGCTTCACATCCCGATATATTAGGTGTCTCGTGTGGACATATTCGATACGATGTAACTGAAAAGGAGGTGTTTACCATTAGAGACTATTATAAACATTACCCAATTGTTACTTTTATAGAAAAAGTGACTTGCGTGCGCCTAAACACTGACTTAACAAAGTCATAATTAATATTACCCAACAATTGTTCTACTTTTACGTTAAGTAAATATTTCGCATGTAATAAACACGTTAGGATCAATGTGTGTGACCTATACTTTAGGTTGAACGACTCAATTCACTTCGAGAACTTAAAATGAGCCGTATTCGGACGATTCGCATCCCTCTATCATTTATGTTTTATGATTATGGCTTTTTTTCAGACTATGCTTTGATGACTTTATAAAGTAATTGTATATAACAGTTAAATGTGATAAAGTAACGAAAAAAAAAACTAATTTCGGAACTGCTGTTTTAATTTAATAATTTTTCGATGTGAACACTAGGGAGGGGGGGTCTCAGAAATGTGACCACCTGTGACAAGAACGGGGGGGGGGGCCCTAAAAATATCATAAAATCCGTGTGACGTACTTTAGGGATGACCCCATATAAGTCAATTATATAACAGTCTTTCCAACAATTTTTGAGACATTATTTCATTTTAATATTATGAAAGCCTTGTAAATCTGATATTACTATATCGATAGGGGCAGGAAGTGAATATTGTATAATGGGTCAACAGTGGTGCGTTTTAGCAGTTGGGCCGAACCGTACGCGTTTGTAATCCACTAAACTTTATGTATTTTATGCTAAAATAGTACATATATGGTGGTAATATTGATTTCCAGAGATAAAACACTACCTGTTTTTGTAATAATACTTATATTATACAATAATTTTAACTCGACATTATAAACAACGCTAATAAACGCAAGCTCCATTTAATGAAATACCTGCCACTGAAAGGGAATTCCCTGTGGACCGTGAGTCAGGCCGACGTTATTAGATAAAGGTAAACAATCATTAAAGTAAAATACTTACTTATTGCGTAGCTCGGAGTTGTAATGAGTTTTACATCTACGTCATGGTATAAGCGTCGTATATTTTGACGTGAGTGATATATGCTTAATTTTTACGCGACAACGGCGAAAGAGGAAGAGTAATGATTTTGTCAACCTTTGACATATCATAATTTTTTTTGTATGATCAACTCTAGGATTTAAAATAAACTTTAACTGTTTTGAATATGGCAAAGGAATAGATTTAATATAAATAAAATGGCGAAATTTTAACCTATACATTTTACTCTAGCAAATTTGACAGAGAACACTACAAAAATGTCTTTATATAAAGTTTTAAATAAAAATAAATGCAAGGAAAGCATTTGTGTGCGGCCGTTGCCGATGTCGGGAATCGGGTTCATATTACAACTCACCAGCTGCATAGCGATCATCAAGACAGTCTTTAGAGAAAAACGTCTGCCGCACAAGTCGAACAGATCTTCGAGTGACGGACCGAGCAGCTCCATAACCAGGGCATTGTATTTACCGCACGGCCCGAAGTAGTACACCTCCGGAATCCCTTCTGCTGTCGAAGGCGCTAAGGACGCACGGGAAATGGGGGTAGGAGAGTGGAAGAGAGAAAGATATCCATGATTTAGTACTTACAGCATTGCTCTCGCTCGCACCGCGGCGACACAGCACAGTAGCCGATTTTGTCGAGTCAGTCTCGCGAGAGCAATGCACAAAATGTTCGGGCACTCTTACAAAAATGTTCGGGCAATGGGGCGGCCCTCGACAACGTCATGAGCACGGCAGTTGCCCTCGCGATAATGTGGTTTATAACGTCGATTATCGGTTGCGGTGCTGTGTCACGGATAAGACCTAACTACCGTATCGATTGCACGCACTTACGAGCTGCATGGCAATCAAAAGCACCGTCTTCAGCCTGAACCTTCGGCCGCAGTGTACGAAGAGATCCTCTAGAGAGGGCCCTAGCAACTCCATGACCATGGCGTTGTAGCGGCCGCCGCATGTACCCAAGTAGAATACTTTTGGTACACCCTCTGAGCAATTTCCCGAAGGCATTATTTATTAGACTACGCCTCGTGGTCAAATATTCTAAGAATTTTTTATCTTGATCAAGATTCTTATGTCTACGCTTCAAAGAAATTGACATCATTGAACATTCAGTAGACGTACTTACCATGAGTTCCTAGTAATTTGTAAAATCGGTACTCTAGATGTAGTTGTGGAGCCTTGGACTTCATTGGCTCCATCTTGATCGCTACATGTTCATTGTTGTAGAGATTTTTCCCTGCGGAGGAAAACAATTATTATAATAAGAAATATGTTTATCCTTAACTGAAGATTTTATGAAATTATATTAGTAACTTTATCGAACAGCAATCTCGCACGCGGAGGTCAACCATCATACCGGATTTAACGTCATACTTGAAAAAGATCATCTTAAAATTATCGCATAACCTTGAATTTCGAACAATAATCGCACTGCAAAGTTTGATTAAATATGAAATGACGTTAGTTATTCTAGTTATTTCGATCCCCATCAGGTCAAACATGTTTTTCATTTATAGTTTTTATTAGCCTGGAAATATGGATATTAAGTGGGTGGTAGGAATATCGAAATTCCATCCGGGTGGAGAACAATCGTTCACAGGTGAAAAATCCGTGAAGTTTAATCACATAATATATGTTTCAGTCTGTGGATTTCCGTATATTTGGATATACGGAAATCCACAGATTTGGAGCCTAAATATCTAATAATCGTAATCGTTTTCTAATTAAAAACAAAGCATAACGATTTAGGCAAAGTTTAAATTAGATCACGGCCTAAGAGCCCATTAAAATAACGTTATCAGACAGTAAACGAATCACGTAATAAAAACGTAGCTAATAGAATTATTTTGGTGTTGACATCATAAAAGTGCCATCCGTCGTTCTAGATAGTGGAACAGATGGCCTGATATTGACGTCCACTCTTCGATAAATAACTTAAGAACGGTACTCGCTGCGTAACAATAACAGAATACAACAAAGCTTCATATAGTTGCGACGCCGATGTTCTTTTGAGATAGCGGATGCAACTTCTCACACGTTTGCAATATAATGAGGTAGTTGTAATGTTACGGACAGAATTCAAGCTATAATAGGCACCTTAACCGTGTGCTAACTTTTTGCATATTATGACTATTTAAAGTCTGAATTCGAAAAGCTTCGAGTACACACTATTGAGGTTCAATACATTGATACGCTCGGTAGCCAAATGGTTAAGCTTTACCTAGCAGTACGTAAAGGGCGAGAGGTCCTCGGTTCGAATCGCAGAGAAACAATAGATAATCTGATCAACTACTTGCTTGTTAAAGAACCGATTAGTCAAGCGGACACACAAATGACCTCATACCCCACGGGAGAAACCGGGATTTCGCTCACATTGGTCGCCTGGGTTTATATGTAAAGAATACTTTCTTTATGCAGGTAGTCCTATAAATACACTTTATGATGCAGGTAGAATTACCCTCATACATGAGTGTGAGTGAAATCTCGTTTTCCCTGTGTCGGGCATGTGGGGGACACATTTCTGCTTCATTGATTGATTTTAATAACATAAAGTAATTGATTGTTAATTTTAAAAAACTAGGCAACATCAAAACAAAAACTCGGCAACACCGCCAATAAACGTTAATCTAAGGCGAGGGCATATTTTGGCGATTAGATTATTAAAACAGTTACATTAGAATTTGAAATGAATGAGTCATCGGAATGATTTGCATGTCTTATTCTTTTTACCATAAAATGGATGTTTGAGGAAATTCTAGCATCGTATAAGTAAGACCAAATTGTTTATTTGCGATTAAAGACCCAATTCCAGAAGCAGTAACGTAGTAAGCTGAAACGCGTGACGTACTTGGACATACAGTATAAGAAACAATATGTGGACGCTACTTCCTACTTTAAAAAATGGTGACTAAAGCCTTACAATCGGTCGTTATCGGGTCTCAATGATCATATCTTATCGGTACAAAATAATTCAATAACCGCACATCAAAGAATACACAATATAATAATAATAGCAGTTAGTACTGGGCTAATATTGTTATTGAGCAAAGATTAAGGATTGAGTTACTTTGAGAAAATACAATACAGCCTTGGTTAAATTTGGATACGAGGAAATACAATGTGCTTTTTCTGTTATACGGCTTGTAACTGACGTCGATGAAGTTACATATGTATTTCAATCATACAATAAGATACTTTCCACGTGTATGTTTGTTTATTAATTTAAATATTATGTGTAGTTTACGCGAGTAGTGCACATTTAAATAAAACACTTGTTTATTTAAGTTAAATTTATTTGAAAATGATTTTAAATACGGCCAGACCTTTCGGAGTCTTTGCAGCGGCCGTGATCACGGGGAGACTCCGTGTTAATAAGTTTAAGTAATATAAACCGTTAAGGTGTTTCAAAAAACAAACTTTTAGATAATTGACTTAAATTCGCTCGTAATGGACTTATTGGCCGGCGAACTAAGACATTAATTGTCTTATAATCTCAATCCGTATCTAGACCACGAAAATACCCGACAGCCAGGTAGCCTTCTCGAAGAAAAAAATCAGTGAAGCGATAAAGGCATCGGTAAGGTCATTGGCACTGACCGTATTATGCGGCTGTGAGTTGTGACTGTACGAGACTGGCCCACTTGCGCGTAATGGGGTCACTTAGGTTGCTACCTAATGGCTCCATTTTATATTTTATTGTCCGTGAACACGACTGCATTCAAATTTTGTGTGTCATCTAATCCCATAGCTAATTAATCCCAATACATTGAAATTTACGAAGAACCACTGAACAATAAAACAAGTATACCAAATATAATTTAGACAGTTAATCAGTTATTTTAACAATGATCATAGGCAACTTGCGGCACTCAGATAAATCTCGAATGAAATAAACGTAAAATCTTAGCTGGTTCCTTGGTTGGTCATCTGCATGATAACTTAAGTGAGATTTAAGTTAAGCCAAGTTAAGGTCAAAACCTAGAATTTAAAAGCCGCCATAATCAACTATGAATGTAATGTCACCAATTTCTGCTTTAAAATATACCTTACAAAAAATGTTCTACTTCGGTAATCTTTTCTCCGTACTAGATCATTAATATTTCGAACCCTAGGAGTAACAAATGAAATAAAACAGAATCATCAACTCATCTTTAAAACAGCTCAACTTAATTTCATAGTGCAATATACTAGAATTTACATAAGCAGATAATGTACACGTTTCATCTCACTCGACTGCATTAAATCTTATCGGATTAAGAGTTGAAAACGCGATAAACATGAAATAGAGTTAGTGCAATAGTAATACTAAGTTGATTAATTGTATATGTGTAAGAATGTCATTTGAAATGCGGACCTATAAGTATTAATATCGGAATAACGCCCCTGGAAAGTTGGAAAGTTAAAGTACGCACAATGCGAAATCGGAATGCAAAACGTTTGCTAATGAATAACTAATAATATTTTAAATTTTTTTGTAATGTAAGAAACACTGAGAGTGACGATTACGCCATTAAGAAGTCGCCACTGTCCGCGATTACAGTCTGTAGTACTAAGCTCAGTAGGTAGATAACTATTCGAAGAGAAACGTAATTGTCTTGTCGATCGATAGATTTAACTTACGCAAGAGCTATTGTCCGTAGATGTAATTAGAGTAGTATCAATATTATCCTACCTACGCCGTCTAGAAATAGGACATCTAGAAATGTGATAAATCGTTATTTTTAACACAGGCGTTGAAAATTAATATGTTATTTGGTTCTCATAAAAGAGGTATCACCGGTATGAAATGTACAAGAACGCTAATTAAAATCAATTGGTATTAATGTGATATTGCATACCGAGTCCTTGCAGTTCAGATGACGCGTGAATTTAAGAATCTCTTGACATATAGCTGAAGATCACGTACCTATCATTTAACTATGCAAGAATTACCTAACTCAAATTAAAGAAATAAATATAATTGGCTTTATAAAAAACAATAAAATTTATTGTTTTGTTGTTTGTTCTATGTAATAGACAAACATTAATTCCAAATGAATTTGGGTTATAAGAAGCTATAGAAGAGCTATTAATAATGGTGATCCAGTGAAATACGTAAATACCATTTTTAACGTTACTTAATAAATGCAAAACAAAGCTAACATCGTCATTGCAGAAGGACTAGACACAATAAAAATTACTAGATCTCGGATCTCAATTTACACAAGACTTTACAGAGCGTTATTTAATAGACGCACGCGCATAAATACGTATTTACTTGACAGATGTCATGGGTAATTCAATCTATGTTCAGCGAATTCACCGCGCGATAAATTGCAAACGATATCGCTTCACAACTCGTAGCTTTCGAGAGATATGCAGAAGCCTTTCTCGATACTATGAATATGTTCGATCAATTAAAAACGGACCGGTTCGTTTTAATTTTAGCACCCATTCATCAATGCCAAGATATAATGGAAATAACATTCGGTTAAACTATGTGTTTCTGTATATCATCTATTGTATAGAAATCCTAGGAGCGTTTCCACCGGATTGGAGCTCAACGTTCGTAGACACCACTTAGCGCCCACGCGAAATTGATTTGGCTTCAGTTTTACCGTCACAGCGTAATCTAATTTCGCGCGAGCGATAACATAGTAATTATAAACGGGAGTAAATCATTTGAAGCTATCGGTCCTCACGTGTCCTTCTTGTGTGACATTACGCGGTTCGAATCCAAACCGCATCCAGACATAGTCGTATTATAAACGGACCCAGGAAATAAAACCTTACTGCTTATGTTATAAGGCTTTAAGTGGAGCAAACACAAATCCTATTCATTTCAACAGACAATACCTTGCAGAAATGACGAAAATAGCTGACACGTGGTCTGAGCCAAATAATAGGATATTTGAATACGCCGGACGAATTATTCAAATCATTTGAAGTTTGTTATTGTCATACATGTTCATACTGTGACCACGGCTGCTGCAAAGTGCAAGCATCCGACACAGCAAGTCGTAGTCAAAATCGCCTAATATATAGGTTAACTTATATGTATGTATATTAGGCCTTTAAAACCAGTCAGCCTGTTCTATTTCACCGTAGATAAAATATAGCTCAAATATACTTTGACTTGCTCTTTCATTTTCTTTTCTTATTTCTAATCCGTTTTTTTCCTACAAAACCTTTTCATGTATAGCTTAACGTGTTCTGTGTTGAAGCATACTAAGTCAACCAAATAATTGTAACATCGTATTTCTTCTTAGAAAAAGCAAAAAGAGGGCATACATCGACAAAGACTACAGACTATTATATGTATAAGTCGAGCCGCGACCTTTCCTTATTAAAACCTAACAAAAAGTCAATATAGCACATCTAAATGTCATTTTTAACCGCAAGTTTGTCATAGAATAGAGAGTTATTTTGCTAATGTTGACATTGTCTAAATTACGGCTAACCTTGTCGTGTTAACAAAGCCCTTAGACATTCAAGAAACTTAAGACTACTTTAAACAATTAAAACGCAAATTATTATACTAATTATGGATGCTGAAGAAAATTCAAAACGCCGTGAAGTAAAAGAAATTCACTATTTTAATATTAGTGATATCTTCGCCTTGTAGGGCGGGCATGGGACGAATACATATATCCACGTGTGTTTATTTCTTTATTTTTGTTTAAGTAGTTGATTACACTGTACCTTGCCTTACCAAAACGCGATTTGGACCTAGGACCTCTAGTGGGACATGGAGCGGGCGCATCTGTATTAGTTTCACTAATCGGTTTTATTTACAAATAGCCCTACCCGGCTGAAACAATTGATTGTTTTCCCAGGATTCGAACTTGCCAACACAATGCCTAGGTCACAAGTTTTAACCTTTTCGCTAGCTAAATATAATTCTTGTTGATTCACAACTCTCGAAACACTTACGTACTTAATGTCCCATGATTTTTATTTCTACGCAACTTTTACCTGCCACTCACATTTGCTTTACACGTATTTGCATGTATGCTATTGTAATGCCGCTAAATTTCCCAGCCCGAACAGTGTTCAATTTACTTTTAATTAAAGACAAGTAAATGTTAGCGAGAAACTATTTAAATCTTCTGTGTTTCAAATCGACAAATCAACAATTATAATACAGGGGTTCTTTCTGTACCATTGAGTAGGTAAACGGCAGATGTTATAAAAATTTCCCATTGTTATTTTTTAAGCTATTTAATTAAAATAGTGCTATTTATATCGAAGTCGCTATTTGATATCGAACAATAGACAAAATACTGTTTTTTTGCTGTGGTAATATGTTTTTAGAATACTTTATCTACCGCTATGTTATGTTATTATGTTACAGCGGTAGATAAGATACATAAGTGGCGAAAAATTCAACTGGCTAGCTTTTTATAATACGGGACAGGCAAGTCTGGTGTTCACATGATGGTAGCTGAAATACCCAAGCCTTATAACATCTAAATAAAATGCACTGTCTTGGCTTTGGATATTCGGAAATCCAAAGACTGAAATCTAACCGGGACATCATTTTCATCAGTGGATGTTGGATTGGTGGTTCGTGACCCCAACGGAATTTCGACCCTAACATCCCTACCACCCAAATTATATCCAGATTTCCAGACGAAGTTCAAAAATTATAATTGATTAGAAAACTATTGAATCCGGTGGAGATCATACCCACCACTCGTTGATTATTAGCCATATATAGTTAGAGACCGTTAAATTTGACATAGATTCTGGACAAGTGGTATAGAGAGACGGTTAAATTCTAGTCGAATTGTAATAGGATCCTGTTTAACTCTTTGAGTACAGAACCCAAAAATCGTAATATTATTGTGATTAGTAATGTATTAAACATATTTGTGTTGCATATAATTCATTTTAAGAGACTTAGTTTTAATAGTGTCTCGCGCCTTCTAGGATTCTATAAATTCCTCATGCATTGTACGTAACTTTTTATCGTTATCAATTTTCAATAGATTATAACCTCGCGTATAGAAGGAATGCAATTTGTATATAATGCATATTTAATTAGCTCGTCTCGGATACGTCGGGACGGGTAGCAGATTGAAACCTGTGGGACAACTTTGAAAATCAGCTGTCTATGACTTGAGCCGCCGCCGAATGGGAATCACCTACATGTTCTTGAACAAAGAGATCGTAATAAACGAAATTAAAGATCGTATTAAATAAACTTGTAATTCGTTTACGGGTGCTTTAATTCGATGTTTCGAATACTCTACTAAATCGTGGTCAAGGAGGTCAACTTCGTTAAAAGTTAAAACTTCGTAAACAGTTAAAAGAAATGAACTAAAAGATCTCCAGGTTACTTTCATGATTTTATTTAAATGACATAAGGGGATAAACAACCTTGGGGTTCCTTAATAGAATATGATATACCTCAGCCATATAATTTCTAACACGATGGGATGTCGGCCTATTTGGCTATTATTTGGCATTCGGAAATCCACAGACTGAAACTGAAACTCGATTAAACTTCAAGGTATTTCCATCTGTGGTGATTTCGAAAACCGAACGTAATTCTAATATTCCCAACAGCCATTTAATATCCAGATTTCCAACATGTCTCAGAAAAATTATATATAGATTGAATAAAAAACATATTAGATCCAGTGGGGGTCGAACCCACCACCCGTAGATTATTAGCAATACTATTGAAATGAAGCCGGGCCCGTCAAATTTGACATAATGTAAAGACGGCAGCGATCTTTCCATTTTACATAAATTCAAAATGACTGCAGATCAAGAGATAACACAAGTCGTATGTGTAGTTCGGGCGTACACATTCAATAAAAGCCTAAAAGTCAGGATTGAACTCGTCGAATGCAGTTTTATTTAACAGCTAGCACAAATAAAATGACTATATAAACGACAACATCACGACATATGTATAATAATAGTTAAGGTAAAAGGCACTAGTCTTATAAATACAATGATATAAATAGATGTTAAAGCTCAGTTTGGATAAGTTCAGTGCGTCATAATAGGCAACGTTTTCTCACTGGAGGCCAGGCAGAACTTATTGGTTTTTTATAGACAAATTAACACGCTTGCCTTGAGTTCAAATTTTATACCAGTCAAGCTTGAACTGCGAATTAATTGTGAATTTTAACGTTCTTTATTGATATGGTCACTACTACAAATACTATTTTTTTTTAATTCCAATCTTAATAATCTATACTAATATATAAAGCTGAAAAGTTTGTTTGTAAGTTTGCACGCGCTAATCTCAGCAACTAATGGTTCGAATTGAAAAATGCATTCTGTTAGTTAAAGCATTTATAATAGGAGTGATTTAATAGCGGACTAATAGGAGCGATGAAAATGCGGGAAATGACGAAAAAACGGGGGAAATTATTCATCCTGCTGCAAAAACGGTCCAAGATACCCAAAAAATATATGTGAAAGAATGATTTAAAAAAAAAAAAAAAAAAAAAAAAAAAAAAAAAAAAAAAAAAAAAAGATAAAAAAAGGGGGGGGGGGGGGGGGGGGGGGGGGGGGGGGGGGGGGGGGGGGGGGGCGGGGGGGGGGGGGGGGGGGGGGAAGAAAAAAAAGGGGGGGGGGGGAAAAAAAAAAAAAAAAAAAAAAAAAAAAAAAAAAAAGGGGTTGAAAAAAGGGAAAGGGTTTTTTTAAAAGGTGTACTACTCGCGAAAACAAAAGAGAGTTTTTGAAAGAATGATTTCTCTTTAGATGATCTAAAAAAAAGTCGGCGATAGTATATGGAAGGTTTGCAAAATAACTATTTTAGGCGTACGAAGTCGCTGACTCAGCTAGTATTTAATATTGGAGACAGCGATAGAAGGCCGGGTGATCAGCCCGCACCATTTGCTAACTATTTCATTCATTACCCAATGTCCTCTCTATGGTTATCTAAGTCTAACTGTATCCACTTCAAACCTTCCGGTTTTTGAAATGCGCAAGAGATGCATGCATCATGAGAATGTAAGATGAATTTTTTTTTTAAATTATATTTGATTTTTTATTTATATTGGCACTATATATAACATGTGAAAAATATACAATTTTTCAATCTTTCTTTTATACCATCTGCATTGCAAAGTGTAGTTATGACTCTGCGACCGTTATTCTATACATATATCATTTTTTGCTAGTGAGTGAGGAAAAGCCTTTCTAATCGCTCACTCAGCGAAAGAAAGGTTAAGTTATTCTTTTTAAAATTTGCAACACTCTTGAAACATGTTGAGGGTAACATACCGTGTTTAAGTTAAGTTAAATTTGACTATGTTAGGCTTTGAGTTTAATAAAATGTCTTTGCATTCAACAAACAAACAGTCTTAATTAAAAGCGTAAAGTGTGTCTCGGTGGCTCTATAATTGTATTTCCTAACATTGAGTAAATTGCGAGAAGTCCTACGTTCGAAGCCCTGAGAAACAGTATCGATAGGAGAAAGTGCACAGTGTGTTACTGTAAATTAAATTAACCAGTAAACCATACACATACTTCACTTTATACATCTTTAGTGTATGTTGAGTTTGAAGTACTCACCCAGCCTAAGTTCACCGAAGTTGCCGCATCCGATTTTCTTGCCGACGCGGAAGTTGGGTCCGACCATAAGGACGCCGGATGACGACGTGACGGAGTGCCGCGAGGTGTGCATCGCGCTGCTTCCGCCGCCGCCGCGTCCACCCACCGCGCCGGTCGCGCTGCAATTTTACAACTACCCTCATTATGCGCATACGTCTCTAAAAAGCATTCATGGGACAAAACGACACAATACACCAACTCAAAGCTCATTGAAGGCTATATTCATAGCTGACAAGGTACAGCAGTGTGAACGTATCGATAAAATTGTATGATAAGTGATAATTGTGTGTTATGGCGATAACTGATAATCTAATGCATTATGACATACTCTAAAAAGAGTCAAGTCAAAAAAAAGGTGGTTAATGAGAAAATAGTTCAGTTAATCCATGGTTTCACTATTTTATTGATGAGCTTTACTGTGACATATGGAATACTTGAATGATATTCCCCCAAATTGAAGTGTGGACCACCAACTCCAACTTCATTTAAACTAAAGAAAAAATGTGTACCTACTATGAAATCAATATAAAACTAACCAAAAACACTTTTAAATATGTATGTACTAATATTATAATTCAAAGTTAATAGATACTAAGTATAGGTTTTTAAATATATGTAGTTGATGAAAGTCAACAAATAATAAATAAATACTAAAAAATATTTAGTATAAACCTAATTAAAGTTAAAAAAACTTTGACGATTGTAACTAAGAATATTCCATACATTGTTTTATTTATCTTAGTTAGAAAAACAAATAAATATAGAAAACATCTATAAAAAGATGCATATTGTGTGATATTAGATAAAGTACAACATCTGTTATTTTAAGCTAATAACTTACCTACCAGATATATTGATAAAAGCACAGAGAAGGAAGTACATAGCAAAATAAAATACTATGTTGAAAATAAAGTTAATAATTTTATAGTAAACTTAATTATTACATAATAATAATTTTATGTTTGCAATTTTTAATCACAAAGTATGAAAAAATTTAATAAATGTTAAAAGTAAACCAAAATGAACAACAAAAACTCATTTGTCTTAAGAAACAGTATACATAAGAATATTGTGCAATAAGTAAATTTGTGTATTGTTATGTAGGAGCATAATAAAATTTCCCATACCCAAATGCCATAAGGCGTCCACCTCCAACCATATGAACTAAAGTTTTAACGTTCCAATTTGATTGTACATTCCTCGGCCAGTAAACATAGTATAATGTTAACACTTGTTCACATCACATTCAAAATAAGGTCTAATTAACACATCATGTCACTAGCATTAAACACTTTTAATATAAAACTGATTGTATATCACTGTTTGTTTATAATCAAAATCTTGGATAAATAGAGAAATGAATTAGGTTGATGATATTATGAGACCAGATAATATAGGTGGTTTGCTATAAATTGAATGTTATATTTTATTTTTAGCTCTTCCTTGTTATAGCTTGCCAGCATTAGTTTTGACATTGCGTTGTATGTGCTTCAAAACATTTAAATAGACAATCTAGACAATATTAGTATCATTACTCATTTATATAAGTTAATTTTAATTAAATTGTTGTATGAAAATCACTATTAAAATAATCACTTTATAATGGGCATAAGACCTTAAAAATTCCATGCTAACACACAATACTTTGCATCATTATTATATAATTTTCAAGTGCAATAAGGTCCCAAATTTAATTTATACTTCCTTAAAACTTTACCAAGCACAAACTAGCCACAATGTTAGCATGTGTTTCATGTAGTTCTGTGGCTGTCAATAGTTTATTGACCTTTGAATTCAAGGCCATCTCTTGGTAGATGAGGTCTCAATAATACAGTGATGCATGTTTAAGAGATTTAGAGGTTATTTTATTTGTTGTCAGTTTCTTAGTAATGATTCATTTATATTGAATTTAAATTTAAAAATTGGGCTAATCAATATAATAAGCAATAAATTAATATGAGTTGAATGTTAGGGCATGGTATTTATAGTAAGTAATTAAGTTTACAACAGATTTAATATTGTTATTTCAGAATATAAAAAATACATATCTATAAACCAGAGTAAGTTTAAAGACCTATGTACAGAATTGTTGTTTTTTTTTTAAAAAGCTAATGACAAATTCATGTTATCCCAGTTTGATTACATCCCTCTCAAAGACAAAGTGTACACTGACTGCAGTGAATCATGCTAACCATTATTGGCATTGAGTCTAAAAGTGAAAGTTTTAGTTGCACTGAATTCAACCTATACAAGTCTGCGGGCTACAATTATCCGCTCAACAAAGCCTAAAATTACAAAATATGTATATTATATATACACACACTGACAAGTTACCTTTAATATTTAAAATTAGAAATAGATGTTTTAAATTAGTATTTATCATGTTAGTTAGCTATGAACAAACTATGAAGATTTTTTTATCACTATTATCTGTAGTTTTGTTGAAGTTATGGCTAAGACTGTCTGCTTTCCCTCTTACAAAAAAAAAATACTTGTTGGCATAGTTGTTAATGTTTGTATGGCACAATTGTAACATATAAATAGTAGGAATAAATGTATTCTACATCTTCATTCGTCAATAATAGACTATTTGAATCAACACTTGTTTACTAACCACCAAATAACAGTTATTTCTGGAAGTATACTTACAATTTTCTATGCATCACAAACACTTATGTAAATATGCAACTCCAAATTGTTTATATTTAACATAATTTGTATATTACTACCACAATCAGATTAAGCTACTTGTCAAAAGATGTTTTTTGAAAAACATAACCAACTAGATGTGTACAAATTGCTCCTTGTGTCATCACATGGAGGAAAATATTATATTTGGCTTTGAGATATTTTGCACATTTATTGAGGCAAATATAATAAAATGAAAATCTCTAACTTCATGTTGTGAATAAAATTTTGATGTAACTTTACATTTATAACAATTTTACCTATTTTAGAGATAAGAATGTGTTGTTTTTATTAAGAAGCCTTATCAAGAGTATTGTACAAGATACATAAGATGTTTACATATTGTGATTCACTAATTTAATATTATTGGTTGATTCAATTTGTGTTGCTAGATGTAAAATTAATTTTCCAAAGTAGATTATTAACTATTATTGGGAGATTTACAGAATACATTATTATGAAGAATGTTGAAGAAAAAGAAAGTCTAGGAAGTTCATTGAAGTGAAATTATTATTATGGATCAATAAAAACAATTATTGGTTTTAAGGAAAGGTTTAATAAAAAACAAAGTTTTAATACCCTGATTAATAGATGAAGTTAGAGAAATAATAAGAATATTTTTAAGATATACATAAAAACAAAATTAAACTGTAATTATTACAGTTTGAACAATAAAATTACAGTTTAAAAAAGAAGAATTAATTTAAAAGGAAGGTACATAAAAACATTGTAAACATGCTTTCTAGTTAAACTTGCTTGCCAAGACCTGAGGTGTACATTCAAACAATAGAACTGCTCCAGCGCAGATATCACTCAAGTTTTCATAGAGAACTTCAAGCTGGAAACTACTATGGATATTTTAACTTTCTAATATAAATATATTAATTGCTATTATATGACACAACATAATGCAGATCCAGTCCTATTGTTAAAAAGTACTGCATAATCAATTGCAAGGAAGATAAATTAAAGATTATTATAGTTGAGATACTATTTAATATCAAACACCATTATACAATCTACAAGTCCAGTTACTACACATTCCAAAGCAACTAATGCAAAACAAACTATAAAGTTAATAAAAAAAATATTGTTTTATCTAAATATCATGTCACCTCCACATAAGAGGCTGCTGTTAAGAGTAAAAGACAACTTACGTGGAAGTTCTTTTGTCGTCACTCTGACGTTCTTTATCCTTATTGCCGTCACGCTTATTCATAATATTTGTGGATCTGTGTGTCTATGTCTGACACCGCAGACTCCCGGTGCCCACAGCTTGACGGGGCCACACCACAACGAAGTCCATTTCACTAATACCAACTAACACTCTGCAATCTCTCCATACCACTACACAGAGCCACTTTTTTAAATATTTCAATTTTTTTTCTTTTCAACACTATAAACACTGCACTGTAGAATTTATCTCAATATCATTTTTGTCACTGCAACCATGAGTGTTTCGGCGACTCGCGAACGTTAACTGGATTGTCTACAATACGATGGCCCAAGTATTATGACTAATAATTCGAATTAAAACTAGTATTGCATGAAGCGATTACAGATCGGTGTGCCAATGTTATGTTCATTGAAGAGTAACAACAAGCTATGTAGGTGGTAACTAGCCAGAAACACGAACGAGAAGAAATATTAACACTAATAGTTCATACAACCTGGATCGTTAATAGAAATTAATTCCTATAAAAAAAGTTAAAAGGGTGATTATTAAAAACGGAAAAACCTAGCAATTGACAACACCTTTTCAATGCTGGAAGTCAACCCAAATAGGATGTAACGTTGGTCCGAAACAATTTCTTTATAGATCATTCGGAGTGACTCCCTCACATTGAACACCACAGCACTTTCACAATAAAAATAACGTGAAAAACACCGTACGCAATTTTTGATTAGCTTCACAACGTCGCCGAAACATCAAATGGACATTTGTCCTGATAAAAAGTTTAGGTTTTGTAATGGCCACCACTGGTACACTAAAAGTCACTTTTATTTTAAAATAAAGAATGGACTATGTAAAATGAAGAGATGAAGAAAAAGTTCTAGATTAATTAACCTATATAAATACCATCTAAAGGCAAAATATCATAGTTTAAAAATTGGTTCAAAGATTATTTCACTAAAATATCGCCATTCGGCGCATGCGCAAACATGTAGCGAGAAGACACTATGTTGCCAGTCATGATATTTTATAAATGTTTATAACCTATGGTTTTCATATTAAAGTGAGAATGAATATTTCTTATATTTAAAAATACACTAGCTACCTTTATACAATAATAATTTACAAGATTATTAAATACTTGCACTATATTAATGGACTATTGTGTACTGCATATGATTTATTGTTTTTTAACATGGTTACATTATTTAAGGTGCGTTCAGAATTTTGAAACTCTTTGTTTATTAATAAACAGCGGTGTATTAAGCATTATTTTACAATTATTTTAACATTGTAATATAGTATTAGAGGTACCCTGTATATAATACAAGGAGAAAGGCAAAGCTTTTAATAGTATGAACCGATGACGTTTGTTATATATACGTATATCTATGGTTATACCTTATGTCAAGCATTTTGACAAAGACAATGTTGATTTTGACACGACAATAAGCGGGAGATTCAAATTTATCATAATTGACACATATTGGTTTAAGTCTTTATAAAACTGTAATATAGAATTATTAAATTAAGATATTTAGCTATTGTATGACTAAACTTCAATATGTGTTAAGGTTTGTTTATAAATAATAAACTTTTGTTACGGAAATACTTAAATAAAGCAAATAAATCATAACTATTATTCCTAATAGTATTTTATTTAAAATAGTAATGTAAGTTACTAACAACGTTTAGGCAATTAAATTTCAGAAATTAAATATTACAAACAGGTTTTGTCACATTGCTACCAAAGTAAGGAATAACACTTTCCTATTAGGTACCTCTATAATGGTAATTTAAAATACCTACTGTTCGAGATATGTTTTACACTGTATAAACGAGTAAATCACCATTGAATATTGCGGTTTCACCCTCAGAGTTAAGCGTGAATCAACTCCTGCACCGACGCGACAACACCAATTGTATTGTTACGTCAATGATCAATGCCAACAAGGTGATCTAAAGGCCCAGTGATCGTGAATGCGTGTTGGCCTTCATACGTGTTTTAGATAAAACATTTTTATTCTTTCTGTGCTTAACCACAGAAAACACACTGGGAATCAACCGCTGCGGTAAGTAAATAACAACTTTAGTATCAAATAACAATTAATAGCTAGGTATAGAATTTGAAAATTTTTCAATGTTATAGTTCTTTTAAAAATCTAAAAACCTACGTATTCTTATTGCATCTCAATTTAAGAGCACATTTAAAATCTTGTTAGGTATGTTTAGATTCGTGTTTTTTATACCACAAAAATTTTGTACGATTCGTATTAGGTATTCTCAACGCATTGTTTTAGTATTCAGTATTTAGTATAGAAATAGTTTGACTGATTTAAAATGTTTATATTTTAGAATGTACGGATATCTCATTCGTACAAATTAATTTAATTAATATAGTTGAGAGAGAGAGTTGTAAATCCTCTATACTTTTTTTGTACATTCCTTCTGTCCTACACAATTACAAAACCTATTATCAGAATGATAATATTATACAGTTAGAGGACATGTGTCCTTACCCATGTGTAGTTGCCGTTACCTTAAAACTTGTAATTATTTGCGTAAATGCATTGAAAATAAAAACAACTATTTAAAATACAAAATATTTTGGTTTAAGATAAAATTACTAGTATATTTCGCATTTGAAACTGTTAAAAGCGTTTTATTTAATGTCCACCACTCGAGTAAAGTAAACTACTTACACATATAAGTCTGTTCTAGGTATTCTAAGCGTTAATTAAGAGATTTTAAATTTGAATATGATTTAATAAAGAAGTCAAAATTTACCGCTCGGCATTGTTTAAAATCGCGTGGGGAAAAAATAACAAAGTTCTGCGGAACTGACTTGACCGTTGAATTTTTATAATGCTTTTCCTTGTAACTTTATAACATAATTAGCTAACAATATAAAATTAAATAGCAACCAAAAATACAATAATGGATTAAAATGGTCATTAATTGTATTGTCTTTCAAAAAATTAGTTTTCCTGAAAATTTTTATTATAATATTAAAGCAGCTACGTTTGTTCATATGACTGTACATTTACAGGTTAGTAACAAGGCCTGTAAATTTAAATAAAATATTAATCGATAATAAATATACCTAGATGTATTTCAATGCAAGTAAAAGTTTTTGGTTTAAAAATAAATTCAGTTACCATAATTTTAGGTATAAATGTTCTACTGTCCAGTTTTTAAAAGTAACATTATTAACAATAAAACATTAGTCACTTAGAACTTAAGGAATTTCATAAATACTGAAGCCCGCTGACCAGCGCGTAGTAAATATCAGTGTTTATTTTTCATGTTGATAAGATATGAAATATCGGGAGATGGTGGAGTGGTTAATAATAGTGGAGTGAAATGACGTGTTAATCTTTCATCGCAAAAATAATGTTGGAGTTGTGAGATTCCCTGCAAGATACTCTCCAATAATAGTTTAAAACAAATATTTTTCAAGTAAAATACAACATGCCACTTAACAAAGAAAAATTTAACGCGATCTATATAATATATGACGTGTCTACATACCTACTACAGATATCATTATCATTTCAGTTTAAACAGATTTATCTTTTATCTTTATTATGGTGATTACTTTTTAGTACCGATACTCTAACATTTTCACTGCATAACGAATAATATCTGCTATTATCATTAAAACAATTGAATGCAGGTACATTTTTTGTTAGCTGTGGATTCGTAGTATATTGGCAAAAAATAAATATTTTATGAACAAATTTTTTTAAGAAGGAGAACATTTAAAAAATATAAGAATGTAAAAGTAATGACATGACATTTATTATTCCAGTAGCGTTAACTGTTTTTAAACCACAAAGAACCCATTAGTCTTATCTATTACAATATAGATACTGTAATGAATAACTGTCAATTGTTTTTTTTTAGAAAATGACGGATACACAGCATCTAGACGAGAAGGCGACGCAGTACATTCAAGAAATGAGGACTTGGCTCAATGCTCAACCATATCTTCCTAAGGACAATATAGGTATTGTTTTTTCCAGGAAATCTATTAATAGCAGTCAGAAGCAGTAAGAAGTATTATAGTAAGATCAAAAACTAGACCTTGGTTTACGTAAGTTCTAAGTACATGAAACTACATTAATGAAATAATAAATAAAAGACATTTAACATTTTAAACCGCGGTAAAACATGACCAAGAGTGCTCGTGTCCCTACAAATAACATACGTAAACCACAGACTACAGTTAACTTTTTTTTTGTCTAGTAGTCAGAGCATAATAATTAGGTTTTATTTAAATTTTAATTCAATATATTTTGTGTCAGTAATGACATTAAATTGAGTACAAGATACATAATATGTATAGAATACTATAATAGTGTATATATGTTATGTTCTATATTATAGAATCACTAGCTGTACCTACCAGCAACTTCGTCCGCGAGAATCGTTATTTTGGACATCCAAATTCATTTTTGCAAACCCCTTCATCTTTATAACCTTAAAATGTTACCTACGACGACGGTCGCGTCCTTTCTCGTCGTTCTTGCAGGTTTATTTTAAAAGATAGACATAGCGTCGTGTGTTCTTTTTTTAAAAAGGAATCATTCTTTCGTACATATTATTTTGTGCGTGTCTTGAACCGTTATTGCACCGTACTCCTCGGAAACCCATCTCTTTTTTTTTCACATTTCTCGCTTATATTAGTTACAGGGCAATGTTCTATAGCCTTCCTCGATAAATGCTCTAACCAAAATAATTTTTCATTTCGAATAGTTCCTGAGATTAGCGCGTTCAAAGAAACAAATTAACAAACTCTTCAGCTTTATATATTAGTATAGATTAAAGTCTCTTTCAAGAACTTTCATGTAGGTTATAATTAAATAACTAATATCCATCTTATGAGTTGAGCAACATTTACAGTTTCAGGAACAGACAAAACCCTATTGTTATTGCAAGACAATGCGAGAAGTTTCCTTTTTTACTCGACAGTCGTTACGTATATTGTTACGTAAAGTATTTCGTTTGTTTTTGGGACATAAGTGAACACATATCTGTGTCCTGTCCACTGTTTGATTTGTTACAGACAAGCATTCACCCAATCAACACATATACTTACATTATGTTACCTCAGCACTTTAACATGTCGCTTTTAACTCAAAGCAATGCTGTATTCTACTTAACTAAACTAACTAACTTTTAAATAAAACTCTTTAAAGGTTTAAAACGCGATATATATTAGTTAAACGTCATCGTCGTCGAAACGTCGGGCCGTAATTAAAATAATTGCAGATAAGTTTAACTAATATATATTTCGCGTTTTAGACCGTTAAATTTAGTTAGACTGTTAAGTTATTTAAATGTGTACTACTCGCGAAAACTACAGACATTCAACTGCTCCTTTATAGGTATTATCTACATATATTTATTTTTAATCTCTCGATTGTATTACCATTTAGTGGAAATACAAATTGAACTGGAACGGTATCGCGATTCGCGATATATTATTTTTAAAATTTTAAATACGACACGTTTCTTTAGTTTTTAACTGATGTGACGTGTATAAGTGTATCTAATCTGATCTAATTTGATCTGATTTTTAACTTTGATTTGGGCGAAACTCCTCTCACATTAATACTTGTGTCAACTAGAAATATTTTTATGAAAATATAAATACGATTAAAGCTGAACAGGGAAATAAAAATTTTATAATTTGTACCTATATAAGCATGTTTTGTTACGCTCGACAGCAAGTCATTGTAATTGATAGTGGTTTCATCAGTAACCTTGAATTGAAGTGCAGTCAGTTGAATCCTTAGGTACTTTTCTGCATTAAGATTGTGTATATAATGTTAAAACATCCAACCATAACATAGTTTAAACTGACTATATTATGTGTCAACGACGACCAAGCGTTAGTACTTACTAAGGCGTAGTTATTCTTAAAACCGTTTAATACAGCTAGTAATATTTTAAATTACGTTGACCAAATTATTCTAGGATCATTAATCGGTATTATTATAATATTACCCGTTCTCTTCACATTGTATTAAATTTAAAGATTTTATTAAAGATGTTATTAAATACAATTTATTCTTTCACTAGCTATGTTAGCGACTGCGTCCGCGTAGAATAATTGTTTTGAGCATCCAAATTTGTTTTTGTAAACCTCCTCTTCATATTTTATAAATGTAAGGTGTTACCGATGACGTCGGCCACGTCCTGTCATTCTTGCAAGTTAATCTTAAAAGATAGACATAAGGTATCAAGATAGTCTATATTAGCCTTCCGCGATAAATGCTCTATGCAACACAAATATAATTTTTCAATTCGAACCAGCACTTCCCGAGATTAGCGCGTTCACACAAACATACTCTTCAGATTTATATATTAGTATAGATAAAATACTTTACATAGTAAATTAGCTAATCAATGGATTTATTATTTTTTTCAGATGACATTTTCCTTCTAAGATTCGTACACAGCTGTTACTACGATATAGATAAAGCGAAGATCGCGATGGAGTTCTTCTTTACTCTAAGATTAGCTTGCCCAGAGCTTCTCAATAACAGAGATCCTTTATCCCCGGAAATGCAAAAAGTGATGGAAATAGTGTAAGTACATTGTATATAAAAATATATTATATATAAATAATAATTCATCAGTTAATTATTAGTTAAGTACTGTCTGTAGTTTACGCTAGTAGTATACAATTCGAATTTGTACATAAACAACTCACTTTACGTACAAATTCGAGCAGACAACTTTTAATGTTGCTTGTGTTTAAAATTATTAAAAGTGTCGATGCATTTTAAATCTGAGGCTATATCTATTCTTACTTGATAAAAACTATAATTTATTTTATTCACAAATTATGCATAAAAACTGGCGCTGAGGAATACATCCGTGTATCGTATTTTTTACGACAATGCCAACGGGTTGGGTTCTGTTCATAAAACAGGTTTTCAAGAAACTTTGGTCGTGCTTAGGTAGTAACTTGTAATTATTACGTGCTGTTCCTTTAAAGAACATAAGAACTATGACCACCTCTGTAGCCAAATGGTTAAACGTTTTGGCTAGCTCTGCGTTAAGTGCGAGAGGTCCTAGGTTCAAATGCAGGAGGGATTGTTGTAGGCAGGGCAGTCTGTTCAGCTACTAAAAATAACCAATCAGTGAAACGGACAGAAATGGATTCGCCCCATGCCCCACGGGGGGAAATAGGATATCACACAAAGGAACAATAACGCTGTATCAATATCGTGTATTCTATTCGTAACACATAAGGTAATTTTGAACACAATCGCTGTGACAACTGCTAGAATGCGTTAGAGGCGTTATAGTTGTTTTATGTATATACATATATGTTGTAGTTGTACTACTATAGACTATATATTAAGTAGGTATACTTGCTTTGTTAGGTATACAACGACGTGTATCCGTTTCACGTATTATAATATACTACCATCAATAAAGGGGACAGATAGACACAATTTCATATAAAATTTCTTGACTTTACTATGACTACGTTATGTAATTCTTAATGTATAATCAGTCTTTAACTGTTATTTTTAATTTTTAGCACAGAGTTTTGATAACTATGAGAGAGAGAATTACCACAAACGATTCTCTATTTTTGCGTCATTGTCTTTTAATTAGGTCTATGATATGATTGTGACCAAGTTATTTTATTCTAAGTTAACCTTTTTGTAAATGAACCCGATAAGCAACGGATGTGATAATGTTTTATATTATGTTCTTATTTAAGAACTAGTTCATAAGAAGTTAATTTTATATAACTATAATCTATAGTCAAAAATGTGTGCACAATATCGAATTTTAACTATTATTTGACATCAATTAAGGCAAGGATTATTTTGCTATATTTTAGAAAAAAAGTTGTCAGGTTGAAAGCTTCTAAAGAATCACAACAAATAAACAAAATAAGTGGTCATAACTTTTTGAAACTTGGATGAGTGACTTATTTAAAAACACATTGTCCAAAAAACTAATTACAAAATTAGTTAAATACTGTCTATACGCGAGGAGTACGCACTTAAATAATACACTTTAACTAATATATCGCGTTTTAATCCGTTAAAGTGTTTTATTCAAAATTAGTTCTTCGATCAACCCGACGATTATTTTAGTAAAATTATTTTTCATTTTATTTCTTCGTAAACCCCCTTTTAATGAATTCGTGTCAATAATTTATTATATATTTTTAACTTCTAGGAATCTGGGACAGATAGCCACCCCCGAAGATGAATGCGTGTGGTTCTGGCAACTGAATGATCCTGGCTTAGAATTCTACGACTACCTTCTGGATGCCAAATTTTTCATGCTGTCCACGGATTCCTATTTCTTGGCGAAAAAGACGCTGCCGAAGGCTGACATTGTAGTTTTGGATGTAAAGGATCTCAGTCTCAAATTCTTGACCAAGTTTAACATATCCGTTGCTAGGAAACTTGCAAAATATCAAGAGGTTAGTATTTATTTATTATTTTTCACTCGCACTTATTTTTAGGTCTTACTACTTAATTAAATTGGCAGTTGTTTTAGGTTCGAATTCTGTCATGTGTGTGAAATCCCGTTTCCCCCTCGTGGGACATGGGGCGAACACATTACTATGTCCGTTTCACTTATCCGTAACAGGCAAGTAGTTGATCAGACTTCTGTGGCTTCGTGACCGAAACAAATTTTTGTTTCCCTGGGATTCGAAGCAAGGACCTCTCGCGCTTAACGCAATGCTAGGCAATACGTTTAACCATTTGGCTACAGAGGCGGTTAAATTCTGTCATAGGTAATAGATAATTTATTTCGGTCAGGCAAAATTTATTACATTTTTGTCTTTAGTCAAATGGTTTGAATTATAAAAAATAGACACAAATTATATTATTAGTTGGTAAGCCGCTTGGAAATAAATACATTATTATTTCCTTTGCGTGTTCCGTTATCTAGCTTAAAACACAAACAGCAGATGTCAAAATATATCAAGAACCGGAACCAAATTATCATACAAGTTTTAGTATTATGCATAAGTAATCAGTCTTGCTCTTGACCTTATTCGGGAGTATTTTATACTCGTAATTAGATGAGGATCGTACAAAATTAGCATATATAATAATATGCTTCAGGGATATCAGCTAAAAGATTACTTCCTCTAGTTTAAGATATTTTTAAAAGTCTCCAGCAAAAGCAGTTTCAGCTTTGGTACCAGGGGGTCACATAGACGTGGTTAATTCAAATTAAATTTTCATAACAATAGATACAAGATAAAAAGTAGGTATAATTTGTACATAAAATCAATGTGTGCAATCCACATAAGACCTGGACCCGGTTGGGGGGGGGGTTTGTTTGTCATTTACGACACAGGGATGAAGTTCCGTACTTGATATCCAGTAATAAACAGTATAAAACGTACATATACTATGTGGGTCGAAGTTTCATTAAATAATTATTAAGCAAACTGAACTACTATAGTTAAGAAATATAAGTATTGTATTTTCTTATTCCAGGGTGCCATTCCAATCAGACTAAAACAGGTTCACCTCATCAACGCATCGTCAGCCATGGACAAGATATTTGGGCTAATGAAACCGTTTCTCAAGAAAGAATTGACTGATTTGGTAAGATCCTGTTTATGTTGTCCTCCCCTATATAAAAAAAAATCACAAACTCGTTGGTCCATTGTGGGGCAAATCAATAGCATGGGTTCGAATACCACAAGTTCTAACATGTTTCTAAAATCTATTTATATTCTTGTATGGAAGATCTAGCCATAAGATGGATAGCAGCACGGTCCAGCAGGTCGATACTCTTAACTAAATTAAGCAGCAGCGCAGTTGCAGTGACGTTTTGTTATATTGGTATTCTCGTGTAATGTCAAACAGGTATGCGTCAAGTTTGCGTGACGTCGGCGTGTTTTTGACTATTTGCTGCCGTGCGTCACTTGACGTGAAGTTTTGAATTTGGGAGAAGACCATTCGGCGCTGAAACGGAACTTAATCGCATCGTAACTGTAATTTGATTGATACGTCACTTAATAAGTAGAATTGGTCTGCTATTCTTGGACGTCTAAAGATGGAAAAGCCAAAATGTTTAAATCCAAAATAGGTCAAGCGGCTTGTTCAGATATTCTATCACTGGAGAATGGGGTGTCTTCTTTTTGGTTTCAGTCTATGGGTTTCGTAACGTCCAAAGCCGAAATACTCTACCTATTTCGGCACCACATGTTAAAAAAATACTCAAAATCAACCATAGTTAATTTTAATAAAAGTCCTTTATTTTTAATGTCATACCGTCTTTGAATTTTCCGTTTTTAATTTTTTTTTCAGGTGCATTTTCACACAGCAAAGTCTGACACCCTATACAAGTACGTACCTAAGGAAAACCTGCCAGCAGACTACGGTGGCCCACACCCGCCCCTAGCTGAACAGCATAAGGAGCTTGTCTCTGTCATCTTGAGTAAAAGGTACTTAAATACTGTCTATAGTTTACGCGAGTAGTACACATTTAAATACGGTCACGGGGAGACTGACCGTCTCCCCGTGACCACGGCTGCTGCAAAGCATCCGAAACGTCGGGCCGAAGTTAAAAATCATTTTTAAATAAGTTTAACTAATATATCGCGTTTTAAACCGTTAAAGTGTTTTATTCAAAAGGTACTTCTTATTAAACCTGCTATTAAATCATTATTGCTTAGAAGAAGATTTTGTGAGGTTGCTATAAATAAAAATTTGCTAAACGACAGTACAACTGCAATGTAAAATCGAAATTCATATATACAACTGAGTGTACATCCATGCTATTTAAAAATAAAAATATTATTCTTTTAACACTTTTTAATAAATCACTTTTAATGGTTTAAAACGCGAAATATATTAGTTAACTTAATTGCAATCTAATTTAACTACGTCCCAACCATTTCATGTGCAGCAGCAGCCGCGGTCACGGAGGACTAAGTGGAGTGACACGCGGTCACTTTTAGAATCTTTAAAAGTGTTTTATTTAAATGTGTAACAGACAATACTTATTACTACTACTTTCTCCTGTCCTGTCCTCGGTCTGGGTTTCGAGTCCCGAGTTACCAATTTCTTTATATATATTTTTTATATTTCACATGTAATAATTTATTTAAATACATTCTCAAAAAAAAAAATATTTGTAAAGGCTCAAATATTTATTTATGTACATAAAATGAATCACCAACGAAAATCGATAGTTTGAACCCACATACAAAGGAAATAAATTTGTAAAACAGATTTTTTTTTCTTTTTCAGAAAAGAACTAATGGATGATACACTATGGCGAGCGATACCGAGTGATAAGAAGAAGATTAGCAATCCTAGCCCTCCTATTGTTTCCTCATTTAGGGCTCTCGCTATAGACTAGTTTTAGTTGAATTTTGCTGCAGGATTGATCTGAGAAATTAACCAATTTGTATATAGTGCCAATTGAATGATTATTTACGTCTTTGTACATTTTTTTACCCCATCTAAACCAGATGCGCGGTCGACCTGAGTCTGTCGAACTGAAACTGAAATATTGTACGTTGCGAGCCTGTCAAAAGACATCAGGGTAAATGATTAAAAAGAAGAATTTCTTTTAAATAAAGCACTTTCAACGGTTCAAAACGTGATATCATGTGACGATGTGTATGTATGTTAACTTATTTTAACTACATTGTAAGTTTATATTTCCAAATATCAACTACGACGAACTAGATGGCGCTAGCGTAGCAGATTTGACTTTGACATTAGAGATGCTCTGTTTATCTTCAATCCATCGTGACCACGAGTGCTACAAAGCATCCAAAACGTAGTGCTGTAGTTAAAATCAGTTAACTAATACATTTCGCGTTTAAAACTGTTTTTCAAATTTGTACTACTCGCGTAAGTTAAAACCTATATTTAGTTGTAATGTTTTTCTTTGTTCAATAGTTAGTCATTTGAAATTTTTTTTGGAATATACTTTTTAGAAATAAGACTATACAATAATTTAAAGTAAACTTTATGGTGTTAGGTTTTCTTTGTGATTTACTTGGATTAGTTGTTTAATATTATATAATAGAGCTATATCTATACTAATATATAAAATGAAACAAAAGAAAAAAAGGTTCGCGACAGTATATGTCTATCTTTTAAGAACAACTTGCAACAACGATCGGACCCGAACGACGGGTCGCGAGCGACGGAACGGGACCGATATCGTTAGTCGTTAGTAGTTATTTATAGATGAGGTTTACAAAAACAAATCTTGATGCCCATAAGAACTATTCTACGCGGACGAAGTCGCTAACGCAGCTAGTATTAGATATATTCCATATTGAAAAATTGTATTTTTTGAAGGTTTTTTATAATACGTTTTGAACATTTCTTTATATAATATTTATATTTACATATATTTATTCAAACAGGCTGTGTTATACTTTTACAAGTATGCTGTTTTTTTCGATACTTGCCATTAAACGTAAGTATTATTAATTCTTATATGATAGTCTAATAATATTTTTGTATTAAATAGGTAATAGAGAAAATACTCTTTTATTTTAAACCTCTATCCATAGCGAAACGCGCTGCTGCTCTAACTAACATGTGAAAATTAATAGTTTTAAAAATACTGTCTATAAACACGCGAATAGTACACATTTTAATAAAACACTTTAACGGTTTAAAACGCGATATATTAGTCAAACTGATTTGAAAATGATTTTTAACTTCTACCAGACCTCTCCCCGTGACCACGGCTGCTGCAAAGCATCCGAAACGTCGACGGTCGGTCGGTTAAAGTGTTTTATTTAAAAGTTAAAAGTGTTTTAACTTAAATGTGACCTACTCTCGTAAACTACGTATAATATTTCTTTGCATTCATTACAGTTAAGGATAATACAATAATCCTCATTGCTACGCTAATACGCGGTAGTTTTTACAAGATACCTTGACGTAAAATAGGCCCCGGAGTACTTCCAGCAATTAGATGAAGACACTGTTCTTACGATTTATAGCTCCTTGACAGTCCTTTGTTAATAGCTCTAACGTGGCCTACATCCTTACTTTCATAAGTGCAAAACGGTGTTAAACATTTAGACGTGTTCAATAAGTACACATCTCTTTAAAATAGATTTGCTATTTAGAAAACTTAGGAAAAAATTTCCACTGAATTGAAAAATTATTTATGAGTTGGTTAGACGACGGAACCCGAACGACGGGGCGCGACTGATGTTGTGGACAGCTTGAATTCATAAAGATGTAGTGGCTTGCAAAAACAAATTTGGATGCCCAAATGAACTATTCTACGCGGTCGAAGTCGATGACACAGCTAGTAATAAATAATGCTTTAAAATCACATAAGCGATGTGAACTAATATCAATAATTTTTTACCTTATAAGTTTTATTCTTGAAACGGTCATAACTTAAGTATGACTTATTGTTAGTTTTGTGTTGTTATAACATAACATTATGTTTAAGGTCGTCACAATAAAACAGAAATAAAAACAAGATATAAGTTATAAAAAAAGTAAAGCAAATAAGACAACAAAGGCATAACATTTATTTCTCGGCTTAAGGCTTTATTATTCTTTTTACATGGATATATTTTCTTTTACAACTGTCGAAAATTGTTAAAATATTCCTAGAAAATATATCTTGCTAGGCTCCGGTTTCCTTATCTTATGCATAGACAAAATTAGGAGAATTTTATATTAAATACTGTCTATAGTTTACGCGAGTAGTACACATTTAAACAAAACACTTTAACGGTTTAAAACGCGATATATTAGTTAAACTTATTTGAAAATGATTTTTAACTTCGGCCCGACGTTTCGGATGCTTTGCAGCAGCCGTGGTCACGAGGAGACTGATTTTTTCAAATAAGTTTAACTAATATATCGCGTTTTAAACCGTTAAAGTGTCTTATTTAAAAGAATTGTATATTTCTTGATAAGCGATTACAAACAAGCATGAGATTCACTTGATGTAAGGTGAAATACCCCAGCCATGTAACATTTTGACAAGATGCGCTGTCGGCCTATTATGGCTTTGAATGTTAAATATTACTAAGTTATCCAATACATAAGACACTCATTACCGCTTCAAAAATAATTTATTTTGACAAAACTTCAAATACACTTCTCTCAATTAAAAAAAAAGCCCATATGGCATTTAAAATGAATTATTCTTTATAAAACAGACACACTTCACTGATCGAACATAGATTTAAATCTACTTATTTTTTTGCTATGTATGAATCAGGTGTATTTTGATAGAAATGATTTATATTACAATTATTTAAGGGCTATTTTTAGATCGTTTAATTTTTACACTCTGTCCCATTGCATATACAATCTCTTAATGTGGACTTTTATTTAAATATTTCCTTTCCATACTAAATATTGACAAAAGTCAATTCCGACACTTAAGTGTCCGCGACCTTCTCACAAGTAGTTACATCTGATCACATCACCGATGATATATCAATGATGATGCAAAATTTAAATAAAAAACCATATACTGGCTTAACAAACCACTTAGACACTAATAAAAGAGGTGATTTATTATTTTGTTTAACTTAAAATACTATTCCAGTTAGCACAATAACGTTACAAGTATACAATGTAACTTCAAAGGTACTAAATAAATATTAATAAAGAAGAATTTTACTTAGTTATTTAATTGAAAATTCCAATCAAAAATTTTTATCAGTAATATAGAAAGTATAGTCAACTTTGCAATGGTGTGTTGAACAATTAGGTTGAATGGTGTAATTGAAGGTTTTATATTCGCTTTTAAAACGAACGATAGTATAGTGTTTTAGTGTTAACTTTTTTATGCCTTAGTAATATGTGTAACATATGTTTTTGTGTGCCTTAATAGTCAATAAATTTCATTCTTTCTTCTTTCTTTTCATTAGTCTCCAGGCGTCTACATGGATTATAGGCCTAAATAGGTCTTTTATGGACTTTTTAACTCGTCATGAAATGGATAATTCGACCAGCATTGGGAAGAATATTATATATCTACTAACAAGTTGTTACTTGTTACAAAAAACAGCATATTTATGTTTATATGTTTTTATAGCGGCAACAGAAATAGACGATTTGTGAAAAATCCAACTGTCTAGCTAGCAAATATGGTCCCTTTAAGTATTATCTGTAGTTAACAATTGAAACAAATGACAATTAAATTTTGTTCTAAGGATACGTCTTACGCTCGTATTAAAAGACGGTTGTGTGAATTTTACTGACAAAATTAGGATTATTATCTAATGGACGCCGAAAAATAACCGCGGATTATTTTTATGCGCGACGTGTTAAATATAATTAGCACTTGTGTGACCGTGTGTGTAATATGAATAAATTTTCACAAGAAAATTAAGTTCTTAAAAATGAAGGGTTTTTTATGGGTTATGTTTTTGTTGCTTCCATATAAAGGTCAAGATCAAGATTGGACGGAGAAGCAATTTTATAAAGTTGTTTACACTTTTGTAGTCTTTAACTGAAAGTTATTATTACGAAAAAACAAAAGAAAAGCAAAGGAACACAAGCCGACTGACTCGATGGAAGGTGAAATTTGACGAGCTTATCGGTGTAATGGTAGCGATGTACGGCTTATAATCATCGGGTCGCGCGTTCGCTTCGCACCGGGTCTAACATTTTTCTAATCAATTTATAATTTTTCTGAAACGTGTTGAAATTCGTCTGGAAATCTGGATATTTAATATGGTAGAAATATCATGTCCGAGTCACGAACCACCGTCCACAGATAAGAAAGCCGTGAAGTTTAGTCACGTTTCGGTTCCAGAGTCTCGATTTCCGAATATCCAAAGCCAAAAATAGATCGACAGCCGAAATGTTTAGATGCTCGAGGCTGGGGTATTTTACCTACCATTAAGTAAACTCTATGCTCGCCTGACTTCCTATATCATAGAAAAAATGCTCTATTACTTTCTTTTAAGCTGCACTATGGAGATTTTTTCTTTGGACATGTAACAATTCACAGAGTGAAAGCGAAACGAATCTACACTTCACGGCTGTTCCATTATCTATGGACAATGTTTTTTGCCCCGGACGAAAGTTTAATACTAAATCTTATATTTTATTTAATGTCCACATTAAGACACTTTTAAATATAATCACAAATTAAATTACTAACATGCTGAAAGCGACAAGAATTGACTCTGTATAGTGTTCACCATTGCTGACTAAGAAGACCAATTTCTACTATGCAAATATAGTTACATAATTTTGTTTATTTACAAAACACAAGTCACCCGCAATCATAAGATGCGTGCGTGAAAATGATTAACAAAAGAATATCAGATAAGGTTGTTATTCAATTGTTTTTCAAACAGGATTAACTTTTACGCTGCGAAATTACTTAATTCGATATCATTAAGAAGATATCGCAATTAATATTATTTTAGCGTGCTCGCAGCGGCTTTATTGTATGGTCGGTTTGGAAGGAACAATCGCGACCAGTCATACATTGTCCAGTGACCAGACAGCAAGCAATATCTAAGGCTGTGTAGCTGAAATCGAAAAATATTTTGGTGACAGTGAGTATGTTTTTTCTATATTATTCTGTCTACTATTGTTTTGAAACTGTACAAATTTCACAATAAATCTTGCGCGAAAAATAATTAGAGGCGAATGAAAAACCGTTTCGTGTTTGATCCAAAAAAATATTTTAATTAGACGCAATTAATAAAAGATAATTAATAAGTCATAATTTAATGTCAACAAAAAAGTATTAAAAAATATATTACTTACTAGAATTTGTTAAAACAAAAAGACTTATTCAAATTACGTTTCGTTATCTATCAATTGTTTTTAATAAAAATATTTGACCAAAAACAATACTTAATAGATAGTTTAACAATTTTAAATAACAAATGTTAAATGTAATTTAAAATTGTACTTAGCACAATACTTAGTTTATACAAAGTTATCTATGAATAAAAAGTAGAAATAATAAAAGAACCTGTTGTCTTGTCGACTTTAACATTTTATTCAATAAATAGTCTTTATTTAGAGCGAGTTTTACAGCAATGCATAAAAAATGAGACAAAAAATATGACAGAAAAAACATACATATTTAGCATCCAGTGACGGAGTTCTATAAACACAATAAAAATATGTTAATATATATATTTTTTATAATAAGAACATAAATAGCATTCGGTAAAGCACTTTGCCTCTTACTCAGGTGTCACGTTAAGTTCTTTTTAACATACTCATGTAAGTCGATTCCGCGTTTTTATTTTTTCTTTTTGTCTAGATGAGCAACACAATGATGAAGGACGTGGCTTTTATAAAGGAATGGATCGCTAAAGAGCCGTACCTACCTCAGGACCTTGGTAAGGTTCCATGTTAAATCCTATAATAATATTGTAAAGCTGAAGAGTTTGTTTCTTTGTTTGAACGCGCCAATCTCAGGAACTAGCTGGTTCAAATTGATAAGTTATTTTTGTGTTGGTTAGAACATTTATTGTGAGGAAGGACTTCGACCAATAGGTTAGCAAAAGGAGTTGCAACCAATGCAAGGGCTTCCATTGAGTGACGCCAAATCAGTAAAACAAAAAAATGATCTAATTGAAAGATCATGTAATGTATATGTCTTTCTATTACAGATTAACTCGACAATTAACTTTTACGAAATACTAAATCGCTATAAGAATGTATGCTAGGTATGAGTTAATATTTTAGAATTTAATTTTTACGGATTAAAATTTAATATATTTCAACATCAAATAAAACATACAGATGCATGAATGAATAATAAACATTGACGTTTGAAGAAACATTGATAGGAAAACACTGTTTGTTTGTTTAAGTATACATAAAGAAGTAATTATCAAGATCTTTGCCACGGAGAGCACGTTAAATCGTCGTTCTCAATTAACAATTATCTAGTGGCGTTAATCGTCAACCCTCACTGCAACATCATGGTCAAGGTACCTAAGCATAACATAAAAACAGTATTATTATTTGTTTAGATCGACAAGATAAGTTTCTCTTTAATAAAAATAATAATAATACGAAAAAGATGATAATAATTCCTAATGAAAGTAATAATATCCTCCTGGTTCTAGTGCTGTATCCCGAGCAATTATTTTTTATTGTATGTATCAATAGACGCCATAGAAATAGTTTGTCTGTATATTTCATTGATAACACTGCTGTGAACATTTATTTAAAAGCACACTTAGCATGGGAAACATATTTGAAACTGTGAGTGCAGTAAAATCAGTTAATTAATAACATATATCCTGTATTTTGTGTAAAAATTTTGTCAAGGGGACAAGCTATAAGCGATCAGACAAAAACATTGCATCCAACGATAACATTTTAATCTCATTATACAAAAACAGTGTAATTAACATAATCATTTCCATCTATAAAACAGCATCCGTGTCCGGAAGTATGTTGTGATTATATGTCTGATAGCAAACTTTCAATTCCGCTTCAAATTAAAGACTGAAATCAATTACTGAATAAGAAAGCTATTTACAGTACGGGATCAAGGATATACAATTATATTTACTTTTATAATTATAATTATTTTTTCACTGAATATATTGAATAATTACATCGCTTCATTACGCGTAATAAATACTTCTAACGGTTTAATATGCGAAATTACCCTTTTCCCGTGACCGCGGCTGCTACAAAGATTAAAAACGTTATATTATTATTATAATTTACCTATTATATTACGCCTTTTTAATCGTTAAAAGTATTATCTATCTATACTAACATATAAATCTCAGTAACTACAAGTTCGAATTGAATTTTTTTTATGTTGGTTAGAGCATTTATCGAGAAAGGCTATAAAACATGGCTCTGTGACTAATATAAGCGAAGATACAGCGAAATATGTGAAAATTTTTGGGGAAACTATTACGTTTTCGACGCTTGCAGTGTACGCAAAAATAGACCAAGATACCAAAAAAATATGTATAAAGGATGATTTTTCCTCTTTAAATGATCCAAAAGGGGTCATGAAGGGGTTTATAAAAACCAAATCTGGATGCCCAAAACTACTTTTCTACGCGGACGAAGTCGCTGACACAGCTAGTATTTAATAATTATGTTTTACAAAGTAGGTATGTCAGTCCTAAATTCTGTTACTTCGTATAGAATTTATATTTTAATGTTAAAAATGGCTACATATACATTTGAGTAATAGCAGATAATTATGAATTATTATCAAAAGATTTAACATATTACATATTTTAGGTTTTTATATGCGTAATAATTTGAAAATAATAGTAGTTATTAAAAAATATGCTATAGAAATAGTATGTCTGTATATCATACAAATACGTAATTATATTTAGGGATTGTAATACAATGTTGAACGAACTATGTTAAACATTTTATCGTTTTTTTCTGTTCAATTATTAAATAACATAGATTCGAATTAAATGAAATGTCAAGAAAACAAGATTGATACAACTTACATTCGTTTTCCAACTTATTATCATAATAAAATAACCATCTGTTTTGACATTTGGGCATTGAGATATAGTACTTGAATTTTTGTGTCCGTTTTTCCAGATGAATTCATGATCAAGAAGTTCTTGCACAGTTGCTATGGCAGCTTGGAAGCTACAAAGAGATGCATTGACCGTTTCTGCTCAACTCGCAGTCAAATGCCCGAAGTCTTCACAAAGAGAGATCCTCAGGCCGAAAACGTGAAAACAGCGTTTTCCGTTACGTAAGTATTATAAATGAGTTTATTGTTTGTCATTTTATACGAGGATACTGGCTAGATACGTCAGAAATTGTAATAAAAAACATAATTTTTCTTTGGTGCTAGCGAGGTTTTTGGTAAATATGTGTGTATAATCCTACTATCTCGTCGTGCGGCCCTGGGTACAAAATTTTAGTGTCTCGTTTTGAATCACCAAAGTAGTTTTTAAATGTACGTGGATATGCACAGTATGAATTTGATTTCAACGCGCGGGTGTTTTGTATTCAATATCCTGAATATCCGAAGCCAAAATAGACGACAGCGCATCTCCTCCACATTAAAATATATATATATATATATATATATGTATATATATATATATATATATTTTTTTTTTTTTATATTTTTTTTTGTATATATATAATATCAACATATATACATATAACATCATAATACAATGGCATTTTGTCAAATAAAGTTCTTATGTGTAAAGTTGAAGGAACAGGGTACAGTAGAACAAGACAAAAGGAAAACAATAGCTAATACCTTAGTGCACGTCAAACGTCCTCAATGTGTCACAATACACACTTAATATTTATAACAGACGTTTGAATTGATAAATAGAGAATCTATTGCATTATTTATCAGGCACCACTAGCAGTGAAACATAATACATATTATAATTATTATTTTATTATTATCTAGGATTGAAAGTCTTCTTCAAGTATAAATAAATTTAGAGGCTGCAACCGTGAAAGCGTAACAAATTATCGTTTTTTTTTGTTGAAGTTTAAATAATATTTATGAAATAAGCACGATACAATAAAAGTTATCTATCTCTAAAAACGTGTAGATTATTTATCTTTTAAGCATAGATAGAAAGTGCTTTAAATCTTGAATATAATATTTAATTGTTCAAGTAATGTAGTGTTTTTATTAAATAATTAAAAAGGCGTTTACTGAGTGGATGTTATGTTGGAGACCGTTTGGCAATACCTACTATATATTATCATATTTAACTTCTCCAGTTCTTACACTGTTTAATTATAAAACCATAATTAATAAATGTCTTTAAAATTAAAATAAAACACTTTAACCGTTTAAAACTCGATATATTAGTATGCTTTAAATTCCAAGCATCACTATACTATTCTGAATTGTGCAAGGGGCTTTTTTAGTGATTCAGTTTCGCTTAATCGTAAAACACTCAACATCTCCTGATGATACCATCAACTCGTAATTATAAAACGTCGAAACCCACTTTCAAATATTCAACAGCAACAGGAACTTCAATAGCTTCATAAATTGGCTGCAAAAGCTATAAAAAATAAACTTTTACTAATTTATTTATGCTTGTAATTAACATATTGTTTATGTTTCCAGTCGCGTTTGTACATATAAAGCTGGTGAAGACGAAATCCTGGTTCACCATTACGACGACCCGGAACTGGAGCATTTCTGCTTCTATGACATACTAAAGACCCTCACGATGCAGGCCGACCATTGGTTCAGATATCACGATGTCTTTCCAAGCGGCCATATTGTTATTCTAGATATGTCGTCCTTCTCTCTCAAAATGGTGCCAAAGGCCAACGTTATGTTCTTCCGAGATTTTCTCCTTTACCTCCTGGTAAGGTCTTTGTACGAGTATTTCTTGTAAATTTAAGTAATGATAAATTTAAAATAACATGAAACGTGGGTTATTAAGTATCGACTATAATACATAGTAAAATATACTATATTACTAAAATATACTATTTTTACTTTATTTTGCCTAGATTCCAATGATCATGTCATGAAGTATGTTGTGCGTCCCGAGATTAAATGTATTTTACCCCGTAGGTGTCCAACCCTAGTTTCAAACCGCAACCTAAATCGGGCTTATATTTATATGTATACTTTCAATAAAATTCTCAAAATTGTGGAGGGTTTATTTTAATTAAAAATTATTTTGCAATAACAGTAATTATTAATCGTAAGGCACATATTTATAGAAATCAGCGATAGAAGGTCCACTTTTTCTGGTAAACATTTCGCCCATTTCCTTCCTACTTCGTAGGGTTAACCAACTCTAACTGTCCCCCCCTTCCAACCTTCCGGTTTCGATTATTATTTGTTCCATCTTTAATTCTTCGATATTATCTTTTTACGTTTAGTTTAGTTACTTTATCAGTTACCAAATGTATTTTGAGTTGCCTTATTAAAGCAATTACATTTCCAGGAAGGTCTTCCAGTTCGCGTGAAGAAAGTTTTTGGAATCAACGCGCCATCATACTATGACAAACTTTATTCTCTTGTTAAGCCAGTACTACCGGCGGAACTATGTGACATTGTAAGTGTATTTAGGATGCAGATCGTAATTACTTGACACTTAGGTGTTGCAGATGGCCTCGGTTTACCTTCATGATCTCTTTGTCTCATTTTTATTATACCCTATTAAATCTAGAAAATTATGCCTAGAGATTTGTTTCTATGATAAGTAAAGAAGTAACATAAAATACAAGAGTTTATATATACTATATGATATTTCAGATCCACTTTTACCATGACTTCGAGGGTCTTCATAAGCACATAGACAAGAAATACTTACCCGCGGAATACGGCGGAGATGCCACAAGCGTTAAGGTTGAAGATGAGGATTGGAAAAGGAAAATTAATGAAAATAGGTAATTCAAATGAATTTTAATCTCTACTTGTGATCGTGATGATACATAAGTATACTCATATATGTAGTGGTATTATTGTATTATGTAAATGAATTTTTAACTGCTCTAAGTAGCTAGTAACTTTCACGACTATGTCACAACAGTGTGCTGTTGCTAAGGTGTCGTGAAGTTATGGGATCGCTTTACGATTTTTATGAGAAAGGAGGACAGAGGGCTCACTTAATGGAGGGTAAATTAATATAGCCATATAACATCTCAAGGAGATGCACTATTGGCCTATTTTGGTTTTGGATATGCGGAAGTTTGTCTTCTGATGAATATAGTATACGACTGTTATTCTATTATTTAATTTTTCTTTACAGAGAGATGTATTTAAATGACAATTTATGGAAAGCTGATCTGAAGTTGAAACCTAAAGGTGACGGCAATTCGATGAACGGTTCATTCAGGACTCTTTCGATTGATTAAGTTATGATAATATTGTTAAAGTTTTTTTATTAAAAGTTGTTTCCAATGTATGTCTTTCTTTTGTGATTTAGAATTATTCTTGGTTAACCTAGATGGTACAATTTTTAGTATCAAGAACCACATTAATAGAAATTTTACTTAAGAATAACATTGCTTTATACATTATGTATTAATGTATTTATAAGTATACCTGTAGACTTACCTCCTTCCGATGAATGATGTTTCAAAATAAAAGAACAATACGACATATGTTATGGAGTTCTGACATTTCAATTACAGGCAAAACATTTTTTTACTATTATTTAGTATTGCTAACAATTTCTTTTTTCTAACAAAATTAACAGGTCACCAAAATACCTCGATCAAAAACTTTCCGGCCTTCGGGTTTTGTTAAAAATATAATTTTACATTGTTACAATCGTATGAAAATGGGCTCGCAGGAAGATCCGTGCTGTAGCAAAGAGGTGGATAATGGAGAAGATCCTGACGACAAGAAAGACGAAGAGAGTCGGGAAGAGGATCAAAGAACAAGTGGCACCTATATATCCAATTATTCCGCTGACAGTCGCTTGCATATGGCATCCACTGGAATCGAGAAGCCAAAGCTCGGTTTGGGGAAACCAGAAGGCAAGTTCGATGATAAAAAACGACGGAAGAGACGCATAGGCAGAGTTGAGAAGCAAAGGAAGCCGTCAACCAGACGGCAGCTGAATAGACGTGCTCCTAAAAGGAAGCCAAGGGCCAGAGGCAACAAGAAAAGGGATTTGTCGATCTCAACAATGTACTCAAGACTATCGTCCAGTGGCATTCTCACACCAGCCTGTGAGCGTTGCGGCCACCGCTGTTGCCGACGAAGGTAGCTTATTCGTTTGTATTAAAAACAATGTACGCGTTTTTTATCACAATTTTTTTTTTATTAAATTCTATAGTCTTTGTTGCGGCGTTTTATTTCCTGCAGATTCTCAATAGATTGACATTAGCAGATACAAACGAAGAACCGCGATGAAGAGAACAATGAAAGATTTAAATTGTGACTCAAAAAGAAAGCTGAGGTCATGTATTTATAAGTCAGGTTTGAAATTTCCAATACTTTTCACTTGAAGCTTCTTTGTTTTGCCTTCAATCAGTTGTATACCCTTGACATTAATTTTAGAAATGATACAAGTTGGGTCTTGTTGTAAGATGCTGTCGCCACTGAACATAAAAGCTAGTTCTGTTCCATTTGAAGAAGGCCCGACGGCAATGTTTAGTGAGGTAAACGATATTTTGATACGTAAATCTTGGGTTAATGACCAAAAGACAACATGGAACAACACATGGAAAATATTGTTGCTTTTAACCGGGTTCATTTAATTATATACACACAGGTATTTATTTAAAACATTTTTGTACACTTTCCACAACATACTCAGTTTTACCTCACAATTTTATCTAACATACATACTAACGATCTTTTGAATTAGGTACTGGACGCTACTTTAAAATGCTTTATAGCTACTTAATAAAATTTAGCCAATGAGGATATGTCGTTTATCAAAATAAAACTTAAAGAATTAATGAAAAACGGATTTTTATTAGATATCTCCAGAAATGATTTACGAGGCACTGAGAAGACTTTCAATGTGGCGGCAACACGTTGAAACTAGTGCAATTTTAGATTATATTGGAGTAAGTATACAAGTATACATTATTTTTAAACTAGTCCTTTTCCTTCAAAGAGCCACTAATTATCAGTATCACATCTAACAACAGTATGTAGTAAGTAAAAACTGGCAAAAGGCTTCTTCAGGACAAAATAATGTTGTTATGAGTATTGTTCATATTTCTTTTTTGTTGTGTTGATATAATTAAGTATTTTTATATATTTATACGTGATATTATAGTTATACTAACAAAGTAATTATATTCACATGTTTCAGAGAAATTATCCGGTAAACCCGGATAAGAGTGAGTTGCTAATGGAACTCTTAGATAAGTTGGTTATCGCAGTCATTGTGGGTGAGAACCAAGATTTTTTTACTTACTGTTTTGAAAAAGGTGGGGTATACTACGTACTCCGATTAAATCTATTTTAATATAATCGTGATCCTAGGGCGCCCTCGACACACGTTGTTCTTGACATAAGCCCATGATAGAACTGGCTTTTAGCAATTAGAAGCAGAGGGTCATGTAATACGTTTTTTTACTGACTTTCATACATTTACACAAGCAATGCAAAAAAGGTTCAGTTGTGTTAATCACTAGAGTTCTTGCGTTCAAATCTTGAGATATAAGTACCAGCTGGACACATCCGTCCTTTTTGTCTGTAGATAAAATTCTACATAGTGTTACGTAAGAAACGAAATTTACATAAATAAATACAATTAAATACATTTACATAAACAATAAGACACACAATTATTGTAATCTATCATTTTTAGGCATAGTCTGCCAATCATCTACCGACACTTGGTATCTAAGCTGTGCTCTGGAGAGGCGAAAAATAAAGAAAACTCACGTCACTTTGTTCTGGAAAGTGTATAGCGATACTTTGCAACCAATATCCAAGAGGCAGGTAAATGTACGTAAAAGACATCATCTTTGAAACCTGAATTCGATAACACGGGCGGGGCTTGAACCCTGCTGCTCGTTTAACCAATTGAGCTACCGTCTCGTACATCATCATCGAATTTCTTCACCCAATTGATACATGCACCTCTCGCACAATGTAATATCAATCTTAATACCTACGGATTGAGATTAAATGTCCTATGCTTTGCAGCTTATTTATATTTTAATGTAATATTATAAAAGATATATTTTTGGAATGAGCATATTAGCTTTGTTCACTTCTTAACTGTGTCCATTGTTCAAAAACATATGTAATGTATATTTCTGTCCCGTTGGTCTCTTGAAGACTCGATTGCGGATTACGAGGGTTTAAGCCTAGGTCGAGCGAACCATTAATTTATTTGAGGTCTTTCTACTTTACTATAAGTAAGTAGTAACAAAAACTACGCCCCACTGAACTACTGCTATTACTGCAACTTGCAATTTGCCGTAACGCGTTTCGCAACGAAGCGATTAACTCGTGAGAAGTTATGAACAAAACCATTTCTTTTTTTCAGAATACTACGAGTCAGAACACGAACAGTCAAAACGGAACGTTACGCGTTTTTGACAGCGAAATTCTATAAATGTACGAAATTGATTAAAAACTGGATGCGTTATTAATATTACAATATTCGAAAAATAACTTTATTTATGTGTATCATATCTATACAGGTTATACAAAATTTACAAGTAAATTATAAATCATTTTATTAAATGTATGTAGCCCATAAATATTATTTAATAATTTATGAAATGTACCACATCCTTTTAAGAATAACCTACTACATAATATTTTGTATGCATAGTCTAGACTTTAAAATCTGATAGGACAAACAACTGTAAAAGCACTAATGACAATGTTTAAGTTTGAAAATACAATAATTGTATTATATTTTAACATCATTAATACATACATAAATTAACATCTTATCACAATACACGTTACACATTAGATATACTAATTTAGGCAAATCTTACATCTAGTAAATCAAAAGTGTTAGTCCAGAGCTAGAGCCCTGAATGATCCCGGTACATCTCTCATCTTGTCAGCCTTATCATCGCGACAATTGCTCGGTCTTAAAGCTTCCTCCACGACCCAACGCTTGTCATTCTCTAAGAACCAGTCTCTGTAATAAAAAAATAATACTGTCTGTAGTTTACGCGAGTAGTACACATTTAAATAAAACACTTTAACGGTTTAAGCGTTGTCACGAGTCTCCTCGTAACCACGGCTTAAACTATTGTTTTGAAGAGTTTGCTTGTTTGTATGTTTGAACGCACTAATCTCAGGAACTACGAGTTCGAAATGAAAACAATATTGTTGGTTAGAATATTTATCGCCTGTCTGCATTCTCACGAATACAGCGAGAAATATGCAGAAAAAGAAATGGGAAAATTATTCATCAATATGGGTTTCCGAGGCGTACGCTGCAAAAACGGTGCCTCCTTACGCAAAAAACACGTAGGAAAGAAGCATTCCTTTTTAAATTATTTAAAAACAAAACACTACGCTATGTAGACACATAGCGTAGTGTTGTATATTTGAAAATTAACGTGCATGAACGGGAAGGGACGTGACCGACGTCGTGGGTAACGGCTTAAATTTATAAAGATGAAGGGGTTTGCAAAACGAATTTGGATGCCCAAAATAACGATTCTCGCGAACGAAGGCACTGACACAGCTAGTTCTTCAATAAATTCGTTATGTTACTTACATAATTAAAATATATACAATATATTAACATATATCACTATATGTGATTTAAAATTGCGCAGGCTCATGCTGTTTTGTATAGTTCATAATTCTTGTATAACATTACCTCTTAGCTTCCATTCGCTTGATCCAGTATCGTTTGATCTGGTCGATAGACCCAGAGGAGCCGCCATATTCTTCAGGAAATATCTCCTTGGATATATCATTGAAGAGTGTCTCTGTGTTTGGTTCGTGGAATTTTATCTGTGAAGTGTGTGTTTTAATAATGCACATATAATAAATAATTACAGACATTAATATTCAATTCAAATATAGTTTTTTAATCTTTAAGAGTATATAAAGCATATATTAATTACTCACCAATTTAGCAACTTCGCTCTTCAAAAAAGGCTTGCAAAGGGCAAATATTTTTCCGATGTAAGATGGAGTATTTATAACATGGACTTGCTTTAGTCTAACAGGTACTGCTTCCTGAAAATTTAAATAACAATATTATTGTACATATTTATTTATAATTTCTATGCTGACTCGACAAACTTTGTTTTGCTATATATATTGATGTCATAAACTAATAAATAAAAAAACTATTGTCCTAACCCATCGATAATACAAAATTGTATTAAAATCAGTTTGTTTTGGATTCGCGCATCAACAAAGTGAGAGGAGTATTTTTAAATTCGATTTAATACTGTATAACACAACAGTTCATCTCCTAATAACTGAATAAAGAGATAAAATAAAGTGAAGATTGATGCCTATATACGTTCATTGTGTAAGTTTCAATTGTTCTACAGCAAATGACATACTTTTAGTATACATATTATATTTCCAACTAATATAGTTGCAATTTCTTGATTGTAATTTATACAATCTACAATATTTCCCATAAAAATTAAGTTTCTGTTAAAGCAGTTTACGAAACGCTGTCAATCTCTCTTGCAAAAGAACAGGGATTTTTTTTTTGATTGATAAACTCGGTTACATTTATCATGTGGTTATGTAAAACCTTTTATGAAAGTGGCCTTCGCTCTAAACGTTTTTAAATTTCGCAAGTACACGAACGAAGTCACATGTATACAAAATATTGTGTTGCGTGACTGATATAACGTGATAGGTTACTTATTTAATATTATTTACGTTGTTGTCAAATTAATCCCTTTTTTTAATCCCGTTTCCCTGTCATTGGGCAAGGGGCGAACATATTTCTATGTCTGTTTCAATGATCCGTTCTTTAAGAGGCAAATAGTTGATCAGACTTCTATGCCCTACCCGACCGGAACAAAATTTTTGTTCCCATAGGATTCGAACCCAGGATTTTGCGCATAACGCAATGCTAGGCAATACGTTTGACCATTTGGCTACAGAGGCGGCAAATTAATCTGGTATTATTTATTTGATTCCTAATAAGTAGTAAAGTTTATATATTAAAATTCATCTAAAAATAATTAGTATAAATGTCGGTCATGTTGACATATAAATATACTTTTTTAATATCCTTTATTCGTATTTAATACAAAGAACAATACTCTTATTTTATTCTTCCAAGTTAAAGAACTATGCCATATAAAAAAACAGTTTGACGTGTATAAGACATTAAATAAAACACAATAAACAGATGAAAACGCCGAATATATTAGTTACTTATATCTTACTACGATCGGGGGTTTCGGATGGTTAGCAGCGTTACTTTCTTACGCCTTTTCAACAGTTAAAAGTGTTTTATTGTGATTTTAATGTACGTGTATTTATAATTAAATAAACGTACCTGTGTGTACATCATGTACTTTCTCAGTACTGAGAGATTAACTTTTCCAATGAATTTAAGAGAGACATTGGCCGCGTCGAATATAGGTATTTCTCCAGAAGGGATGTCGTCTTCTTCTGTTATTCTGGTGTCTATCATCATGAAGAATGTCTTTACGACATCTGTGAAGTTGAAAGTATCCAAATCGGGGTCTCGCAGCCGGTAAATGAACACCTTATAGTTCTCCTTGGTTTTGTAGGGCAAGGGTAGCATATCGCTGAAATTGATATGGCCTTGTAAAAAAATATTCACACTCGTAAAAATTAATACGATAATTAAGCTTTTAAGGAAATGCCAGAAAAGCTCACTGATATTTCACTATCTCGAGATAAAATTTACGATTATAATTAGGGCCGTACGTATTCCAAACAACATAATAGAATACTATTTAGAGAAATATTTAAATTTTATTTGTTTTAAAGACCTCATTGTAAATACACTCGCGTATTAAAGCAATTTTTAACATCTTACACATTAAATGGTATTTTATCTTAACTTAGGTTTAAATAAAACACTTTAACAGTTTACAACGCGATATATTAGTTAAACTTATTTGAAAATGATTTTTAACTTCGGCCCGTTTCGGATGCTTTGCAGCAGCCGTGGTCGCGATCAGTCTCCCCGTGTAATATATTGCGTTTTAAACAGTTAAAGAGTTTTATTTAAATGTGTACTACTCGCGTAAACTATAGACAGTATTTAACTTTTTTTTTTACATTGTTGCAATATTTTACCGATATTCCCATGTTAGTAGAAGCCATTTTATAATTATAGCGCGTTTCAATTGACACGGAGTTTTGCCTTTTTGTGATAACTAACCGTATTTGTATCTAGAGTCTAGATCAAGGGGGGATTCGACCTAGGGTGGGGCCATATGCGGGTGGGAGCTTAAGAGCTTTTTTGGTTTTGTTGTATGACGTATTATCTTGACAGACGTTTTATCGACTGTCATGTCCGTATATATGGTCGTCTGATTGTGATGTTTGCTCTTCCATTAAAAAATTATAGTAAGCATACCGAATTGTAAATATTAAAGACTTATTAATATAGTGACCATCACGGAAGTTTTGACTACCGGTTAATTCTAAGGGATTGTAGAAACTTTAATTTTACACTTACACTTAATGGGAAAAATGCGAGTAATGACGATGATGGTTTATCGTCGATGGTTGATCAAACAAGTTTAACTAAAATATATCGCGTTAAAGCGTTTTATATAATTGTCTACCACTCGCGTAAACTACAGACAGAAAATAAATAGTATTAGAATTAGAGATTAAGAATGTAGCTTTTACAATAGATAATACTATATCTATGTTAGCAACTGTTATTAATGTAAGCTCTACACATCTCGCGCACATTAATATAAAACAAAGTTGCACTTAAAGTTCACACACCAATAAAGAGTAATAAAAAACATATAAAAGGAATTGAAAATACGTTTATTGTTGCTAAGGTATTTACATAACCTCTTAGAATGTACGAATCGAGAATTTTTCGTCCACGTTTTCCTGTTAAGTTCTTAGATTAGAACGAAGTAGATATTTTTGGATATCATAAATACCGTGCCATCAAAGGGCTCAATTAATTGTGTAATAATAAAATGTCATAATTTTTTAGCGATATGACTATTCTCTAAAAATTTACGATTTATAGTTTATGGCTGTTTTATGCTAACTCACTAATTGTTAGATTGATCCAGAATGATACTTGTAAATTTTGCGAGATGATAATATTATTATCGGTGACTGAATTATAGTTTGTTTGTTTGAACGCGCTTATCTAGGAACTACGGATTGATTTGTGTTGGTTAGAGCATTTATCGAGGAGGTATAGGCTATAAAACATTGTGCTGTGACAATAGAAGCGAGATAAGGGGAAATGTGAACAAATCGGGGAAAATTTTTCATCTCTGTGAGTTTCATATGGTACGTGGAATAGGGTCTAGAAACCCAATATGTAAAATAATGTCCCTTTAAATGATTAAAAAATGGAGGCCACTGTATGACTATCTTTTAAAATTAACTTGAAGAAGACGGGACCCGAACGACGGATCGCAAACAGGGACTCGACCGATGTAGTGAGTTAAATTTATAAAGATGTAGAGAGTTTGCACAAACAAATTTGGATGAATAAAAATTAAAAAAATTACTTTTCTACACGGACGTAGTCGCTTGCACAGCTAGTGGTTTAGTAAATGGCTTATTACGTTAGGCGCGAGTTCCTGTCTTCGAATCTAAGCGGACTGTCTGAATAATAATTTGTTAAATTACTATAAATAAAATAGATCAGAGACGTATAGATATAATATATTGTATTTGTAGGATATATACGTGGCCCATACATAGGAAAAACGACTTCCACTTTTAATAACACTTACGTATCATACCTGTATGATACTGGCTTTTTAAAATTAGTATAGATTATACATTTTTACGCATCGATGCGTAATACAACCTTTTACAAAGACTGATATTTTTCGTGAATTGCCGAGGACCAAAATCCAAATCCCAACATCAAAACCCCACATAAACGCACTTACGTGATCTCAAACACTCGTCTTATTTCGGGCGACCAAGGATCTCGTTTGCAGAATAGGTCAGGTGCTGCTGAACGCAGCGTGAAGAATAGGTCGATGGTGCGCTTAGCGCGCTCCAGCCTTTTGTGACAACTCAGGTAGAAGCGACGAAGAAGCACATCCTCTGAGAAAAATAAATTATTAGAATGCGCGAGAGGTGCATGTAACAATAGATTGAAAAAAAATCCACGATGACGTGTAGGACGTAGACACGGTAGCTCACTGGTTAGAGCAACAGCACGGAACGCTGTGGATGCCCGGAGCAAGTCCTGCCCGTGTCGTAAAATGTTTCAATCAAAACTCGGTTTTAAATTTGCATAAATTCATCTTATATCATCACCAGTAAAATGTGTTTCAATAGCTGTTACCAGATATATGTTTGAACATTAATTTATGTACTTTGATTAACTGAACTTTTAATAAAAAATACAATAAGTGAGGTTATTGCCTTGGTCTCTTGGTTCACGAGTTTTTGAAAATGCAATGTGCTTTTTTTCCAATGTTCTTATACGTGTATTATTGATGAAGAATTATATCGAATGAGCATAATAATAATAATATGCACTCAACCGCACAATAACAAGTTTTAAAAATCTCTTTTGCCAAAAATATTGATACAATATAATATAATGTGATTACAACTGAATTATATTTCTTCATATCGGAAACAAGTTACCTCATTTTACGCATTAAGTTCGCGTCAATTTATTGTTACGTAAAATTAATATCATAACTCAAGAGTGCAACTTCCCCTTCACTGTTTGACCCATTGACCCATAATAATGTACACACCGATTAAAGTAATAAAAACATTTTGTATGTGGGGTATGGGGCAGATACGCTAAGTTAGTTCAGTGGCATTTGCAGGCAACAAAGAGAAAAGGCTAATAACGGTGTATTTAATTATGAAAATAATATTTTTCATAATTAAATACAAGATGCCTTTTGCTATGAACGAAAAACAATAATTGTCTATCTATATACACATTATAATATATACTGCTGTATTAGATCAATATTAATAAGTAGTTTCCCCTTTCAGTTTGGAAGAAATCGATTTTTAATGACAAGACCACAATTATTTCATAATTATTTTTATTGTCCACATTTCTCTGTTGACTGAATCTTAAATATTTATTTAATTTGTATTGTATACTGTACTGTACGCGTGTAGTGTGTGAAATTATCAATTTTCATTTAATGAAGTAGGTTTAAAGTAACTTAATAAGTAATCAGTAGATCTCCTAGTTTTTCAATTTACTACCATGTCATAACAAATGTAAACACTACCTTTCTGCAATTGTTTACTGATACTATTGAGTACAACCACGAACAACCGTACAATCGTGGTACAAAGTTATTAGCACGTTATATCCAAACACTGACTTGTCTGCAATTCGACAATCTCTATCAAAGATCAATGACCCAAAACAGCAACTTTTACTTTTATTGCGTAGAGATTGAAAGATGTGCACACGCATCGTGTTATTAATTTTGCGTTTATAAATTTTATTATTTTTCAATCATTTCTCTTTCTGTATGCTTAATAAAAACTCGACAAAATATACGCTGATAATGTTTTAATCGACTTTGAAAAGGAGTATTATGGTCTTTAGAAAGACAATAAGATTTTTATCATCGCGTTTTAAAATTATTTAAGCACAATTTAAGAGTATAAAATATTTTAGCGATATTGGTAGTGATTTGTATCTAACAACATAAATAAACAAAAAAAATATCAGGATTAACGTATAATTTAACAAAAAAATATACATACAATAGGTCCTTTCGTATTATTTATATATTTTTTTTATCTTTTATACTATTAAACTTAACGCTAACAAGACACAAAGTCTTATACTGTATAATCTGATTAAGAATTAAAATACTACGTTTCGACTACGCTGAGTCAAACTCCCTGCGTGTAAAGTGGCACGTATCAATGCAATACTATATAATAATCTCGAATCTTGCGTATTTAAACCGATTAAAATCTTATACAGACTGCAACAATAATTACCGAGTAATTGTTAGGTCAGGGACTATACTCTGTTGCTTTCAATAATGTAAAACACAGATCAGACAATTTTATTTACATATAAATACGTATACTTATAAATTCGGTCTTATTTTTAATCTGTAGGTTTTTTATTAACTAATGTCCCGATATTGTAGTATCTGTTCCATCCAAATTGCATTAAAAGAAATATGTGTTTTTGAAGTAAGTGAGCTTCGGGGCTCTAATTGTATTCAGCGTCAAGAAAACGAAGCAACTGCATTAATAAAAACAAAGACTTATTATTGTAAACCCTAACAAGAATCCCTTCAGATAGTATATTTTAGAGAACACCGAGAAACTTACCGACGTCGTGGGGCAAATGAGGTTGCTTGCTCAACCAATCCTTTAATGGAGCGAGCTCTAGACTCCATTCCAATTCTTGGTCTGGCATGATTCTGTAAAAATAACGACTAGATAAGTAACTTAGGGGTTTGATTTTTTTTATTAGAGAAATACAGTTTTGGAATGTGATGACAAACATATATTTTCACATTTAAATAAAACACTTTAACGGTTTAAAACGCGATATATTAGTTAAACTTATTTGAAAATGATTTTTAACTTCGGCCCGACGTTTAGGATGCTTTGCAGCAGCCGTGGTCACGGGGGAAGTTAAACTAATATATCGCGTTTTAAACCGTTAAAGTGTTTTGTTTAAATGTGTACTACTCGCGTAAACTATAGACAGTATATATTTTCACACTTTCCTAAATTCTCTCAACTAACATACCTACTACTTAAATGACAAACATTGTAATGTTACAACAATAAGTGTTTACTTATTTCCTAACCATCTACAAGACAGAACAATAGGTAGTTTGATTTTCCTTACTAATTCTTCAGTTCGTGTCTTCATAGATTTATACTGTGTTATTGAGAGAAATTCTGCGAGATTTTTTATGATACCTAGAGGAGAACGGATAAGCATGGTTTTCACTTGATGGTAGGAAGAAATAAGCCGTATAACATCTAAATAATATGTGTTGTCGAACTATTTTTTGCTTTGGATATTCATAATCGATTGACTGAAACGGAAACGCGATTAAACTAGAGCTAGCTTAGCTTTAGCGTTTTCATCTGTAGACGTTGGTTCGTTACCCAGGCAGAATTTCGATATTCCTGCCATCCAATTTCGTTGGCCACCATTAGTAGCAAAGTGTGGCTAATTGAATCAATGCTCTGCAACATGTTGGACTTCGTCTGGAAATTTGATGGAAAATGCCGTCTGGTTCACCATGACCGACAAACCGGTGAAAAAACCATGGAGTTTAACAGCGTCAGCAATAGGTAAGTAATGGCCAGCGGCGCATCTTGATTTGATCTTATGGTTGGGGTGCTTGTCTGTTCTCTTCTATCACAAAACTCACAGAATTTCCTTTAATAATAACACAGTTTAAATCAAGCTGGTTAGGAAATAGGTAAACACTTATTGTTGTAACAGTACAATGTTTGTCATTTAAACACTTAGTATGTTGGATGCGAGCAGTAGTTAGAATAGTTAGGAAAGTGTCAAAAATGGTGTCATCACACACTAGAACGTTTCTTTATATACGAAACGAGATAATCACACATTTATAAAAGAATTTATAGCAATAAGAGAAAAAACTGGCTTGTCGGAATGTATGGCTAATAATCTACCGGGTCGTAAGTTCGAACCCGACCGTATGTAACAAATGTCTATTAAATCGACTTTCAGAAACATATTGGACTTCTGAAAATTAGAATAGTAAATGGGTGGTAAGAATATCGAAAATTCCGCCCGGGTCACGAACACAAAGAAGCCTTGAAGATGGGTTTCAGTCTGTGGATTTCCGAATATCCAAAGTCAAAATAGGTTGACGTCGCATCTAGTTCAAATATACGGAAGAATTTGACTTTCCATTACAATAACTCCAAGATTGTGTGTCGTCCTCTATAATATAAAAATAATTGAAAGCTTTGTGAAGTCAAAACTTATTATAGTATCAAATTAACTTTTTGAAATCTTATATTTAATTTAGGGCGCTCACGTAACGAAGTGAAAGTTCGAAAGTTTTTTCTTTGATACGTTGTACTTAACTGTAACATTGTAAGTACTTACGACATTTTAAGCTAACCAATAAGCCTATAAGGCTTTCTTAATATCAGTTGATAAATCTTGAATTATTTGAATTAACGGAATCATACGGATGACAAATAATCTCAAATCAACAAACAACAATGTTTTTTCGTTTGTGTATATATTTACGTTGACATCACCCATAGTAAGTGTGTTGAAAAAGATTTATTTTCTAGTGTATCACTAATTGCTTAAGGTAAAGTAAAGAATTAATCAATAGATACTGCAAGGAAAACGTTGTTCTTGTTTTACTTTACACGTATATTGTTTTAACTTAACTTTTTTTAAATAACACTTTCTTAGGTAATAACATTATTTTGTGAACCTAATGTCTTCGTAATGTCTGTACTGAAAAGGAACGATTGAATATCAAAGAAACAATTTTAGCTAGTTACAATAGTAAATGTTTATAAGTAGGTAGTTTTGGTCTGTTTGCTTACATATTAATGACTACAAGAACAGATCGCTTTCTACTTAATAACCTTTGTATTAAGTAAAATAAAAAAAATATGCAGCAAGTAGGTACTGTCATCTTCGATAAATCGTAGATATAAAAAATCTCTAACAAAGTCACGGTTCTGAAAACTAATAATAATAATAATAATTGATGTCGGTACCCACGCTTCGTATAAGTACCTATTTCCTTCTATTTACAGGTTATAGGTCTGGCAATTAAATCTATTAACACAGCCATTTTATTTGCGTAATTGTGCCCATTTGTATTCTGTTCTATACAAAGACTATTTCGGTTCGTGACGCCACGATCTCAGTAAATCACAACAATTTTTTGTTTAGAGGAAAAAACGTGACGGATTCTAAAGATCTGTCGATCACTCGTCTTTCCTGTTGGTAGATAATAATAATAATTCAACCCTAATCAATATAATTTGATGTCAATCACGAATGTCTGCACGCTATTTACTTTCTAATGATTATTCTAACGTTATTAACATATTCACCGGTCTTACTCGTCACTTATTCCTATATCTTTAAACGGCGTTTCAAAATGCTTTTCCATACTAATATTAGAAAGCTGAAGAGTTTGTTTGTTTGAACGCGCAAATCTCGTGAACTACTGGTTCGAACTGACAAATTATTTTTGGGTTGTTAGAGCATTTATTGAGGAGGGCTTCAGACTATAACATCATCCTGCGACCAACAGGAGTGGAGAAACAGCATAAAAGCTTGATAAACGGGGAGAATTATTTATCTTGGAGGGCATACGTTGTTTGCGCGGCGAAAACGGTTCACGATACCAGAAAAATATATCTATAATTATTCTACGGGGTCGAAGTCGCCGGCACAGCTAGTTAAAGATTTAGGTAGGCCGCGTCATTTCCTTTAAGTTTTAAAAAAGTCAAGGTGTTGAAGAAACAAGAATCCTCAATTGGCAAAAAATCTTATAACACCGAATAAATACTCATTAATTCAACGATTCTACTAAGTCAACGTATGGGCTCTTGGGGATTTCCTTTGTATTACTATAAGTTTTTAAAAACAAACATCTTCAACGTTTTATATATATTTTTTTCTTGATAATTGTTGCTTTTATTATGTTATCTATATAATTTTTACTACTATAATATAATACATACTAGCTGATCCGGCAAACGTAGTAATTTTTTTATATTGATACAACTCTAAAAATTAAGTAATATATATATAATAATAAGTAATGCATAATTTTCCCCGCCCTTTTCTCCGCTGTTGCAGGATAATATAGGCTGTTTTATATGATATTTCCATATAAAACAGTAGATCCTGAGATTAACGCGTTTAAACAGATAAACAAACTCTCCAGCTTCATATATTAGTATAGACTATAGTTACCAATCACGTCAATATACCGACGTGATCAGAATTTTCAAGTCAAGGTAAACGTGATAAGGGTGTGTAAATCTTTCTTGCCTTGCTAACTACATTTAGTTGTACGATAGTTACGTCAAATTAAGTTAGCATCTTGGTGATTCTTATTCTACGCATACATTATAATGTCAAGTACCTATTGTAAGTATACTTGTAAAGGTATGTATTTTTGGCTTATAGATGACTTTTTTCTGGAAAAGACTAAGGTCACTCTGCAACAGCAAGACCCAAAATATTTAGAAATTTTGTAAATCAGATTAAAATGTTTGTATGTTTTATTGTGGTCCTTAAATGGCTGAACGGTTTTATTTACAATATATTTTCTTTCGGAATGTGCATCTTGTTGAACTTGTGTCATATTTGTTGCGTGTTTGAGTTATAACAAAGTGTATAGGCACCTTTTTACTCACTCTTACTACTAAAATACTAATATACACGTCTTTGATATACATTAAACCATAAATCACCACGGAGCAGTTAAATACCAGTTTTTCAATTACATTGCTGCAACAAATATCGATCGGTGTGCAGTGGTGTGAAGAAACTGTAGATGACCATGACTAAAAACCGTTCACCAAAGGGACCGCTTATAGGTCTCGGTCTTGAACTCTTTTCTTTAAAAGAGTAAGTTTTTAATATTACGAAAAACTCAAAACAGTCTGTGCTTGTATGGAATTCGGTATTTCAAAGTTGTATCGCTACATAACCATATAACAATAATTAATTAGGGTATTATTTTTAAAGCACTATACTGCCTATATACTATTAGAAAATTAAATAAATTATTTAATTTTCTAATCACACAATTAATTTCATTAAGCAGTCTTTTCTTTGGGATATTTATATGCTTTTTTAGGTCTTTTAAACCTGTAATATTTTTCACATTTTATTGCACATAATGGCCTTGGTAAAAAAAAGACACCGGCAGAATTTGAACCGACATCCACAGCTTTTGGTGCTGCTGCTCCAACAACAAATGACACGGCACGACACGGTCTTTAACTCATTTTACTTAATCCATCCTATTTAGAGCAAAACACACAGACTCGCCCTATTTCACGTATTTTATTTCACCTTTTCGAAGTTATACGTTCTGTAACCCCCTATATTGTCCTATGTACGTATATAGATGGTCCGATTGACATGGAAAATTTCGAGAATACTAATTCACGAACTACGCAAGATGTTCGTATTAAACAAAAGGATATTTCGTTGCCTTCAACGACTGTTGTGTAATGGCTCCTAGAAAATACAAGACGAGTCTTTTGTTTCAAGAAAAGTTTCTGCAAAGTAAGTTTCTGAGAAAGAGATACAAAATTGAACCTTGTTGACTTTTGGCGTAAGATTCTCTATTATTGTAGTACAAGAAATGTAATATTTAGCTCTTGACTGACTGATGGTATAGCGTTTCAAATGTTTAACACCTCTTACTGAGTATGTAACCAATTTTAGTGGGTCACACTGTCCCGTGCAAGACTGTTAATATTTTATTGATGTTTGAAGTAAATCTACCTTAATGGTTATTCAAGAACAACGTGTGCCATAAAGCTGTAAATATTTTGATGGCTGAATTGAAGTGCTAAAGTTATTTTAGGTATAAGGTTATTTAAGTTGCAAAAGATATGTTTCAAATTTTCACAGTAAAAAATGCGAGAACAATTATGTCTGTAATTCACGCGAGTAGTTTTTACGGTTTTAAACCTGAATATTTGTTAACTTATTTTAAATTTATTTTAACTTCGATCCGACGTTTCGGATGCTTTGTAGCAGCGGAGGGTCTAATAAGACAAGAAAATATTTTACGTCTCAAAACGTTAAAATGTTTTATTTAAATGTTAGGAATATGTTTACTGTACTGTTTATAACCCTTAAACAAAATGAAACACTAAAAAAAAGTCGTAATAAATGTTAAGACGTTAAGATGTAGTTGGTATATTATTAAGAATGTCGTACCGAACGTTTTAAAAACAAATACAGATTAAATACTGCCTGTAGTTTAATTAAACCACTTTAACTTTTAAAACGTTAAAGTGTTTTATTTTTACACACACATTAGTTATTGATTATAAATTACTGTATACTAGAGCTTTAAATGAATAAATAAACTCCACTAGTTTTCTTTTTATCTACGTTCTAATTATATGTTGTGATACCGATGATCTTTTTTCTTATTAAAAAATACAAAGAATCTCAATAAAATATACTTCGTAGACACATCTTATTTAAATCAATTCATTAATTACTATTTAAAAAGTATTTTTACGATTTATTTATTTATAAAAAAAACTAAGGACAATCCTATGTCAATGTAAGCCTTAATATACTCTACTTACATATTTTAAGATGAAAACCGCAGAACTAACTTTTATAGAAAGGTAACACGTGTTGCCACTAATATTTTGTTTTTATATGCGCGCGCAACTCACCGTTCGCGCCAATCAACTGTATGAAGATGGAAGTTGGGAATTATGTTATAGCTCTTCAGTAGAATGTTTGAACACGGTTTAAACTTGAAACTTTGTAAGATTTGTTTTGAAGTGTAATGGGTACGTAAAAACAGATATATTGTAATACTGCATTCTTTTAAACACTATTTCTTATATTTTTGTATATTTTGCGTATTTATTATTAATAACACGTATATTTAGTAAGGTCCTTTTTATGTGTTATATAATAACAGGTAAGCATAGGGTTTACTTAATGGAAGGTAAAGTATCCCAGATGGTTAGGTTAAATTGTTTTTCTTACATGATATCCATATATCAAACAATCTGAGACGTGCTGACGACTTATTTTCATTTTGAATATCCCTAAATCCATAAGCTAAAACTGAAACATGATTAAACTTCGTGGCAGGAATTATGATATTCCACCTTGGATTAATTATCCAATTTACAAGGTATAGTCCGACATGTTCCAGAAAAATTCTAAAATAAATAGAAAAATGATGAACCTTGTTAAGACCAAACCCACTATGTGTTGTTTATTAGTCATTCATTGCTACCATTAGACCAATGACCGAGTGAGAGACCGTTTATGAGCCTATTATTTTTGTCATTTTTAAAAAAGGTTTAAACGATAGCGACAGCCTGATCTGCAACTTTAAAAGATTAATAATTCCTCATTAGTCTTATAAACTATTCGGATAATATTATGTAGCTATGTAAATACAAAAAAAAAATATTCAAGAAGTGGTAAGTCGCACTAAAATATAATTTCCTTAGTGCTGGTATCAGGTTTTTTTACTCATTCGCATATGAGGATGAGGAGGTAGATGTCTGTTGTACATACTTATATAATTTTATTAGAATTGTATAAACCGCTTTTCGTTTAAGATATTCGTATCACTGACCAAGTAAGTAATTCGTACGTATCTTGAAACGACACAGATAACAAAATGACAACGAATAATTGTATAGCCAAAAATGACAGTATTTTTGACGTAGACAGGCATTGTGCAAAACAAAGTTTTAAATTAGAGTTAAAATCTAAATATATTAAACTGTGTTTCTTCAATAAATTTCAAATAACTATTAAATAGCCATGTTTGCTTTCAAATGTCGCAGCGTTTTTAAATTGTGCAGTAACATAACTATACGTGAAATAAGGCAGAGAAGGTTACCAGGACCCAATCCCGGCTTAGACAAAAGGCTGGGGGCTTTTAAAAGGGAAGGTGTTAAAATTGAAGATGATGATGCTGAAGAATTTATAGAACAATCGGACAGCAATTTTTATCAGGTTGGTTGGTTACAATTTTATACAGTACACGAATCAAAATTAAGTTTATATTTCGCGTTTTATCTAACTTGTTTATAATTTATTGTTCTAAAGAACTTCACATGTGTTTTATAGGTTGGTGAAGCATATAACGAGCATTTGAATGAGACCCTAATTGGTAAATATGAATTACGGCACCAAATAGTCAAGGAAAAGTACTTTAAAGAAAATATGCCTAACCTCTTAACATGGAGTGAAAAGGAACAGATTCGTCACTTAGTGAACACAATGCCAGATGAATGGACACCGCAAAAGATAGCTGAAAGTTTTCCAGTAACAGAACCCGTTGTGAAGGTATTATATTTTGATATAAATAGTCACGTAACATGGACATAGTGTTTGATTCTAGAAATTATTTCTTCAAAATAATTGTTGAGACTTACAAGCTTTTACATTTATTTTAGAAATTATTAAAGTTTCCTTGGAAACCAGCATCTGAGCAAAGGATTGCAAGACACGATGCATCTGCTATGAGGAACTGGAAAGAGCTAAGGGAAGGCTCATTGAATATTCCTGAAGATTTAAGGCAACATTTTCTCAAATTCTCAGAAAGAACAATACCTCCCATACAAAAAAGTAGTATTAAAGTAGATCTTTCCCAGGAAGAACGGATCGGAGAATTTGAAAGGATTATCAGACGGTGTGCATCTAAGGACGATAATACCGAAAAGGACTCCGTATCGGATAATACTATGGATAATGAAACCAATATAAATATAGAGAAGCCTAAAATAGATAAAAGCAAAATGACACTGGAGGAATTGGCTAGCAAAATTAAATCTAGGATGGAAGACGGGCAAAACATTGAGATGTCAGATCAGTTAATTATAAATTCTGTTTCAAATGTTTCTCAACCTAAACCAAAGGAAGATAATATAAAACTATTGGATCAAATTAAAGAACAGACAGATTTGGCTGAGTTCAAAGCGGATGATAATAAAATAGAAGCCGTGTCTGGTAATAATTACCCTGAACGGATTAGAATACCAAAAAAAGCTTACAAGAAAAATGCAACATACAAAGTTAACGATTGTTATTATGATCATGATGGTAAATTTTTATATAGAGTAATAGGTTTAACAGACTGTAAATAATTGCCTAGTAATATTTTTTGATAGATCTTAAATAAAACAATCAATTAGAAGCCATGTAGTTTTTTTATAAAAAATTATATGCATTTATTACATACATTTGTCGATTATAATTACGATAAAATAATATATTTAAAACAATTGAACACTAAATTAATATTATTGCATGTCTTTTCATTACAATGTAAGTTTGAATTCTTAGTTATTTGTAAATGCCCATAAGACATTGTCATCACTAAAAAAATACATTTAGTCTAAACCGTTTATAGAGAATAATATGGCTTGAAGTCATCACATCTGTTACAAGTTAAATTACCATTTATATGTGAACTATAATTACATATATGATTTCTGCGCTGATCAAAAACTCACATGAGAGATGATTAGGCCAAATAACATACATGCTTTCAATTTGGTTCAGTATATTTAGGCCCAGTTCCAAGCAAGTGATAATTGTTCTAGAATGTCAATGTCAACAAAATGTGCCATAGCGTGCAACTGTATTTATCTGTAAGCCAATTACATGATACATAGACAAAATATTTCAAAGAAACCACAAATAGCACCCAATTTCTTTTATGGATATGTTGCAAATTATTTTTTCATAGCATTAAATAGGCCATCCTTGGTAGTGGGACAATTATTAACAAATTGATATTGGACGGCACCCTCTACCCTAGAAGAAATACAATCTGCGTGACCAGTATTAAGTTAGGTTCAAGGTTCGAAGGGCTGTGGTCTTCTATAAACAACAAAGTCCGCGTAAAGCTTAACTTTAACCATAGTTATTTCAAATCATTATCAATGTCGAATTTAACGCGACCATTGATCTACAATCTCCTGTCAGTATTTTTACGCGGCGTAACGCGTTATGCTTCACGCGGACTACGTCGTTTATAGACCAAGGCCTGACAATTTTAACGTGGACGCAAAACGTTCCGTTCAATAGCATTAAAACTGTAGATAATTATATCTATACACTTCAAATATTTAAGTTGAAACAATTTTATCACACAAGATACTATCACAAATACAAAATAGTCACGACTCCCGTTACACCATTTAAAAAAACTGAATAAACTCTTCGTAATACTTTTATAGTTCGCAGCTTATATTTATTAAATAAAACACTTTTGTACAGCAACCGTGACCTTTGAAACGTCGGATCTAGGTTTAAAATAAATTAACTGATATATTTCATGTTTTAAATCAGTGTTTTATTTTAAACTAACAATTTAATCAATGTTCCATTCAACACTGTAAAAAAATTTATATAAATAACGTTTAAATTAATTTCATATTCCAGTGTTATATCTATTTACATTTTGTTCAATTGTAAAAAGTTTTTTACACAAAAAAATATAATGTGCCATATACGAGAATATACCGTTGAAATAAAATATCTATCATGATAGTAAATAAAGTAAAATTAATTTTAATATTCGCAATCGAAAAATAGTATAATAGAATACAACGCACTAACAATATTGTGACCAATTTTGCTTCGCATACACTCCTTATATACAGATTAAATATTTACGACCTCAAATTGCTCATAGTCGTCTGTAGAGTGGCAAATGAAGGTCTAATCTTATTCCCCTGTGGGAACATGGGGCTATTCACAATGTATGCTTCGCTGATAAATTTTATTAACAGGCAAGAAGTTGACTGACCAAACAGACAATCATAGGATTCAAACCCAGGGCCTTACGCGCTTAACGCAATACGAGGCATGGTGTTATTAATGCAAAGCGGTCACATTGACATTTGTGGATAGTAAGCCTATTCTTCGAGTTTGAGTCGGAGTCGTTTGAAGTAATGCCTACAGTACACAGCAGTGGGCGATGGAGGTAAATCCTGCGGTCGCGCTTCACTTCCTAGTTGTTCTAGTGCCCTGGTATATTCTCGCTGAAGTGCAACAAAGTCGATGTTGGGCTCACCAAGAGCCGTCATTGCGAGGAATATAATGTCCCTGTAATATAAACAGAAGCTTTATAAAAGAAGCCAAAATAGGTCGACCGTGCATATGCACCTCTGTCATAATAAAAAAGTTGATCACAATTCGTGCCTTGAGCAGTACGTTAAGCCATCGGTCATGCGAATATGGACAGCGATAGAAATTAGAAATGAATTCCTGAACGTCCCAACCCTGGTTATATCGTACTGACACATGTCAACGTCACACGGTCAACTGTCAGTGTAGTACAGTGTAACCGTGGTAACGAAAAATCGACTTGTCACTTACCTATAATAGGAATGATAACGCTTATTGCCTGTCGTAGATTCTCTCCACGACGCCAGCTTACGTATCGCGTCCGACAAATCGTTACTAAGAAGACCGTCCAGTATTGATACGATTACTCTGAAAATATAAACATTGCTTACAATTACAGACAGCAAATCAGTTTTTTAATAACTAAGGTAATCACGATGGATAATCTACCAAGCTCGCGAATGTGTGGTTATATTAGCGACTTGTAAAATACAAGTCGCTAATATAACCACTAGGACATGTCGATTGTATGACTCTATTTTCTTTCAACGTTTTTCTTATTTTCGTGTTATTTTTCCAGATTTTAATTCTGTTCAGAATTAAAGCTAAGTCGATATGGTTCTATACATACGATTGTCGATGTTGCGAGTCATGCTCAGTGAGCAGTAAGGCGCGTAATTGCCTCGAGCGAGGCTGATGTCTGCCTCGCCAGGCGCGATATAGCGGCACCGCCTCGCCTTCAACGCAACGCATCGTGTCCCAGCAGCATAAGACGCGGCAACCTAATAAACAAGAAGTAAAAAAACTTACGTCATTTATTTAATGGTCCATGTCACTTAGTCACTAAAGAATTTTTCTTTTGCAAAAAGTGATTAAAATTCCAATAGAATTATTATTTTCACTATTTACTTCGGGCGTATTTGGTCTATACCTACTATAGACCAAATACATATATAGACTCTTTAGTGTATTTTTTCTAACTTGTCATTTTACACTAAAAACACTAGACATCAGGTTATATATTAAACTAATAAAACTACCTTAAATTCACTTAGTAAAAACACAATTCCATGCTAAATATCCTAAAAAATGAATTTATGTAAATGGGTAGATAAAAATTTCTTTTCAGTTTGACATTTACATAGGGATGGAATGTAAGCAAAGTCAATGACATTGTAAGGTAGCACGACAAAGCACGATCGCTGATAACCGTTAGTAAAGTCAACTTAAATAATAATGACATAAGAAATTTAAAAAAGTGATTTTGAATAATGAGGTCGTTTAGTCCACATATAATCGACGTTTCTTTATATTTGTATCATCTCTATAAAAGGTCATCACTGAGTCTCATTGGTTTGAAATCGGCCATATTTGTTGTGGTCTTTTCTCAAGTAAAAAAAAAAAATACATATAGTACAACTTACCTCCAACTTTATCACTGTCCGAGAGTGCGTCAGAACTGGTATACCGCGACGAGTAGTTGGGGCAAAGTAAGTCCGGCAGGTGATTTTCGATGTTCGCTCGTTCCAAGAACCAAACGAGGTTCCAATAAACAATTGGATGCGATTCAACGAATTCCGGTTCTGCTAGACACGCGTCGCCTTCCCTACCTGAAGATAGTTTACACACTTAGTCTTTATAAATAACTATCTGTTGCAGCGACTTCGTCCGCTAAAAATACTTATTTTGAGCGTTTAAATTCGTTTTTGCAAGCCTCTTTATCTTTATAATCTGACGCTGTTACCCACGACGCAGGGCGCGTCCCTTCCCGTCGTTCTTGCAAGTTAATCTTAAAAGATAGACATATAGGCGTCGCGGACCTTTTTAGAGGAATCATTCTCTCATACATATTTTTGGGTATCTTGCACTTGATTTTTGCAGGGTACGCCTCGGAACCCTTTAAAGATTTTCCCTGTTTTTCCACCTTTCACATTGTCTCTCCTCTCCTATTAGTTGCAGCGTGATGTTTTATAGCCTAAAGATGACGTGTACAAGATAGCTCCATTGGTTAGTGTAGCAGTACGATAAACTGTGAATGCCTGTTCAAGTCCTGACCGTGTCATTTTTTTAATCTAAAAAGATCTTTAATTAAATACATCTTACCTAAAATAGATTCAAATTCTTTTCTAAGCACCAATGGATTTAGATAAGGCACACTTAAAGTTTCCGCCTGCGTTTGTCCGGTTCTTACAACCTATAACAAAAATTATTGGAAACTTTTCTTACGAATTATCGCTTTTAAAATCTAAAGTAATTAAACAAATTTTCAACTTACGAGTTTCAGAAGAATTATAAACTAATTAGAAAAATGTTGGGATTTAGGATCAAACCCACGATCGTACGACCGTCGATTATACATTGCTACCATTTCGCCAACGACCCACCTGTATAGAAAGTAAAGGCACAGTATGCCTTCCGCAGGCAGTACAACGGGTGTTAAGGTTTGAATCGTCCGCGGCCCAACCAGCCATTATATCTTCATCATAGAGCCACGCCAAACACTGGTGACATTGCGAGCAGGACGTCATCTGAACCACAACCGACACGTTCTCCATGCTTATGTTCTCCTGAAGCAAAAAAAAAATAGCTTTTATCGGTTTAAACTGCGAAATATGTTAACTTGTTTAGAGTTAATCGGTTGCTTTGCAGTAGCTTCGGTCACGGGGGGACTGAAGGTGGAGGATGTCCCTAATGTCAAAGTCAAATATGCTACGCTAGCGCCATCTGTTTCGTAATAGTTAAACACAACACACTAAATTACAAATTCACACGAAGAAATTACAAATTCTTAGGAAATAAGGGAGGTGATTTCTCTTCATTTAACAAGCCATAAGTACAAAACAAAATCATTGTTTAAAACTTATTCGAATATCACTATGAACATAAATAAACTTGAGTTAGCTGGGATTGATAAGTGTTCTAGTACCACATGCGCTTAGTACATACCTCAATTATTAAACCTTAAATGACATCACAGAAAAGTTTTCAATGTACGTTAGGCAAGTTAAGTGGAACTTATAACGTAAAAACAAAGGATAGTGTAAAATATGTGTTTCGAAAGCAACATAACTAACGTTTTGTTGTGGATATAAATTGTCAGGTAAGTGAGAAAGGAGAGTAGCTAACGACCCTCGTTCCATACTGCAAGCTAATTCAGCGTCACTCGAAGCTCTTCTAAAGCCAGTGGCACTTGACCAATCTGAAAAAAGACATAAGGATATAGCTTATGACAGTTTAGAAGAAATACTTATTTCTTTATATTCTGGCTTACATCAATAATTAAAGGGGGGGGGGGGGATAAGAGTTAATGAACAATTTTTGTATATAAAGGAGAAGGATAAATAAAGCAAAATGGGAATAATATCAATCACCGTCTGTATTAATTTCTGAAGACCCATCAGTAGAATCTTCTTCCACTATGAAGCTGGTGAGCGCACTAGTCGCGTTTCCAATAGCGCCCTTCATCTTCACCGGCGTAGAGTTAGCCGATATCACCTCCTTCATTTCATCGAATTTCTTCGCCATACTTGTCGCTGCCGATTTTAAACTGCTTAGACCGCTCTGCAGCAGCTCATTTGACTTCTTCCCAGCTATACTTGTTGGACTGAAAAAAATCAATATTGTATTTAACTCTGTTCTGATATTCATATAAAACCGCCACCATTTATTAACAACAATAAAAACATATAGCCAATATGTAATTAAATTTAATTTAGTAAATAAATGCAACCATCCCCTTAGCGCTTGAATCGTCGTATGGTTCAAGCATGGAAGTCACTTGATGGAAGATGAAGAACCCCAGCCATATAACATCTAAATAAGATGCGATGTCGACTGAATGTATTTTGGCTTATATTGGATATTCAAAAATCAAGACGGAAAGCGAAACGCGATTAAAGTATGGCTTCTTCATCTGGTTTGTGACCCGGACGGTTCGATATTCCGACCACCCATTCGATATCCAGGTTACTAAATAATAAATCGCGTTTTAACTCGTTTAAATTAATGTTATAAGATTATGAGAATGCGTGTTATGTTCGGTTCTATGTAAGAACAGCAAAATTCATTAATATAAGCCCAACACCGTCACCGTTAAAAGGACAATCCAAAATTCTCCAATACCATAACCGAAAGACCAAATACCCACAACCGTTTTGGACGTCACTTGACGCTTACCTGAAGTAACTTTCGATTATTTCCTTTCCGATTTTCATGTCTTTGCGTAACGAAAGGCGGCCGGGCGAATAGCGTCTATGAAAATACATTATCTAATACTCGCATAACATTGGGTTTATGATAGAAAAACGAAAATTTAAGAGATCTTGTTAAAAAGAGAACTAACAAGCATAAGGTTCATTCCATAAAAGGTGAAATACCCAGCTTATATAAAATCCAAAATAGATTGCGCTGTCGAGCTATTTTGGATGGACTGAAATGGAAATGAGATAAAACTTTCATCTGTTTGTGGGCCGGACGAAATTTCAATATTCCTACCAACCATTAAATATCTAGATATCCTACCACCCATTCAATATCTAGATATCCGACACGTTTAAAAAATATATTAAATGATTAGAAATATATTGGACCTGGTGGGGATCGAACCCAAATTCCAGTGATGCATCCATTACACCGATGAGCCAGTCAAATATAAATATATAATATTTTTGTTATTGTACACGTCAATTTTACCAAGAGTTCTTTGACTAATCTTCTGAACACATGAACAAAGACAGGTTGGTCTAAGAGGTTGTATAGAAAAACAAAAGATTTTCTCACCCGAAGCTTATCTTGAGAGTGTTCCCGAGGCTGACCAGACTTGAAACGGTTGCAGGTGCCGTCTCGCTCCTGTGTAGTTTCCTGACAGAGGGAAACTATCGAGGTTATCGCATTCTATTCTTGGATGTACTCTAGCGGGGGGAGTTAGCGGGCTCAATGTCAATAGGTACACTCGCATGCAAAAGTGTTTATCATTTACAAGCGTGACTTATACAAAATGTGAACAAGGCATGATATATAAACAAGCGTTTAAAGCACACAGCTTTTACAGAAGATTTAAATTTGGTTTGTATTTCTCTACGAAAAATAGTAGTATAATGGCCCATTTTATACTGACGGGAAGGGATAGACATATTGGGGGGGGGAATTGAGCACGGTACTTTACCTCTACTAACGACTGAAAATGAAACGCGAACATAGCAACGTATTTCGTGACTCGGACGGAATTTCAATTTAAACAAAGAGGAAAGAAAGAAAAGCCTTCATCTAAGCTACGCCCTCCATTTATACGCGTTGCGATTTCGACGCATCGAACAAAAGAAAATCTATGGAAATTATGATTGACTTTTTCAAAGGAAGGTGTGTACCCGGTGGATTCCATTGGTTCATCCTGGAAAGAGTTGCTTCGCCTGTGGAACAACTTAGGGCTGACGCTGAGCTCGTGTTTAGGCGGAGGCGGTTCTTCGATGCGCGGCTGCGGGGGTGTAAGTGGCTCGTCTTGCGATAGGGCTCCTAGTGGGTCGTCCGCTAGAACCGGAGTACGAGGCGATAACCTGATGAATTAAATGTCTGAGTAAAAAATAAAAAAAAAAAAAAAAAAAAAAAAAAAAAATATTATAAAAAAAGGTTTTGCAACCAGTCGATTCTCGACGTTTTGACATCATGGGCATTATTAGGAGATGTTAACTCCTCGATTGCTCGAAGAATTAGTTCATTCATTCCTGATTTGAGAACCTCTTCTCGCTCACGTCGGCCGAAAGCCTGAATGCCAATGATATGCTGAACGATGGCCTGAAAGCCTTACACAACTTTCGCAACCATTTTGAAAAGTTACTTAGGTTTTCGAGCTGTTTGGCCGATTACATATATTTTTAAAAAATAAAATACCTATTAAAAATCGCTCGTACAGTAGAGGTTTTCTATTGTAGTAACAATTAATTGCTTTTCTTTATTCAGAGCGAAGTTTTCTGTTTGCTTTATGCTGTTGCTAAGTTTTAAAATTCGCATGATGTGTCGAATTAATTCCTTTTGTTGTTGTTTTTGGCAAACAAAATATACATAATAATAGTTAAGTAAACGAAATGTTTAAATATAGCAATCTTGTTTCTCCTCATGGGATATGGGGCGGACACATCTCTGTGTCCGTTACACGAACTGCATTACTAGGCAATGCGTTAAACCATTTAGCTACAGAGGTAATATGTAAAACATATTTTTAATGTAAAAATTCAATTTCATGATACCAAATAGTACTTATAATTTTATAGGCGTTACAAAGCGATAATAATATATAATCTTACTTGAGTGGTGACTGTTGATTCTTATTATCATCGCTATGCTGTACTGCCGATGTCTCCCGATCAGATTCTTCGGGAAAACTGAGCGCTCGCGTACAACGAGCCTTTGAATTTGTGTTACCTTAAAATTATGTATATATAATTTAAGCCCAACGTTTTCTTTCATGAATGATCTTTAAATGAATGTCTAATATTAATAGCGTACTAATGCTAAAATATAAAGGTATTGTCACCTTTCTACAAAGCTGTTTAGTTTTCTGGCTAAATACGGTATATAAATTTAAATTCGTTGTTCTAAAACGAAATTTAGAATTAAACTTCAGTGCGCGATAAAAAAAAAATATATTCGCATATCAATAAGAATAATGGTTATATATGTTCTTCTTTTTTAAACTTACCAAAAGAAAGCCTTTGTAGATTTTGAACAATTTGCGCATCACCCGCAAAGCTCTCAGACCGCGTTAATATTCGAAGGTCTGTCGGACTTTCTGGACTTACGTGTATTGTCTGAAAAATAATTAAACATGTATTAATATTACTTTAATTTTTGAATAATGAACTTGTAATATACATTATATCTAGGGGATCTGGTAAGACCGGATTCGATTGTATCCGTACTTGTACTGTTTATTGGACGAGAAGTGAGCCCCGGTAGACGTCTGGGGGGATAACTGGTAAGTTAAAGTAATACGTGAATAGTTATCGAGTGGTATGAAAAATGTTTAAATTACTAAAGCCCTTATTAATAATAGGGCTTGATGACAGGAGGGTGAAAATTTAGGATTGTGTGTATGTTTAATACCATATAACCCTTAATATAGACGTATAAAAAAATAAATGTATAATAATAGATTATAGTAACCGATTCTCAGCCCTCTCTGTATATACTTCATAAAAATAGGTCGAGTCGTTTTAGTAGGAGTATGGTATCACTGCGACACGAGAATTGTATAATATAATACATTTTAATACGTTTTTATTTATTATATTACACACCTGCCGCTTTTCCGATATTGGAACTGTTTGCTCGGGTTCCTCGCTACCTAATGAATTACTCCGGGGTCGTGAAGTTTCGCTGAGATCTGGGTCTGAGGGTAAACCTGAAAATATGCATATTAATTAGAACTTCACAGTCCTTTGTTGTTTTTACCCTTTACGTCAAGTTGTCTGGAAGAGATCGCTGTTGAGCGATAAGGCCGCCTTTTACTTTAAATCTAGTTCGTCAGTAAAGTCTTGTCATTAGTTTTCGTGAGTAGTAAGGACCCCGCTGCTAAGCATCCAAAACACTTAGGTGTGTTATTCAAATAGTTCTTAAGCTATTATTAATGTGAGTTAGCCTTGTGAGTTTATAGTTAGCAAAGTTTGGTATACATTTTAACTATGATAGTATGTATCGTCAAGTAATTTTAGCTTAAATACTAGACATACCTGAGATAAGTATTCCAGCGTGCGCGGATAGGCCGTGCGCACGCGTGTGCGGGCGCGTATGAGTGTTCGCACGAACGATATTCCCACGTCGACATAGCGCGTCGAAGGCGTTAGCACTCGCTTCTGCTTCTCGTACACAGACTAAAAAAAGGGTTTTTATCTTGTCAATCTCTAAACTGATATTCTTCAAACATTTTTAAGGGATAATAATTATAGTAATTGAAGCATCTGATTAAACACCTATGTGCAAAGTCTATATGTTGACTCGAGAAAGTAAAAATTGATAATTACAATATAACATGCAAAAATCGCGCACCCTTCAAACGTGTACAAAATGCTGCACACCATAAGCACACATTTAACGTGATATTACCTGAGTCTAAACTCGTGCGGCTGCGCATAGGTTCAGCTAACGCCAGTGCTGCAAGCTCAGAGCCCTCTCCAGCTACTGTGCGTACACGAGGTAGAGTACCTCCCGCTGAAACAGAAACATTTATAATATAAATATAAAGTATTTAACCGTCTATCGATCTAACCATCTTAGGTAATATTTATATATATTTTTTGTTTACTTAATTAATCTTTAACACAATATATAAAAATATTATGCTATGTTGAGTAGGGCCCCAAAGCACCGTAGCGGGCTTGTGGTGTGTTTAGTGGTTCTGGTCGGCTATTGTCTCCAAAGGAGATTTTAGTACGATTTACCACACTCCCCACCACTCCATTAGGCATTGACACACTCAGTTAAAAAAAGGTATTTAATGGTCGAATTCAGTAAGGCTTTAGATTCAATTTATTTTATAGTTACCACCCGATGCATTTCCTGCTGCTCGACTAGCCCTCTGTGCACCGGCCGCACGGAATAAAGCCGCACCCATAACAGCTATACGCAATTTATTCCATAGCAACTGTGAACCGCTGCAAAATACGTAATAAATTTAACTTATATAAAACAATGCGCGATTTTCACCACGATAAGAAAATATGTATGTTTATATTTTAAACATAAAATTATTATAAACTTATTGTTCGATCATCGCATCACAAAATGCGGGTAAAGGGTATTTGCCCACTACCGGTGTTACTTGGCGCGCGCGAGAAGCGAACCAATTCAGTTGTGAAAGAACTGCCATCTTCAACGCGTGTGTTTTTGACCTCATTTTAAACGTCCTTGACGTGTCAGTAACATTGGTGCCGTGCATTTACAGGGTCGTGGGTCGAGGAGCTGAAGCAAGCGTCTGGAAGACTAGGTTAGTGGGTGTGATCCTTTTACCTGCTTCTGCGCAGCGGTGATCGCAACTCTAAGGAAACGTGTTTCCACCTAATATACAGTCCACTTTATATTCAACACTTATTTCAAATGGAGTTTATATAAAACAATTTAACGGTTTAAAACGCGATATATATTAGTTATGCGTATATGGAAATTATTTTAAGAATAGTAGTTAGGTTCCAAATGTTTTAAACCATTAAAGAATTATATATCAATACTTACTACTCGCGTATAATACAGACCGTGTTTAAATTTGAGTTTTTAGAATAGAAAGTACTTACCTTGGCATATCCTTAGGCCATGCAGCCTCCAGTACACATCTGTTGTAGTACCCGTACGTTAGCGCGTTCGGTTGCAGACCAGCCCGTTTCATCAGGAACAGCAATTGCACAGCTAACACGGGAAGTGAGTGAATACCGCATAACTGCATCATCACTCGATAGCAAACCTATAAATAACATTCTTTTTTAATAATCACATCTGTTAGTAGGTAGGTATTTATAGTAGGATTCTGTTTTATCCTTAAGTTCTGAAACCATAAAATTTAAATGAAACGCAAAATATATTAGCTATAACTTGTTCGCATCCCGGTGAGTTTTGTCAAGCATAGTTGGTATTGACGGATCAAATGGCGCTAGCGTAGCAATTTTTAATTTGACATTCAAGACACCCTCCAACTTCAGTCACGTGACCAAGCTGCTGTAAATCATCCCGGGGCGTAGTTAAAAATAATTTATAAAACAAGTTTAACTAACATTCCGCATTTTAAGTGTTTTATTTAAATTTGTACTATTGTGTGTTTACTGTGTACTTTGTGTTACTAATATTGTAAAACTTACCTCATCACAAGGCACTCGTAGTTTAGTGGCTCTTTCAAGCAACTCGTACGCAGCTCGTAGCGTTGCGTGTTCTCTGCCTCTGTGTAATATCAGCCGGCAAGGCAATGCTAAGAAGTACAGCGAGTAACAAGCTCCGAGAAGGCATTTCGCCCAGGCTTCAGGCGATAAGCTGGCTTTTCGAGCTAATCTGTACAGATTTATATATAGAAAATAAATATGATCCGGCTCGAAGGACCTATAAATACGCATTTAGTTGCAAAGTGTAAAAAATAACCTTTGAGCTGCTGCTATTTCGTGCTTAGTACGTCTGGCCATGGGTGAAGCGTCTGCTAACGATTCTGCGGAGGCGAGGGCAGCGCTGGGTAACGCTTGTATAGCCCCGCGAGCGCATTGTTTGCATCGACTCACTAAGTTAGTATCCAGGACAAACTTTTCATAGGTGTACTTCTCCTCTGAAACCAAATATCACAAGAATATGAGTATCGTTTATGAATTAGGACGTTTCCAATTTTAAAAAGTGACGACGGCTGATATCTTTCTCGTGTTGTATAACTTTAAATAATGTTTGCGACAACAACAATATTTTAGATACGAAACTTAAGAAATAATACACTACTTAAAGATATGTAATTATATTTCATATTAGGTCTAGAATGATAAAACATGTATACCTGGATCGGGTGGATCGGGCGGTAGCACAAACACGGTACGCTCTGAAGCGTTGCCGGTATCCAAGTCCAATAAGGGCTCGTTAGAGGCGACACGTTCTATGCACTCGTCAAAGAAAGTTAGACCCTGGTCTGCGCCGTCGCACACAAATGACCGTTCTTCGATAAAACGGGTGAACATCTGCGTACGCATTATTAACGCTAGGAAACGTTGTTGTGCCTAAAAAATATAAAAATTGCGCTTAATATTATGTCGTTCAAGATTTCTTATTGTGATTTTAACTTTCCATGTTTTGTGTAGCTTTAAGTTCAAAATTTCCACTAACTCCATCTATCAGTTCAGATGTATAAGCAAAGATCGATTCGGGTCTTAATTCGTATAAAGACTTTTTAAAAGTCTATATATAAACAGTTATACTAACCTTATCCCTAGACTTAAGAAAGGCGTCCATTTGAAACAACGCGTGGGGATCTGTAGTGCCTACTGTTGGTGCTTTGGTAATAGGTATGAGGTACCGGCGGTAACCTTCTAATGTCACAGCCATGAAGCGGAGGAAAGCTTCTTGAATTTTTAGTTCTAAGGCTTGCTGAAATTAAAATAAGAATTGTTATAAATAAATATACATCTATAGCAGTATAAAATTCAATCTATCAGCAGTTTAAATCAAACACAAACCTCCTTTTTACGTTTTTGAAAGTCTCTATCTAAACTTGTGGTCGGCTCACCATTGTATTTGTTATTATTCGAATAATGGACGGGCGAGGCTGAAACAAGAATAATATCAACTTAGTATTCTATGTAGCGAGTAGTGAACATTTAAATAAAACTAAAAGACATGTCAGTTAGGTTTCTTCAAATATTAAATACGATGAAACAGATGGCACTAGCTAGATGAACCACTAGCGTAAAACATTTGACTTAGAAATTAGGTTCACCCTCCAATCTTTTATCCCACCGTGAAAAAGTATTATATTTAAATGTTGTTCTATTTTAAAAAGAACCTTATAACAAATCGGTCGGCAGATCATTTAAAAAAAATAATTTTTACTTACTAGGTCGAATGTTAGCAAAAAGTTGTTCAAGTGTCTGTTTCAGAACCCTTGCTTGGCTCTTTGGAAGTAGTTTCAAGGATATATGCTTCTGTGTTTCGCATATCTGAAATTCAACAACAGACATCAGTAATAAAAAATAACCAAACAAATTATTGATATAAGAGTTCGTGAGAATTCCACTTACTGTTATATTGTTTGTATCTAAATCCACACATGTAACATCTGGCGGAGGTTCATACAGGTCAAAAAACCTTGAATCGACGCCGATGAGATACGGCAGGGGCGCATGGAGTACTTCAGCTAGACCTGTCAATTGCAATTATATAAAGAGCATTATTATAGAACTAAAAAAGACTTTTACAAGCGAAATTTTTTAACAGAAATAAATCATTACAAAAACTATTTTTTTATATTATCAAACGACTTCCACAGACTTGAGTCTATGCTTTTACTTGATTTTTTATTTCTTCAAAAATTTTGTTCTTAAAGAAACTAACTTACCTAGAGGACAAAGAGGTATGTATGGACACTGCCACTTAAAAGGGAAAAGTAAACTCGATACCGCTTCTGAGACAGCTGTTAACGTGTCGGGTCTGTAAAAAAAATATGTTTATATTGAAGCACACAAGACGAAAACTGATACAATGTTAAACTATTATTGTAAACCGAAATATCCTTCATAACAAGTAGTAAGCTAGAAAAAACTTTTGTATGTTTTGTCTAGGTTATGTAACTGTCTTTTAGAATAGAAACGAAGAAAAGAAACAATATATATGCTTGATTAATACTGATGTAAGTCATACCTGAGCGAGTGAATAAGTATTTTCTGTTCTGTGAGGGCAAGGGCGAGCAATAGTAAACAATTATCCGGTCCAAGATTGAGCAGCAGCTGCCGAAAACCGGCACCGCTGCGCACGAGTGGCTGGTCGTCCCGCCGTGTCACTATCACCCGGTCGTGGGGGTTTGTGGGTGACAACTACAATTATACATTAAAAATGAGAATATATTATTAATTAATTCCAAATCTTCAAATTCAAAATAGGCCGACAGCGGATCTTGTCAAGATACTATGGCTGGAGTATTTCACCTTCCAACAAGTAATCCTTCACATCCATCAAACGTAAAGTTTTTTTGTTATTCATTTGTATGTAAGTGCCTTAATGTACGCAAATGACACTGTTTTTGTCAAATGTTCACGTCAAAGATTTAATTTGTGAATTGGAATCTTTATAAAATAACGAGTTTCTTCTTAAACTTATATTTTAACTATATTGACATTTACCTTCAAGTAAATAAAAAAACAACTCGTTTTGCTTTATTTTCTTTCTATACAACATACCTGTAATAGAATCCGCGGCTCGGGAAACGGCACCTCTTCAAGTAGATGTGTTATATACCTTTCAATCGGTATACCAAGAGGTTCTTTAGTCCAGGACATCTCCTAAAGAAGATATAAAAACATATGACGTTATTCAAAGGTAAAAAGGACGTAACATAATTAATTATTAATTAAACATGATTTTGCTCTTAAGAAGGCAAGCAGAGAGGTACGATCCCACTTACCAGTATATACAACAGCCATCGTTCAAAGGTGTCGCTAAACGGCCACCGCGATAGTAAACAGATACACTTGTTGGCATGTAACGAATGTGTGGTGTGTGTCGCACCAGATCGCCATCCGAGCAGTTCTTCGTGGTTTTCTTTTAATTTGGTGTGAGGGTAGTTTTCGTAGAATGTCACTGCTGAGCCATAAACCTTCAAGAGAAATTACAATAAAAAATGGTAAAAAAATAACGCTTCAATTAAACTATTATTCAAGATTATAATAACTTTATTTCTTTTATATAATAACACCTTATTTATATCCTCGATGAAAAAAACATAACAAGTGAAACAGTATTTTCTGTACCATTTGAATTTTTAACATAATAGTGTTAATATCCATCAAATTGTGTTTTTGTTAACACTTTCAAAATGGAATATGCATTTTTGGAAAATTTTAAATTTAAAAATATATCACTGCAGTTTAAGTTTGTCGTAATATTTAAACAAAACACTTTAACGGTTTAATATGCGGTGTATATTTCGTTAAACTTATTAAGAAATTATTTTAACTACGTTTCGGATGCTTTGCAGCAATGGTCACGGGGAAATAATTTTCAAATAAGTTTAATTAATATATATCGCGTTTTTAACCGTTGAAGTGTTTTATTTAAATGTCTACTACTCGTGTAAATTAAATACAGTAATTGTTGTAGTTATTTTTAGATTTACCTTATCAGTAGCATCGGCAACAGTTAGCACAAATGTGGAAAATACGGGCTTCGGAGCCAATGCCGTGTTTGGCCATAGTTCTAATGTGGCGCCCATGGGCAGACAAAACAGTGGTACAGATGACGGAAACTCTAAACTGCGGCGGTCGACTGTAGGATATCTGCAATTGAGCAAAACAAAGTATTTATATTAGTTTACTTGAAGGATAATAAAGTGACCGTAAGTTAAACAATTGTTGGTCTAATGGTAGAAATATTTGTCAAATAATCTCCAATGGTTGAAACTTAAAAATCGAAAATAATTGAAAACTTTAAATTTAAAAATCGAAAATAAATTGAAAAATTTTAGACTCGGGCAGGATTTGAACCGGCATCGTCAGCGTTCAGTACTGTTGCTTTACCAATTGAGCTACCGAGTCCTAAATTTTTTTCAATTTATTTTCGATTTTTAAATTATATAGTGCCTTCATGTGCATCACATGTAAATTTTTTTTAAAGTTTTAAATTATTGATTTAATTAACTATAGAATTGATTTATAAGTTTCTGAAACATCCTGGACCTCGTCTCGTTGGATATTGAATGTGTCCCAGAAATTTCGAATTTCTATTATTCCAAATGACTGCCATCCGGATGCAAAAGCCGTAAAATATAATCGCATTTTTGTTCCATAAGTAATATAGGGCAACAGAGCATGTGGTTTACTGTTTTCTTTTGATTCAGTGAATTTCAGAACATAAATAAATTTCAATTCTTCTTCCGTATGGTATATAAGTTAATTAATACATTTCGCGTTTTAGTTAAAGTGTTTTATTTAAAAGCAAATTTAGGCCAACGTATTTTTTATGGCAGCGTTTGCGTACTATTAACATTATTACATAATAGAAAAGGTTACTACGCTTCATAGGAAAGCATTGTCTCATGCACCTGAGTGTGTTGTGATTGCATAAAACATTATTTAAACAGAGCCCTTCGTTCATCGCCTAGGGAGTTAATTACTGACACATTCTATGCAACTTGTTAAAGTAAACATTCATTAGAACAATCTCTCTCTTTATCTTTGTTTCCAGTATGTATTAGTGACTTAGAAAGCGTGAATTTAGTGTTGCTTTCATAATTTTGACCGCCTCTGTAGCCAAATGGTTAAAGCCTATTGCCTAGCATTGCGTTAAGCGTGAGAGGTTCTGGGTTAGAATCCCAGGGAAAGAAAAAAACTGTTTCCGTCAAGCAGGGTTCAGAAGTCTGATCAACTACATAACTGGTTAAGAACGGAAAGTGAAACGGACACAGAAATGTGTTCGCCCCATTTCCTACGAGGGAAAATGGGATTTCATTTTTTTTGTTGATAATCTAGCTTATTATGAAATTACATAAATCACAGAATCAAATCGATTGTATATTAGCATTGGTTTTGTCACGTTACCTGTTTGACCTCCATCCATATAATTGTTTTAATCTAGTGGGAATAAAAATAGAATGCACGCCTTATAACGCATAACAATACAATACGGGCGATTTGAATATGGCCAACCAAGTACAGTTCAATACTAAGTACGAAGACTTGAATGTTTTAGACATGTTTTTAATAGTAAAAGTTTAAGAATGTTGACATGTAGGGACCTATGTTTGTTTGTGTATATCACTGATCGATTTAAATTAAAAGTTATCTGTTGGACAAAAGAACTCATCAACTTTTTCCAGATTTTGCTCAATCGTTTCTTTTTTTGGTTTACCTTATTTTGTACCGGGGGGGCGGACAAGTTTGGGGGTTCACTTACCATCAAGCGAACTCTGGTCGCGTAAATACTGCAGCCATAAACATGTAAAAAAAACGCTGTCGACCTATTTCAGCTTTAAGTATTCGGAAATCGACAGCTTAGAAACGAAACGCAATTAAATGTCATGGGTTTTTAATCTGTTGTTAGTGTGGATTTTTAATATGTTAACCCGATGTGGATATATTGGCCATACATTGCTACCATAACACCAATGTGTCTATAGGCCGGTTTGAATACGTGACTAATATTTTAATATCGGCTTGTTGGATGTACAGTCCTTACAAATTGTAAGAAAAATTGAAGTAATACAAATGCTGACGTCCGTTAGATGATACAAAACTTACCTAAACAGTACCTCAGGCTTGAAAGCTATCAACGGCGGGCGGTTCATTGACTTCTTGTAGCACAGGAAGACATCGCTGCCCATTAAGCCTGCAATTATGTTATTTGTTTACCTTGCGCGATAAGCAATTTTGTTGACGTTATCTTGAAAAATGTTTCCCACAAGAATAGATACATGTTTTCAAATTTCGAGTACAGTCAATATATTAACACATTAAATATGCAAAATATTTTGGATCTGTATTGGATTTTAGGTTCTGCATAGTCTATTTTCTAATATATTAAGAATCGGTCTTGCAGGTAAAATAATGACATTAATTATAACAGTTTGATGTAAAGTTTTAAAGCAATTGTTTACTACAACTAATAATACTCAAAATCCCCTCAAGCAGAAAATGTACTAACTTGTTCTAAATATGAAATACACATAGTATTATTTGCGTGAACTACTCGCGTAAGTGCGTCACTTGCACACTTGCACGTCAAAGCTACATTACCTTTATTTAAATTCTTCCCGATCATACAGAACGCGTGCGGCGGTGTCTCTCCTCGGCTGGACACGATGACGCAGATGTCTACCACGACGAGGGCGTTGCAGGGGGCGCTCGGATGAGCCCGACGATACGTAATATAGGTTATGGCCTTCGAGTTGTTCACGTTCGCGACTCTGCCGCCCACAGATTTGCGCACCATTTCCGCGTCCGCCATAAGACGCTCTCTACCGTCGTACATGACTCCTGTAAACATAACACAATAGTACTTACAACACAACAACTTGGTATAGTTTTTTTTAAACATACTCAATGTCGTAATAGAATTTCGTTGTGAGGACATATCAATAAAAAACAACAAATAAATAAACTTAGATATTGAACATGCACGAAAACCTGGACGACCTCCTACCAGGTGGACCGACGACCTGGTCAAAGTAGCAGAAACGCTTGATTCAACTAGAAAACGACCGGTCGTACTGGAAGTCTATGGGGGAGGCCTATGTCCAGCAGTGGACACCGAACTGCTGAATCGAATCGAGTTGAACCACAATTGAACTCTTCTGTCAATGGGTATCCATAAAGCAACAAAAGAAGCAATGAGGCATATTATTTTATATGTATAATAATCTAATACCCAGTGCTACCCGTGCCATATTTTTTCAATTTAAAATCTATTTCTAATTGTATAACTATGTGATAAAATATTAATGTTTTCAATCTAACACCTGCCAGAATGAAGAATACTCTGTTTTTAACTTATGTTTAAAATTCTAATTAGGTATTTGTGTAGTTATTTTTATCCATATGTAAATACAATTCAATTTAAAGTAAAGAGCATATTGCTCAAACACACTTAAATGACTTTTATTATTTTTAATGCATAGCACTAACAGAAACGCCTTATCTTTTACGATTTTTACAAGCATATTTACACGCTTGGTTTATTAAATCCCACCTTTATATTATACATTTTAAAAGCATGTACAATGGGAGATAATTTAATCGAGTAATCTAATCTTTACGGATCTCATATCAATCGAATTAAATTGGATTTCGACCTGCTCCAATTAAGGGAACGGAACATCCGTGGACGGTCGGAAATGCCAAGTTACATTAAACAAGAATGGTTAGCAACGAGGTGGCTTCGAAACCGATCTCGGCTCTTACGTAAGGTTTTACACTGAACTGAAGCCTTAGATTAATTACTATAAATTGATTTAAAATTGAAGCCGTTATTTTACAGCCTATGTTACATATTGGTTATAATATTTCAGGCCTGTAGTCTATTATTTTCTATTGGGGACGCCGGTAGAAGGCCGAGTGATCAGTCCACGTTGTCTGCTAACCATTTCACCTATTGCCCTTTGCGGAGGACATTGGGATATAAAACTCTCACTGCCCCCTAATTTTTTAACCTACCAAATTCTTTGCAGAATCATAATATTTCTGCTACCGTGAATGGATGGATGCTTGTTTCCTCATACTCTTTGTACTCAAAGTATAAAGGCCAATAACCTAACCGCCTCTTTTTACTTTTTCACTTTTTCTTGGCCTTTTATATGTTTTGCAGCTACATTTTAGTCGGTAAGATCTATTGAAAAAATAAATAATAATAAAAGTAATACTGAGTAATTTATAAAGTAAATCTTTGTTTATTTATAGGGAGATTTACTTTGTGCGCTATGAAAGTTTTTTCCTGGTATTGCAACCTAAAATCCTCATATCGGCAAAATATTTTTCAATTAAGCTACAGTCTGACGAAATAACTTAAGAGTCTTAGAGAATTCATCATGTTACAAAAGTAGTTTTACATTTTAAGTGTACATCTTCCAAAATCAGATAAGTCTATGTGAAGAGGCGAAGATTAGTTCTTGATGTCAAGATTACTGGACCGTGAAACACGACTATAGAAGAAACACCAAGGTCAAATAAAAAAGCAGGGAAGCACGAAAGCTTTGTATAGAATTAATTATTTCATGTATTGTCAACTTTTTATCTTAAGACGAACGAGAAACGTCTATTTTTATTAAATAAATAAAGCTTTTTGAATTAGTTAAATATACCAAATTGACATTGATAACTCCTTTTAATATATTTAGAATACAATATAGACACTAATGTGTAATAATAAGTATAAATAAAAATATGTTCCACGCTTATTCTTTTTGCTTAGTTTTTATTCGAAGTGAAACCTGATTTAAATGTTTTATTAAGGGACAAGGCGATATTTTTTAACGTAGCTGTGGTTCGTCCACGTAGCACAGTTATGGGCATCAGAAATTTGTTTTTGAAAACCTCGACATCATCTTTATAAACTATAGCTGTTACAGACGACGTCGCGCGTCCTGTCTGTTTTTGCAAGTTAATCTTAAAAGATAGTCATATAACCAACCAACCAGTAGTTCCTTAGATAAGCGCGTTCAAACAAACTCTTTGGCTTTATATTATAAGTATAGATAATTACTTACCAATATCGACGAGAGGGGGCTTGTCGCGGCCCCGTCGTATGCACAGAAAACATACGGGCGACTGTATCGAGCCATGGTTCAAGTCAGCTGGTAGTCCCGTAGGTGTGAACTCCAGTAGCTCATAGTCATTTGGCACTTTCTCGTCCAGTCCAGGGAAAATTACACCTGTAAGCATAACCGAGGAATTACATATAAATTTTATCTAAACAAGAAGCATGTCAAGTGCGTGTCTGAATCGACCATAAAGGGTTCCGTATTATATCTATAAATACTACATAAATGTTGTAGGAGATGCTCATTTAATAAATAAAATTATATTATATAATGTTGGTGTAGGTATTAGTTCTGTAAATAAAGCAACTCAATTTGATGTATCTCATATTGATTTACCAATTGGTAAGATCTACACAGAGCACGAATAACGTTTGTTGTATGGAGAGACCCCAAAAAAAAATCATATAATTTGTGGATGATATGAAACTTCAATAGTTCAACTATCAAGGCTAATGAGCCTGTGGCCAGATGGAAGGCCCTATACAACTGTGAAACTCCAATTTTACCTTTTAGGTCAGAAACCCTAAGACAATCGTTAAACCCTTTTTAAACAGAGGATTTCACGACAGTTGTAGATTCGATGACCTCATCTTAGGTTCAAACTAACGTACATACATCAATAAAAGTAATAAATATGAATCAGTGTGGGGGTCAATCAATAATGACCTTATTCTCGTGTTGTTCTGGCTTACGTCTGAATACTAAGCGACGATCTTGTCAAACTTTGAAAATTAAAATTCGTTATTAAACTCTGTTGAAGGAATAAATTGAACAATAAAAAAAAATATCAGTCTACACTGTACAAGATTCTGAATCACCACATCAATTTAAAAATTATTTACCCAGCCCGTTACAATAATATTGACATTATGTCTACATCAGAGCATAAAAATAACATCTTTATATGTATAACGAGATCGTGCAGATTGGAAGAAACCCTATTAAGTAATGTGAGCAAAGAACTATTTTTAAAGAAAAAATTCCAAGCGATCCATCTAGGTAACGAATAAAAAGATATTTTATGTTATTACGTTGTTTAGTTATAAATTAGCGATAATCACTATTTATATTTTCTAAATCTTTCAAGCAATATCATATATATCTATAGATATGAGGCTGCTAGAGGTAGAGGGGCCTAATAACAAAAAACATGATTTTCAATTGCGAGTAAAATAAAAATGCGCAATTAACTTAAGCGGAAATGAAATTATGCTATTATTTGTGTAAGAATTATGTTAACAATTTTCGGTCACTGTGCTCTTGCAGATTAACATTTTTAGACTATGAAAATATAAAATTGCAGTTAGGCCACTTTGCCTCTAGCGGCCGCATGAGTTAGGTACGTCAATCACGATGTTATACATTATTGATATGTCCTACATTCTGAATCCGTCGCTGTGTCTCGTTGGTTATAACGATCTGGGCTTAATAACCACTATACATATATAAGCAGGACAGGGCAAGTCTAATCAATCAGTCAATAGAGCAGATGGGCAGAAACACAAAAATGTGTCTCCCCATAGGAGAAACTGGATTTTACTTCACAGCTGCTGGTGTTATGTAATTGCACAAATGTTTGATATTTAATGTAAATAAAAATGCAAATAGGAGTATGATCAATGCTACACTTCCAGTACTTAATCACAGTTAATAGTCAGCCGGTCTACTTCAAGGTATGATAACGGCTGTTCAACTTGTTTGACAACTTTTTATGCATGCACCTTATAGGCTTGCTTCTTCCAATGTGTATGGGTCCTTGACCGTTTTATATACGTTTAAATAACAACATACCTACATCGATAGTAAGCGTACACGATGTCCTTTACGAAAATTGAACTTGGTTTGCGAATTTGTACAGGAACTTCCTAATGTTTACATATCTAAAAATAACAGTTTATTGAACGCGTAACTTATATTGGTCTTATTAATTTAAGTTGTATCCAAAATCTTTAGCAATTGTAAAATAGAATACTGCACCAAGAACTTTAATACAACTGTTACAAATAACATTATATTTATATAATGTTATGTAAATAAAACCTAACGCTAAGCTATTTTGAAGGTTACCAGATTTTAACAATACCAATATTCTGATTTCCCCGTACATCTCGAATAGTATACATAATATTTTGAATGTCAAATACTCTTGCAACACTTTACAATAATAATAATCTTAATCAACCTTTATCTAGAATCAATGTTACATAAAATGAAGTATTCATTACAGTGTGTAATGTAGATCTGATACCTGACCACATTTGTAGTCGTAATTCCTGTAAGTTATACTACATTACTTAAAAGATTGGTAATAAAACTAGATTTAAACCGACAGAAACAAAAACTGTTCCCAATTTCCATCCGGAGCATGGGGTTTTTCTGTCTGTGTTTCTCTGATCGTATAGTTTTTATAGACCTGCATATATAGTTTATGAGACAACTGTACAGAAAAATTGTTTTAATATATTTTCATAGGAGTGCAATCTTGTGCAGTTAATAAAATTCTTTTAACCATTGAGCAATTATTATTGTTATTTTCTTTCGGGGACACTTGTGGTAGGACGGGTGATCAGTCCACATTATCAGCTGACCATTTCACCCATTTCCTTCTTGCCGAGGTTTTGGGTCAACCAACTCTCCGCGTGTCCCCTTCAAACCTTCCGGTCTGCTTGCAGAATCTTAGTGAACCATTGAGCAATAGTGATCCAGTAGGAAATATAACCCTGGTAGAGTGGATGACGTAGAGAAAATATAGATCTTAAAAAGAACAATTGAAAATTCCTTTTTCTCCTACACCACCACCTGTAGTGATTTTTCCAATAAAATATTTTATATAGAAAGTCTATGTGATTAGACTTTGTATATAAAATATTTTACTTATTACTTATTGACTTTATTATATATATAATTTGTCAAATAATTTTCATTTATTATTAGCTGTTTATCTAATTAAATATATTAATTTAAGGTTAATGACTCAATATTTAGGGTAAGTAGGATCTTTACATTCATCCAGGAAGTTAGCATCATTTAAATAAAACACTTTAACGGTTTAAAACGCGATATATTAGTTAAACTTATTTGAAAATGATTTTTAACTTTTGCCCGACGTTTCGGATGCTTTGCAGCAGCCGTGGTCATGGGGAGACTGATTATTACTCTTATTTAAATGTGTACTACTCGCGTAAACTATAGAGCAGTATTTAAGTTAGCATCATGTTTATAAAAATTATTCTAATTAATTTTGACTTGCACAGGATATGACAAACCACTTCAGAGATAAAAGGCTCACATCCCTTGTATTTTTCTATTAGTATTTATTAACTCAATACAAATATAAGTACTTCATTATTAGCTGTGATAAAAATTAGTATGCAAAACATGAAGAATAGCATATACTGTAGAATTAATAATTACCACAAGTACATTCAGCAGTACAACAATATGACCTAGAGAATCATTTATGTAAATTTCTACTTTGTCAACTTAATTAGTTACTTCCTAGTTCCTTGTTTAGTGACAAAATTAAATATACTAAATACAAATAGTAGTTTGTAAACATACCTATATCTGTAATTGGTGCTTTGGTGCTGTAACCCTTTAAATGTCCAGAATCCGAATCATCAAGTATTTCTGGTTCCTCTGGGAGGCCAGCGACCACGAAATAATCGGCGACTCTCCGTTCTTCCATATCAACGAATTATATTTTAACATAAACAAATAACCTACGACGAAAAATGACCGTAAAAGTAACCTGACAAAAAATTATAATTAATGAATAAACGTAACCTACCGAGCACTTAACATCTATGAAATATTGTGCTAATATAAAATAAAATCATAAACCAATACACCTTTTTATCACTTAAACTATTGAATTAAGAATCAAGGAGAGTAAAAGTATTTCTAGTCATTTTGATTTTGATAAACATTTCTGGCATATTAATGAATTGACTTAATTAACTAATGACTTTTGCGTTTTTCTATTATTAATTAATTGCAAAATGTTATGCAGGAACTTCACAATAATAATTATAAGCTATTTTTACACTTTAAATGCTCTTTAGCAATGTTCAATTCACATTATAGATTCACATCACTGCACAGATATCGGGGACTACATCACACCACAGATGTACTAAGCAAAGTAGGGTGTTAGATGTCATCTGGCGAAATTAGACGTTATTCGTAGGGTTAACGTCTGTGGGGCCCAGAATGAGTACAATAATATCGTTTCTGCTTAGTGTTCATTTCATTTCTTTAAAATAGGAAAAAAGGTTGAGTTGGCACTAAATCGTACATTTAAATTATCTGGGTTTATTGCAATTGGTTTTTTAAATGTATTTTTCTACGTTTATTGTCTCTCAGTTCAGGTGTTGCCAGTCGTTATCATTGTAATTGGTCAAACTATTCAAGTTTGAAAGATGGAATTTTTTAAATAATTACTTTGTTTTTTTTAATGAACTCGTCGTTGTCTTAAACTGTACATTTTGTCATATTTTATAAAGTTTACACACTATCAAGTCATTTTGAAACCTACTATCAAGAAGGACGGTGGTAGTTGTTGAATTAAAAGAAAAAAGTTATATGTAAAAGATATTTTTTATTTATACATCAATAATTATTTCCTGTCTAGCCTTAGTTGAAGGAGCTAATACGTCATTATGATCAATAGTATCAATGTGGCTACTTATTTGTGCCGCAGACAGCAGTAGTCCAATAGCACCTTCTAACTCACTAACCCGTTTACATACATCAATTTCATACTTAATTTCCTCTTGCAGAGTTTTATACAAGAAAATATTTTTCTCTGAAAATAACGATATTTTGCTTTCAAATACATCAATAAATGTATTTGAAACATCTATAACAGTTTGTGTGAATCTTACTTCGCCAAGATTTTTCTTCAAAAACCTTAGTAATGATTCTAGGGATTTTTCTTCCAGACCATCCATTGCTACATGTAAAACTTTCCTTTTCAGTAATTCTTGCATTATAGCTACTGTTCTTTCTGGATACTTAGTTGCAATGTAGGGCTTTATGACAATTTTCAAAGCCTCAGTAAATTGCATTTTCTTAAGATGTTTTTCAGCCAGCTGCTCTTTTTGTGCCTTAGGATTTTTTACTACTACATCAACGAATTCTGAAGTAAGTATCCGATCAGGTGCAAATTTGAATAAGCCTTTATTTTCATTTGAAGGTTCTGCTGGCTGTTCACGTTTTCTTATTGATATAACACCGTCTATCATGCCCACTGCTAGTACATCATCTTTTTCTGAGATACCCAAACTCAGCACAGCATTTGGAAAATCAATGTTATGTACTACTTTGAATGTAGACACATCATATATTTTTACATGTCTATCTAATGAAGCTGACACCAGCCTACTATTGTTGGATGCTAGTCTGACAGCAGTAACTGTTTTATGATGTTGTGAAATATTGGCTAAAAGTTTGCCCCCATTGAATATATCCCATACTTTAATTTCTGTTCCTCCTGCACTAACAAATATCCCACCAGAGGGTAAAAAAAGTGTTGATTCAACTGGGCTACCGTGATTGACACTGAGCACTGTCTCATTACATCTACAATCATATAACTTAACCATATGATCATATCCGCCAGAAAGAATTATTTCTGATGACAATGGACTGGGCGCTCCAGCTCTAATATAATCTGTATGTTCAGAGAAACTGGCAATCTTTTCTTCAGTAGCAATGTCCCAGAGGCAGACCGACTTATCATCTGAGAAGCTCAGCACTTTTACTTGATCCTTAGTGAAAAACGTCCGGTGCACCTTAAAAGTACCAAATAATTCAGTTAAATGTAAGTAAAAAATATAAGACCATACATTTTGAAACATTCAACATACAGGACCAGTATGACCAGAAAATACTCGAAGGACACTTTTAGATTGAACATCAAACAGTTTAACAGCAGCTTCCTCACTTCCAGATATTAAAAGTCGACCATCATTTCTGAATGTTGCTCCATAGGCAGCTTCTTTAAATTTTGAAATATTCTTGGCAACAACTTTTGTAATTGGGTCATATATCTGAAATTCCCAACATATTTTTGTTAATATACAATACTTTACAGCAGATACAAGTATTAGAACTTAATTATATTTACCTGTATTCTCAAGGAACATGTTGCAGCAAAATAGTGTGGTTCAATGGGGCTAAAGTCAATGTAATCTATTGCACCAAATTCTTTAACAAGTACCGGTAACTGCGAACATTAAAAAAATACATTTATTGTAACCAGTAACGAACTATAGTATGGCTAAGTTAAGAATACAATGTAGTATTAAGTTTAAGTTTGTAATTATTGTTGTAAATAAAAAACGGAAAAAAATCATTACACCGAGTTTCTTCCAGTAAATAGCATCTTTAGAAATAGCTGAAGCTGGCTTCTGAAAAACTGCCTTATTGATCTTCTTAAATGGATAAGATACATGTGCCATTATTAAGCGTCGTATATATTCTTTGTACTTCTATTGAAACTTCATACTAATTTTGTACACAACTTATTTTGAATATGATTTCGTAAAAGCTTTCTGTTTTCACGTTTTCTATTATTATTCTCTCGTTCTTCACTTTGAACTTGACAGCTACAAACACGTGTTTTTGACATAGGTGATAAATGGCAGTGAAAGCAAATTCTTGTTAACTTTATACTTTATAGTGACAATGACAATTGATATAGACGTCTGAAATGCGAAACGAGACTATGTTTATTATAACAATTTAATTAAATGAAAAAGAAATAACAATAGCTGTTTATAAGATTCAATAAACTATTTGATCAAAATGTTTAAGTTGCTAAGCCGACACGGCCGTCGGAATGGTGTTGTCAATTTATTTTGCGAGAAGAAGATTGAGGTTAGAAAAGCAAGGGTTTATTACTTTTATTCGTCAGCTGGATCTGTGAGGTTTTCTTCTACTGGTGTGGATGAAGTTAAAATACCTACGATTGCGGATAATATTCCCGAACCGCCGCCGGTGCCTGATCCTTCAAGCTTCGAACAACTTGCAGAAACTGTACAGTCTTTATCAGCTAATGGTGAACCAACATTTGCAAGTTTAGGTCTAGGCGGTTGGGGACCGGTAGGAATTGTACAAAACTGTTTAGAGTACCTGCATGTTTCTCTTGATGTACCATGGTGGGGTGCAATTCTCATAGGAACAGTTGTAGTGAGAGTTCTTATGTTCCCTCTTGTTATTATGTCACAGAGGAATACTGCCATCATGAATAATCATTTACCTGAGATACAAACACTTCAAATGAAAATGACACAGGCACGGCAAACTGGCAACCAGTTAGAAACTGCTCGATATGCTCAGGAGATGATGCTCTATATGAAAGAAAAAGGTTTGAACCCCTTAAAGAATGTGCTTGTGCCTTTAGCACAGGCTCCCTTATTTATATCCTTTTTTGTTGGATTACGAGGAATGGCAAACTGTCCTGTTGAAAGTATGATGCACGGTGGTCTATGGTGGTTTACAGACTTGACAGTTCCGGATCAATTTTTTATTCTCCCACTAATTACAAGTACAACTATGTGGATAACTATTGAATTAGGTGTAGATGGTGGAAGACTTGACGCACAGAATATGCAGCTCATGAGATATTTCCTTAGAGCTATACCAGTTATCATGTTGCCTTTCACAATAAATTTCCCTGGTGCAATATTGGTATATTGGTGTTCAACTAATTTTATTTCTCTCTGTCAAGTCGGTTTTCTGAAGATGCCTAGAGTAAGAGAATACTTTAATATACCAAAATTGATAAAACACAATGCAGAAAGTCTACCCATTAAAAAGAAAGGTTTTGTTGCCGGTGCAAAGGAATCTTGGACAAATATGAAACTATCTAGAGATTTAGCTGACAGACAAAGGATAGATGAAATGATTTTCACTAAGGCTGGAAAAGGACCATTACAAAAAACATACAAATTTGATCCGACAAAGATACCCAAAGTAGAAGCAAAATCTAAGTAGACAATAGTTTATTATTAGTATTAGTTATTGTATTATACATAAATTAATAATGTTCAATATAATGAGCGTTTTATTTTTGTAACTCTTTATCATAACCAAAATTACAATTAATACTAAAGTAGTTATGTAACAAGACATATTAAGAGAGGCATAATGTAGGTATATTTTCTTTGCTCTGAGAAACTGAACCACTGTCTTGTTCCCATCGGGTTTCAAAAATGGAATTATTTACCAATGCTAAACAACTCCGTAATGGTGGAGATGTCGCTTTATTTTTATGTAATCCTCTTAACGCTGTGGGGTATGGGATAAAAACAATATTCATCAACCTATGGTGCCATGCCCTATCGAACCAATTTCGTTTCCCCGGAATTCGAACACAGGATCCCTGGTGCTTAACGTAATTCTAGGCTATGCGTTTAACCTTTGAGCGACGGCAGTGTCCGAACTTGGATTAACATATATACAAATGTTAGTGTGAGTCGTGACATAGACCTAAAATTTTAATTAGGCACTCGAGTTAAAATTCACGACCTACTTTCGCTTTTCCCGGGCTTGTATTTACTTTTCGCATTTAATTTCACGCTATAGTGGTTTAGTAAGTAGGTTGCTTTAGTTCAGATTTGTCTGATTCATCTTAAAGATTGAGGATAGTATGTATTATTAAGTACCGTCTTGTTTCGTTTATTGTTTACGTTTAATTATTTTTATGTAAAATTCCGCTTCCCCTCGTGGGGCATAGGCGAAAACATTTCTGTGTCCTTTTCGCTGATCGCCTCTTTTACAGGCAAGTAATTGATCAGACATCTGTGCCCTGCCCGACTGAAACTTTTGTTTCCCGGGGATTCTAGTCTAGGCTTTAACCATTAGCTAAAGACGCGGTCACGTATAATGTATAATGTCATCTATTTATTGTTTAGTTCTGATAATAGATAAGCATACATTAAAATATATTACGCCAATATATATAATCGTAGTGCAATGTGAAAGAACGTTTCTTGTGATTTTAAGTAATAATAATTTTGTTTAATAGTAAGCTTTGTGAAGATTCTGTACTCTTGCAAAAAAAGTACACCGATGTTAAGACTTCGTTGTCTGTCTGTCACTGAAATTTTTGTTGTCACAAGGAAGTCTAAAAACGAAATAATATTTAAGGGGGATTCCCCCTATAGCGTAAATAACGAGTTCAAAGTATTTCAATATATACTAGTTTTCCAATGAGTTTATTTCTATTTAAAATAGAAAACATCATCGCTCAAGGAATGTTTTGGGCGGAAATAATAATGAAGGGGAACCATCGACTCTTGAACAAAGCAACGATCTCAAAGGCAGAATACTTAGAACGCAATTACAGATGTTGAGTTGTGTCGAGGGTACAACTTTATTAACCCTGTAGGGAACAATCTCGTACTACTCATTGTAATTCAGTTTAAATAATACGCTGCTTGTTATAAATAAATAAAACATTATTATTTTATTATCTTTTATATAACAACCCAAATAGACGACTGTCCGGAAACTTTATAACTAACGTGGTTATTTATCTATACATAGTTTATTTCTTAGCAAATAAAACAGTAATGGTTTACACGAAACATATTACTTATTTAACAATCGCTGTTATTGTGGAATCCCCATAACCAGGGCTGTCCAAAACGTCGAATTAAAATGGAATTAAAATACAATAAGAAAACCTTTTGCGTTTAAAACAGTTAAAACTGTTTAAATAAAACACTTTAACGGTTCAAAACGCGATATATTCAACGTGGTCACGGGGGGACTGAAATAAGTTTAACTAATATATCGCGTTTTAAACCGTTAAAATTGTTTTATTCAAATTTGCTAAAAATAATGTGGCTCTCTGGTGCACGAGGCAAATGCATGTTTTTTCATCCCTTATACTGATAACTCAAGTACTTGATCAGACATCCGTGTCTTGGCTGGCTGGCACAATTTATCGTTTCCCCGGTATTGCAATGCAAAACCTCTAGTGCTACGCAATGCTATGCAACACGTTACATCACGAAGGAAGAGGAAGAATTTGAAAGGAGGATGCTCAAATCGGGGATCTTCCTTTCATTCGATTGTTCTGAAATACTGATATTATTTTCAAATTTATTGCCAAAATATATCATTTTTCTTGATAAAAGTTTCATTGTATTCACTTACGCGTTATATGAATGTGATTTATGGTTTGCGCACAATGTTACGTGTGAGAATTTTGGCATAATTTTAGTACTTGATCACCACAAAGTCGAAAGGTTAAGTTCTATTATGACATACTAGTTGTGTCAGCGACTTCGTCCGCGTAGAATATTTATTTTGGGCATCCAAATTCGTTTTTGCAAACACCTTCATCTTTATAAAATTAAGCTGTTATAAGCTCGATAAATGTTCTAATTAACACATAAATATTGTTTCAATTCGAACCCGCAGTTCCTGAGATTAGCGCGTTCAAACAAACAATTCAGCTTTATATGTATAGATTGATAGATGTATATGGCCGATAAAAAAATGGGTTAAAAATGCGCTCGTTCAGTTCGTGCTTTATAATCATGCCATTTGACACATCATACACCATATTTTTTCTATAATACAGTTATAATTATGGAAATCAGTAGTTAAATTAACTTCTGGTTAAAATAATTGCGGTGACAAGCACCTGTAATCTATCAATTAGAATTATGTAAGGTTACCTAAAGTGCTAGCTAACCTGGCAAATATTTTTTTGCCATATAAAGTTTTTCGATCAACATTGATTACAGCAAAAATCATTTGCATGAGTTTTTGGACCATTTAAAGGGGAATCATTCTTATATATTTTTGTGTATGTTGAACCGCTTTCGCAGCGCACCCTACTTGACTCCCAAAGGTGAATAATTTTCCCTGTTCCACATTTTCAATTACAATTCAAACTAGTAGACCCTGAATAAAACAAACTAATTTTTCGGCTTTTAATATTAGTATAGACAAAAATATGCTTGCTGTATATTTATTTCCCTAACTATGTTGGTCTATTTGAGCACGTAGGACGTGATTTGTATCCAACCCTCTAATAACGAACCCTGGCCCCAGATATTATCTATGCCGTTATGAATATTGGGCGATGCCAATATACTAGCAGTTTATTGAGATAATTACTGTAGTGGTTAACTTGTCTTGGATGCCTTCGATCTCTTCTTCCTTATAATTTGATTCACAATTAGTTTAACATTTGTAATTTTATTTAGAACAAAATAACTGTGCATTGATTCTAAAGAAACCCACCACCCCCAGCGACCCCGGAATTTTGGGGCCCCCCCCAGCCACCCGGGTGTTTTTTTTTTGGATCGCGGATATTTTTTTTACGTTAGTCAAAGAGGAACCATTTTTTCATATATATTTTTTGGTTTTTTGAATCGTTTTGCAGTGCAAAAGGAAGCTCTCTAAGATGAATTATTTTCACATTCCCACTGTTTCGTTCGTATTGATCCTACAGTTTTATCACGAAAATAATTTCACTTCAATTCGAACTAGTAGTTCCTGGGTTTAGCGGTTTAAGAAAAAAATCCGATTTATTATTGTATCTTTAAAAATTAACACTAGGTTCTAAACTAGATAAGACATTTTTGGATTTCCCAAAACGTTAATACTTTGTATTATATATACAACAGATAAAAATACTCTATGGGGTCTATACCACATAAGGTACATGAGTAATACTTAATAAATAACATTTGCGTTCTTGGTTTAAAATCTATTCAGGCTTCTATAAAATTACCCTCGATTTCTGAAAAGATCTGATTACTTATGTATGATATCTTACTAATGTATTGTATATTACCTTTTACATTTTATATTCCATAGCAGCGTAATGAGGAGATCAAGGCATTTCATAAATTGGTGCTATTGAAGCGCTGAAGTGAAATAGCTATTGACTAGTGTACCGCGGGAGTCACACAAACGACGCTATTTGTCTGAAAGCAGCCATTTGCTAAAATAAATTATTTTCAGGGGAGTTGTTAAGCTGGAACGGCATCCGAATATATGTACTCGCACTTGGAACGGCTCTAAGTACTTTACAGTATTGTATAGTGGATGCAAACTATTCCAACTATAAACAGAGGTATATAAACCCATCTTGTAAAAAAACTCTCACATTTTGTAAAAAAAAACTGTGTGATTTGACTATAAAATGATTTTCAGCTGGACCCCACGGCTGTTGACGTGTACGGCAAAATACTCGTTATAACTGCATAACACAGATTATATTATATGCCTCAAATAGTAATTGTTTGAAAAACAATTAACAGACTTTAGGTTCTCGACATTTGCGCGTTGAGTGCATGCATGCGCCGTACTGTGACGGCTGACAAGTAAGTAATGTAGGAGTTCCGTTCTCCGGGAAATACACCGAGGAATTCCCCTCTTAAAAGCTACTTCTTAGAAGGTTTCACGTACAACAAATAAACGCTCGCACGGTAAGTAGTTTTAATTCGACGAATTCGCTATTTACTTTAGTTGTTTTAAGGAACTTAGTGCCCATAATTGTCTTGCAGTTAGTGCGTTTGTTTTGCAATTATTATGTACGTAATTTTATAATTTATAATTGAATAAATTAAAAATCCTTACTTTAACTTTACTATTAAATGCGAAAGTAACTCTCTCTGTCTGTCTGTCTGTCTGTTACTTTTTCACGCCAAAACTACTGAACGGATTTGAATGAAATTTGGTACACAAATGGTTTAGACCCTTACTTTTAATTGTGAAAAGGGGGTTGTAAGGGGTTAAAAGGGGGGGGGTGAAAGTTTGTATGGAAATTCGTGGTTTTTGAAGCTAGAACAATTAAACTTTTTTCTTTGGCTTTTTGGGAATAGGGGTGGGAGTGGGAGTGCGAGTTATAGTAGGAGTGATGTCAGGTGAGAGTGTTGTGGCAACGTAACACTTACAACATAGATTGGCTGCGATAACTGTGCAATTACATGAATTAATAAACAGCCTAAATCATTAAAATTTCTACC